ACTTCTTCCTGTCCTTGTAATCGTTTCCAACGCAATACAAGCTCGGGAGTTCTAAAGGAACTCACCATAACTTTGTATAATCGATACGATTTCAATTTCCGCGTCAAAGGAGAAGCCTACTGTAATTCGTGAGTGGTCAGTGGTTACGCTCGTGAGGTAAAGAATGGGTTTGTGACTTTTTCACTCAATTGAAAAGACTCGCGTCACTCTTATGAAATGGTTGAACGGAATACAGACTCCGAGCAGTCTCTTATTTTTCTTAAATATAGTGCGGTCACGCGTATCCTGTGAGCATGGAGAAGCCGCGAGACTCGAGACTCATGTCTCGCGTCTTTGCCGCTCCAGTGATAGGCAAAGACAAGAAACGTTATTTTTGGTGCAATACAAGAGGTTCAATGGTTATCTCGATTATCTAAACACATTTATTTACGTGGTAAAGATTTGTTTGTAAATCTATGAATTGATGCTAGTCCTATTTGGAACGAAATGTATTTGAAAGAAAAAAAGGAATACTAAGTAAAACAAAAGTTGTCTGCAACACGAAGCATGCCTTCGCGTTAAGACTGAGAATCCTAATGGTTATCATGATACTTTAATGCATATGTACGAATGTTCCCAAAAATCTTCTGACAATCTGCCCGCACCCACCCCTCACCCCGCCCCTCACCACTGAGCCGTACTGTTTTCACTCAGCGGCTGGTCAGCGATCACGTTTATGAGGTAAACGTAGCGATCAATTCCTGATCACCGTTCTTGTCGATCCGAATGTCAAAATACCAGCGTGATATTGCCTCGAAAATGAAGCAGTTATGTTATTTGATTTGTACTTCACATTCGAGTCGGACCTTGGATGGCACAGGTTATTTCTTACGGTGGAATCGACGAGGGGAATTCGAACACTAGTTGTAGTGTTTTAATTGTTGGAAGAAATGGTCGCATGAGGATGGTAAGTTTAACGAACAGTTTCAAATTTTGCCGCTTGAATTGAAAATAGAGTTCATTTGAATTGCTTTCGTGTGTATTTCTGACGGTTTTAGATCCACCTGCTTGATTTATATCGGTTACGCATCATGTTGACAAGTCCCTCAAAATGGCGGCCAAACTTGGAGATTGCCGAAAATTAGGTAAGTTCACGGAGTTATAAAGTTTTGGTAAAGGTCGGGCCGCAAAGTTTTTTCCTGTAGTTACCTTTACTATGGCACTTACTTTCTAGCTATTTTAGTTGGATCGGTTAAGAACACCTCACGTTTTCAAAAATTTACCTTGAATTTGATCGGTTTTGGCGTGTGTGACTTAAGGTGTCATTCAAGTCTTCCTGTTTCCTGATTGAAACGTGATGTTTACGAAAGTCGCCCCGATAGATAAGATAGAGTTATTATACATGGCTGTGGTTTTTTTTTTTTTTTTTTTTTGCTGATTTCCGTAGTTTTTTGTAAATTGTCCTCCAAAGTTGTATGAAATTAAAATCTTGTAAAGTATCTCGACAAGCCTTCGCTCGAGTGAAATTTAATTTCCGTAAAACTCAGAAAAATAAAGAGATGTGATCAAACGAATTGTTGTGTTAGTATAAGTACATGAATGTCTTACAACACACAAGAAACGAGCGAAATCTGTGTCTCAAGCAAGAGATTGCCGAAAATTAGGTAAGTTCACGGAGTTATAATGTTTTGGTAAAGGTCGGGCCGCAAGTTTTTTTCCTGTAGTTACCTTTTCTATGGCACTTGCTTTCTAGCTATTTTAGTTGGATCGGTTAAGAACGCCTCACTTTTTCAAAAATTTACCTTGAATTTGATCGGTTTTGGCGTGTGTGACTTAGGCGAACCGATAAGGTGTCGTTGAAGTCTCCCTGTTTCCTGATTGAAATGTGATGTTTACGAAAGTCGCCTCGATAGATAAGATAGAGTTATTATACATGGCTGTGGTATTTTTTTTTTTTTTTTTTTGCTGATTTCCGTAGTTTTTTGTAAATTGTCCTCCAAAGTTGTATGAAATTAAAATCTTGAAAAGTGTCACGACAAGCCTTCGCTCGAGTGAAATTTAATTTCCGTAAAACTCTGAAAAATAAAGAGATCCGATCAAACGGATTGTTGTGTTAGTATACGTACATGAAAGTCTTACAACACACAAGAAACGAGCGAAATCCGTGTCTCAAGCAAAATCGACCGGACCGCTCTTACAAAGACACTCTTAAATGCGGCTTACGGCACAGACAAGTGAGGCTTCGCACGACTGTATGACGTAGTTCTAAAAATTTTCGCCAATCCTCAAAGGACCCGATGTCCTGCCTCGGAGGTTTCCAAATTTTGGCAAAACAAACAATCTTGTTTTTTTAACCGCTAAGCTGTCATGTTATGCAAGATTTCTCTGAATAAAATTTCATTGGGAAAAGGATACTTCAGTCCGCTTGTATTTGGCGTGGGATGGCAGGATTTCTTTCATCTGACCCTTTTTCTTTTGAGGGAAACGAATCTGAGCTCCACTTTTACTAAATGTCTGTGATTCGTACCCTGGGTACGGTTATACTGGCAGCAATTTGGAGAACACATAGTTTCAACGAGAAATTCTCCTCCCATCGCAAGTGTCGAAGCCATCAAAAGTAACGCAAGCGTTAACCACAACGCAAAAGGTCAGGAGGAAAAAAAGGATCCGTTCTTGTGTAGCAATTCGCGCAAGATTTTTTTCAGTTTCTTCTAGAGCAAGATGGGTTTGTGATTGACAAATGGATCAATTAGCGGACGTTTGGTCAAATGATATTAGTTTGATGCGACCGCGGCCAAAATTTGGAAAACGCAAAATTATTGCCAATAATTGACTTGCGAAAAAATGGAAAATATTTTAATTCGCTCTAATGTAATCCGGCTCTAAGACTCCAAAATCGAGGGGATTTTATGTACATTCGTGATATCCCGGATCACATGAGCAAGTTAGTGAAGCAATCTTTCTCAAGTTTACAAATTGGAGGTCGCACTTATTTTACTCTGCTTGCTGACAGATTTTTCATTTAAACAAACAAAACAGCTCGAAATTAGGACAATATCGTTTAGTGACACTTACCAAGTGTACCAAGCCAATGGATCAAGTCACAAGCGGCCCAATATCATATAAATTACCTCACATATGACAGGTGACACAAGATAAATCCTATGTCACAAGCAGAACTGAAAACTCACTTCACTTTACAGTTTCAGACTCACTCCCAGCGGATGACAACGGATAGTTCACTCGCGCAGAAGCCATCATGTCCACAATATTCCATTTGCTCTTCCTGGCATCTCTTGCAGCCAAATCTTTTTCAGGTTAGATTGTCGTTATTTCCTGTATGATATTCTAGTTTTTTTAGTAATTTTGGCGAAAACCTGTTGAGTTATTAGCTTCAGACACTTCTAAGAAAACCACAAATTTATAAGTTGAGGCACAAGTCAAGGGGGTAAACTTGTTTCTTGAGCAAAGAAAGCAATGAATTTTTTATGATTATTTTTTTCTTCTTGCTGAAACTGGCAGGAAGAACGAAAGGGGCTGAAAGGAACGAAAAGATAGCCTAAAAAAGGATTTTAATAAGTGGATAAAGTATGAGATGGAGACAGCACAATTGTGTTGCTTTTAAAGTTCAAATGAGCCAAAGTCATCTCTACTCATGGCAAGACTGAATCAAACAGTTGACCAAAATAGACGCAATGAAAACATGTGCGGAGCGAGAAATCTAGTAAAAATTCAATTTTGAGCTTAGAATATAAACTGGCTCTTGTTTTGAACAAGGTGATCCGATTTTTTCTCTTCTTGGTGTTCATTTTAGAAGTCTTTCTTTGCCTCATCAGTTAAAGACTAGCCACGCATTTTGTCAGTTTCCCCATAAAGTTTGCCGGTGCCCAGAAATATTCGGTGCACTTGAGTAAAAGGAACTTAAGTGTTTTAACAACCTTATCGAGACTTTGTATCCCTTTTTATGCTGAATTGGTGCGGGCAGCTAAAGTGGAAAAAAGGGAAATTAATGCTTTTTTTTAATTTGGCTGAAAAACTGTCAAATCTGCCATTAAGTCACAATAAACTAAAAGCCCTTTTTTCATAATCGAAGTGTCTGAAATTGCTGTAAGTCATCAAAGAAAGGTTCTGTCGATTTGTTGTATTTATCTGAGTTTTTGTCGTAGCACATTGTTAAAACGTTTCAAAGTCTTCAAAGAGTTTCCTGGTAAAAATAAACAATGGCTTCTTGGCCGTTATGCGGTTTGGCTGAATGAGCTGTAAATGATAATTTATCAACTTAAAGTTCTACCAATTATTTGCTTTAAGTTTTTTTTTGTGTTTTGTTACCTTTCAAAAATAGAGATGATTTAAGATATTTCATCATCGCCTTTGAAGAAGAATTTGTCTCCAACTTAATTCAAAGATAGAGTTCCAGTTTTCATAAAATTATACATACAAATATCTATTGGGGCAGTGGAAATACGTTTATATTAGAAAGTAGGATGTTTCAGAAGAACTTTTGGCCCAATTTCAAATCGAGCTTTGAGAATCGACACAATTATATAAATAAGTCATCTTTTGAAAGGCGTCGAGACCCGAATTTTTCTCAGGCTTCTTTTTAGCAATTTCTTTCATCACATGCAGCTCAACTTAGCGGACCATATCTTCACTTTTATATCATAAAATAGGTTGTGGTTTGTCATCGTGGTAAATAATAATGTCAAAAAAGAATTATAATCGTTTGCCTCACGATGTGGTCGATTCGGATGTGGAGTTTTATTTATTTGAGAATCAGAAAACGATTGCATCGGAGATTGGTGCCTTTTCTGTCTCCGTTCTCGGAGACAGAAAAGGGCATAGCTTTACAATCGAATACATTTATCAAATGCCCAACGCTGCAAGAAGCCTTACCCCACCAGGGAGAGACATGCAGAGAGTTCTTGTCTCAGTTTAAGTATTGTAATAGCAATTTGGTTAAAATCCATTTTATTCTCCTCAATCCAGGAATGAAAAGTGCTGAACAAGATTGGGGCCCTTCTGACCAGGCAGCTGAACAAAGCTATTTTCTTAAAGAGGAGTTCCATTATCTGGACGTTACTCAGATCAGAAAGTTCACGATATTCGACATGTTTCATTGCGCCCTGGCGTGCCTCCGAAATAATTTGTGCCTCTCATTAAACATGGCCTCTTCTCGTGGAACAGAAGGAAAGCTTTGGTGCGAATTACTGTCCTCCGATAAGAACAGAAACGCTGAGAACTACCACAAAAACACGAGTTCGCATCATTTTTCCATTCTGCGGGTAAGAACACTTTAACCATTGTGTTAAAACTCTAACACAAGGCATTTGCAAGGGAAAGTATTTAAACGTACTTGTTCTCGACGAGGTATGCTCATTCACAGCTATCGCAAGTACTGTTCAAGTATTCACTGCGTGGTCTTAACAGTCATTTCCTCTCTTTCAGTCTCCATGTTCTTCATCGCCGTGTCAAAACAAAGGAACCTGCATCCCGAATTTTAACTCCAACACTTTTGATTGTCTTTGTAAAGAAAGTTTCTTGGGAGAATTTTGCGAGAAAGGTAATTCATGAATATTTTTAAATATCTTACTGTCTCTCTCTTCCATACTTTTCTTAACAGTAGAATACATCTGGCTCTGACATCACACTCTATCTTTCAGCTGTAAAATCATGCAAGGAAATATATGAGGCAAACAAGTAAGAGGCTTTAACTGTTTACTCATTTAAACATGTCTTTGCTAAAATCTTATCATCTGTGTCACTGAAGACGCAGAGGTGGCCAGCTGGTTAAAACCACGTTGGATCTTAAAACCGAGTTCGGCGACATATCAGTCAGGAAGTTTGATGCGTACAAATGATAAAGATTGGCATCATAAGAGATTCAATGACTTATATTACTTCTCCAATTGTATTTTTAACAGATCAAACGTGAGTAAACTTGTTTCTCTCTATCTGGGCTCACAGCCAACCTCTGTTCTCTGTCACATGGGAGATTTTGGATGCGGAGATGGAGGATGGACACCAGTCATGAAGATTAACGGCAACAAGGTACCATATTGAACAGCTTTTCCTCATCAATGATAATTACCCTTCAGCAAAATAAGTCTGACAACACTCGGAAAGTTCAATGAATCATGCACAAAATCACGTTACGCCCAGTTAGCAAATGAAACTGCTTAAGTTTTTCGTCACTCACCTTGAAATGTTGATGAATATGAAAGTCGCATTTTCAATTAGTTCCGCCATTGTTTCACTGCTTTGTTGAAAAAATTCTTTGACAAAAAGGCAATGAAAGAAGCAGGTTTATGGTATAAATAAACCTTATAACCAGAAACGCATTCGAAAAAATTTTTTTTCAGTCTACCTTTCACTATCGCTCGAATTACTGGAGTAATAAAACTGAATACAACACCGCTGGAGGGGAGACTGGGTTCGACTCACAGGAAACGAAGTTACCTACTTACTGGAACACATCCTTCTCCAAGATCTGTCTCGGTATGAAGATCGGTGAACAGATCAGATTCATTGTAATCAATATGAAGGCCAGCTCTCTTTACTCACTGATCGCTGACGGAAAACACCGACGCACCTCATTGGGTCGTGAAACGTGGAAGAAGCTCATTGGCTTAGAGGCCTCCCTGCAAAATAACTGTAACAGGGAAGGGTTCAACGCTAAGAGTGGCGGGTTGCTTTTCGCCAAAGCAAGAATCGGCATCGTTTCCAACAACGAAAATCATTGCTTCTATAGTGACTCAAGGATTGGGTTTGGTACCGGAGGGGACCAGGATGACAACAACACGTGTGGAAACGAGGCTTCTTATGGCCCAGATAATGGAGACAAGCATATTAAGGCCATGGGATATATTTTAGTGCATTAAGAATATGAAAAAAAAAAACAAAAAAAACACCGAAGAAATTTTTTTTTATTCAAAAGTTTTGCTTAGAATCAGAATGATTGAAACGTTTTAAAGGATAGTAAATCAAAAAGACGAGAATGTTAGAATGTCTCTTCATTTAATGTGTCTGTAAGGAAATTTATATCAGTTGCTGCAACCTTCAAGGAAAGAGTAAACCGTTTGCTGAATTCATTGCATTAAGGCGAGTAAGTTCGCCTGCATGGATCGAAGATTCCGGCTTCGAGCCTCGACTTCCCAGGCTCCATACTTACTTCTCACATTATCTCATCCCATCCTTAAATGGGAAAATTTTAGCAACAAACGAGCGCTTGTTGGATATGAGATGATAAACGGGCTGATTTGGCTACAATCGTCTTATATCCAACAAGTGCCAGTGGAATAATTGTTTTATTAAAAACGCCACAAAACATGGATAAATCTTTCCAACTTTCTTTAGTAAGAACAAACGGAATGTTAAAATGTACAAGAACACTTTCGGTTTAACTTGTCTTCATGCATGCCCATTGTATAATGGCTAATAACCCATGATGGCTAAACCAAAGAAAACTCTTGAAATGCATTATCCAATGATCCAGTTGTTAATAATGATGAATACATGCGAACTATAAGGGAAATCAATGTTAGGGGCTAACCTACAGAGGGATCTGCATCTGGTCGTTGACGAGAGGTTTCTTTAGGCTACGGAAGTGGAGATAGGTTCCACACTCTATGTGAGACAGTGTAGAATGCACACCTATCCTACCTCACCTTTAGAGGTAGATCTAAGAGAGAACTTTTGACGTAGGGGAGGGGGGGGAAGAGGAAAGCACACCCCTCCTACCTCATCTTTAGAGGCAGATCTAAGAGAGAACTTTTGACGTAGGGGAGGGGGGGGAGGAAAGCACACCCCTCCTACCTCACCTTTAGAGGCAGATCTAAGAGAGAACTTTTGACGTAGGAGAGGGGGGGGGGGTCCAAACTTCCTAACACTCCAAAACACAGACATGTTTTTCAAACTTTTAGCTCAGAAATATCGCGAAACAAGAAAATAATAAATAATTCATAATTAACAATTATTTACGGAAGGCGAAATGAATGTTGATGAATAATCTCTGGGACGAAGTCGAGGGGATTATTCAACAATGTTCGCTGAGCCTGAGGGATATAATTGTTTTAATATGATAATTGCTAAGGTGCTTTCGAATTCTGCTGTAAATTGTAGGAACAAAGAAGCATCGCGTATATTTTGTTTCAATTGTGTTGATTGCCAGTATTAAGATAAGCAAACAGTTTGAACAGGCTTATTTAATGTAATTAACAAAAACTTCAAATTATTCTTTTGAAAAAGTGTTCTGTCAATCGTTTAGCATTTTTTGTGCTCTTCGCAATTAAATTTTCTTGTATAACGTTTATCACCTCCTCGGAAACATTGACATAACGCGAGGCAGCCATTCTGAGATTTGGCGCCCCTGCTATAGTTGCCTCGAGCAATGTGATTATAGCAAAATATGACGCAATCCTTGACCAATCAGAGCGCACTCACCTCTATAATAACCAATTATACTAATGTTGTATAGCACGCGATCCTATCGTTGCAAGAATGTTTGTGTCAGATGGGTCCAATGGTTCGATGGGAAGGGGTAACTGACCCTCCCCCCCCCTCCCCCCCCGTCCCGTTCCTTCATTGACTCTGTCATGAACTCATTTGGGGATCACAAACAAACCCAGCGAAGTTCCAATTTGTTTCATAGGAAATCAAAGTGATCTGTGAGCAAACTCGTGAATTTACACATGATTTTTTTGGATTATGTTTAATGCTATCTGGTCTTGGGAATTTTGTAGTTGATTGTCATATCTAGAGTACGAACAGTAGTTCAGTGTTCGCTAATGTAGCAAAGAAACAAAGTAACATTGGGATAATAAGGCATTACAATTGAAATGATCATGCTATTGCATTTGACAAGGGTGGATGATGTCATGTGTTTTAAACGTATATCATTTCTGTTTCTGGTTCAAAAGAAAAGGTTGGAAGTAAATGTGGGTGAAAAGTGAAATTTACTGTCTATCATTGTAAATATTAGAAAATCAAGGCAATACTTTCTTAATGAAAACATTAACGATTCCCTCTTTATCAAATGAGACAAACGGGAACGAGTTTTGAGTGATATAACTAAGCCAGGACTGCCACCGTCATTTTGGATCTCCGCCTAGGTAGATTTTAGTCACGTGCTAGGCAACGTATAATCAATAACAAGATAGAAATTCATTTCAGGCCTTTTTATCAATTTTGTGGTGTATAACTTTCGCATTTTAGTACGTAATATGTATTTTAAATCTTCAAATTGTCTTGAAACTTAGAAGAAAATTGTTCTTTAAAAATTCACTGAAAAACGGTAGCTAAAATTGTTTGTTCAGGTGTTATTTGATTTTCGTGTTAACTTGTAATTTTGTTAGTCGCCGGCATCTTGTGTTGTTTCACACAGGAAAAACACACGATACGAAACGTGATGATCGATTTTGTCCTCAATCTCACGCCGTAACAGAAAAAATTTTGGAACATCTGTAAACTCCGAGCGCTTCGCAGTAAGTGATATTTTCAATGAATCTTCGGATTGTTTTCAAGTTCAAGGATGGTAAATTACAATTTTATGAAAAGCGAAGGTTGTTCTGTTATTTTACTGTGAATCCTTGCATGCCGGCCAGTCGCTGGCGCCGCTTGTTGAAACTAAAACGAAAAAAAAAAATTCTTTAAGATTATCATTGGCTTCTTTGTCACCCCACCACTATTCTTAGCAACAAAGGTCGCCATTTCGTTTGTTTATTGCTCGCCAAAAACTATCAAATGCACTCAAAAGCCTAAAATCGAAAAAAGTTTACAGGAATCGACCAATCGAGCGAGCGAGCGAGTGCCATTCCCCACATCGCATTTACAACTCGCTCTTGCGCATGCGCGCAATTTACGAGTTAAAAAGGGCTGATCCGGCAGAAACTATTTCATTATTTATTGCAATTTTGTCCATTATAATAAACCTTAAATCATTTACAACATTTCCTTTATATTTGCCTCTTTTGATCACACAAATTGCGCTCTAATTAGGAACTGCAGTCACAAGATGTTTTTAATAGACGCCATGCTCTCAAAGATGCATAAGAGACTATATCTCACAATATCACAGAGGTAGACCCCACAAAAGGAAACATGATTCTTCTCTAAGAACTTTCTTTGATTACTAAGTTCAATACTATAGGCCAGTGCTTTGAACTGTAAAAATAAAGCCTAATTGGCAAATAAAGATCATTTCAAAAGAGCGAAAAAGAATAATTTCAACTGAATTGTTCCACCCTTTTCGAGCTTGAAAAGCTTTGAGGAGGTATGTCTGTTTTATTTGGAACAGTGGGTCTTTTACAGACTTAACTCGTCTGCTCTTAACGAACAAACATTTTTGGATCTTCAGGGTCACAGAGAAGGCGGTCCCACATCAACTTGGATAAACAACGTGTCGTCCACCAAATACCGCCTCGTTTTCAATTTCTCGTGAGACATGAATCTCGCGTACCCACGACCAGGGTTTTCTTCTGCAGTGGGTCTGGCAAAGTTATCTAGTTTCGTATTGGCTCTGAAGAGCATAGTAACGTTCTGACGCTCGTCTAGGCTCTCTTGCTGATCTATAAGCGTAAATGTGACCTTCTGATTAAATGGCCAAGGCAATATTGCGTCGTGTTCACCTCTCATGACGATTACGAACGCAGAGAGGTGAGTATTCCTGCCTGATCCGTCGCCGTTGGGATTGACGGAAAGTTTTAACTTGTAGCCATACTTTCCAGTGTAAAAGGGATCGCTGTCTATTTTATTGTTCCGGCCAACTTTGGCCTGGTGTAATATATCACCGAAACCAGTTATCTTCCATACAAACATCGGAGTTTCCATCTGGCTCTTATGCATTTCTTTCTCCTGTGCTGAAACTTTGAGCAAGAGATTGTTGTTTTCCTTTTTCAGGTCGTCCAGTTGTTTCTTAAGGGTTTTTTTCTCCTCGTCAAATTCTTGCTGCAGTAGGGCGAGTTTCTTGCAAGCGAAGCTCAAATGAGTAGTCGTATCTTCACGAACGTGTGTTTCCAAGTTTCTTCTTTCCACCTGTAAATATAACGCGGCCATTAGGAAACATGTCTCACATTTGCTACGAGTATGGGACAAATTCAAATCTGTCTTCCACTCGGTGAAGCTTCGAATCTCAGCTTCTTCAAATTTAGCGGTAGAAAGCTCTACCGAACAAGCTACTTTGTACTCGCCAGCGTGCTGTGACCTACATCCCTTTTTTAAACTATTATTCACCGAAGGTCCGGTGAATATATTTAAAGTCCTCAAGAGGAAGTCGACGCTATTTTCGACAATACTCAATGAGTCTGAGGAGGACGATTATTTGTGGTAAAATTGCTCGGGTGATATTAGAAAAATTTCCTGTGGTGGTTTATATCAAATTACACCCGAAGAGGTGCTATTAGTAATACTTACTTTCATGTTGCACCCCAAGTCATGAAAAGGACAAGACACTGGCGTAAGGTGGCACTCTGTTTCCAAATGCTTTAACATCTACGAAACAAAAAAAGTTTTTTTGTGTGTAAAAATTCCTCTAATCCTAGGAATGACTATGATGTAGATATTTTGGTGAATATTCAAAACCAAAAAAAAAACAACAAAGGAAAGTGGCAGGTATTAGTTTGTTGACAGCTTTGTAACATTGGCTGATAGTTATGTAAACAGAGAGAAAAATTTACACAGATTTCAATTCTACTGACATACATCTAAGTATGTAGTTTCCAATTGATGTTCTTTTGGGTCTCTTTACGATCTACCCCACCCTTGAGGGGTATTCTGATATACAGTGGGTCTCTTCACGATCTACCCCACCCTTTGGAGGTATTCCGATTGATATACGGTGGGTCTCTTCAAAATCTACCCTACCCTTGAGGTGTATTCTGATTGATATATGGCAGTACGTATCTAAGGATTGAGAAAAATTAATCCCCAGGGTGTTCTCTCATAAATAAACACTTTTCTTATCAGGACAGACAGGAAGCTAAGAAAATAAAAGAAAGGGCCAGTAGAGTTTGTACCCAAAACAGTGGATCAATATCAGTATCTGGGCAACTGCCCACCTACCCCTTCCCTAACCCAACATTAACCTTAACTTGTTGTCAATTAACTGTTGTTGAGTTAGGGGAGGGGTAGGTGGGCAGTTGCCCAGATACTGATATTGATCCAAAACAATTTCATACCAAAAGGGAAAACAGAGTAGTTCATCCCAGAGTTCAGTTTCTTCCCCAGAGTAAGAGGATTGCTGTAGCAGGTACAATGCAGTTTACCCTTAGGATGAAGAGCTATCTTACTTGTAATTTTTCCTGCACCATTAGAGACCTGTAAAAATTCTTTGGAAATTATTGTAAGGCTTCACTCTGAGTTAAACATCTCTCTTACCTGCTCCCTTGGGACAACTTGTTCACAACCATTGGAACAGTTCAGAGGGAACTTAGGACAAGTTTCATTGTGAATCTACAAAGTAAAATTAACAGCTGAAACATCATTTTAATCTTACAGTAGCATGCATTTGTTGCATAGGAGTTAGTACATAATGGAATAATCCCACTGTAAGTATTTCAACAAACTTCCCTACAAGTTTGCAAATACCTATTCATACCCCAAGGAAATGAGGGTACTGTTTGATTGACCCCTTCACTCCTAACTGGTTCTCCTTAGTGTCTACCATACAATTCTTACCATGCTAGTTTGGAGAATTTGGTGTTGGATCAACTAATAATCCCCTAAGTAATATTTTTTGTTATTCTTGTCAGTAGTCTATTTGATGATGTATTGATATTGTAAGAAGAAAATACAGCAGTAACTGCAAACTGTGCTAACACCTAAATCCCCTGGAATATAGAGTGCCAGTAAAAACAACATGGAGACACTTGCATGGAAAATGCCTCTAGAGGGAACAGGTTGAATACAGGGAGGAGTAGTGATACTGATATTGCACAAGAAATGTGATGGCTATTAGTTCAAAGTCAGTAAAACAGCATTCAGGTTTCTGTCTGTCAAACCACACATTAAGACGGCTTATTCAAGTCTGCTCACATCTTCTTCAGCTTTTGGATACTTTTCTGGGCAAAATTGGCAAGAAACAATTCTCCATTGACACGACACGGCCACATGTTCTTCAATCAGGTTCCTTGCCAGGAACACATGGCAGTTGGAACTTGGACACTGCACAACCTCGTAGGGACAAATCTGTTGGTGGTTCTGAAAGATTCCAACAAAAATAACAATACTTAGCAACAGCACATGGTACATGTATGCACACTAGAATGCAAAACAATGAAATTTGAAAAAGTAAAAAGCAGTTACAATCACCTAAAAATTATCCCTCACACAAGTAGAATTTTATTCTAAAATGAGCTGCTTGTTATACATGTATGTGTAAGAATGACAACTTTTAAATCTGGTATCATCTACATTAGGGTAACCAGTAGATTTCTGAAAAGCAGATTAAATGTCTTGATGAGACAAGATTAATCTTGTCTCCCTTAATTTGTAACATCAGACAAGGAACAATACGAATAAAGGCAGTAAGTTTCTAAAGAAACTGTATTACTGCATAGGTGAGAGGGTATAACAGGGAAACTTAGTATTATCAACTGAGTTTGTATAACGTAAATTAGCCACTGTAAAGAGTTTCAAAGCTGAATTTTCAAGTGTTAGCCCTACATCAGCGCAGCAAAAGGTGTGCGTAAAAAAGGTGTGTGTAAAAAAGCATCAGATTAAGACTGTTAACTAATAAAATACAGACAGCTTTGACACTCCTACTCCCTTTTAAATGTTGAATATGAACTTCCATTTCATACCTGTTTAAGCTGACAAATCAAAGGGATGATGATAGACTGAAAGCATGGATTTCAAGATTTTCATATCCCTAGGACCATGCTTGACTTCATGTGCTTTAAGCTTAAGCACCTAAAGTTAGGTTTGCTGGTAAATTAGTAGGAAAAGTTTACCAGCAAGCTAGGACTTAATATATCCACCTCATTTTCTTTTTTTTGAGGAAAAAATTCTGATTAGCTACCTCCACATCTCTGAGCTCTCCTTCCCACTGGCATCTGTTAGGACACTTGACAAAGTAAGAGAGAATCCTTCTCTCACTTGCCTTATCTGGAAAAATATCCTACAAATAAAATAAGATTGAAATGATGGATATGAAAACAGATCAAAATCAAATTTAATCATTCCTAACTGATTGAGGCTAAGATTAATTTTGGGATCAATTTTATTGTAGGAAAGTTGTGAACTTAAGTAACATTCTCTCCTCTTCCACTTCCCCTGCTCTTTCACTTTTAGGTACAAGTAGCATATCTGCATATATGAAAGCAGCTAATGTTTCATATATAGAAATTAACTGCAATTACAAAGTTTTAACTTAAATATTCAAATAAGTGATTACATAATGTGACTTTTTCTAAAGATCTTTTAGCAACTTGACTGAAAAAGGATCTGGTATTAGCAGAAGGTTTAAACAAGACATCTTAGTTAAGAAAAACCAACTTACTTCGGGAATATAGGCATAACAATTACATGTGTTTTTGGTAAAAATAGCCTTAAAATTGAGTGAGATGGAGAATAAGCTTTTTTGTCACAGAAGCACTTGGAATAAACCACTATAGGAAGTACCTTGTCTTTATCCAGTCTTGTTCTGTCTAGTGGGCAGTTAGGATGTTGTATTCTAAAAAGAGAGAACTCTCGTCAAAAGAAATGCTACTTTGTGATAAAGTAACATTCAATGTGTCAACATTCAATGTATATTTTGTAGGGTAACCATCAAGATAACGTAGTTGTCCTGAAAATGACCCTGGTTTCATTATGTTGACGAAGAAAACACTGTTTTCGATTGTGAGATCCTATAAAGACACCACTTGTTTTTCTTCGGTAGTTTTGCAAAAACCCCACTGTGAAAAGCAAAGCAACAAAATTTTGCCCGCATTCACATAATGCAGTGACAAGGACAAGAGATTTTACTTCGCGTTACATGCATCTATTTGTGTATTACCACAAAATAGAAGATTTGTAATAACAAGAGAACCGTTCTTAGTTCACGTAGTGCGAAATTCTGCAGACTCAATGACGAAACATTTCTCGCTGGCAATTGTGCAATGTCATCTACCAGAGAATATGCATCCCAAACTTGAAATTAGGGCAAACTTCAAAGTTTTGCCCACCCACTTGCCAGATTTAGGCTACTCTTTTCGGACCTTAGAGCTGACATATCGCAAATGTTTGCGTTGAAACAAACTATGAATTTAAAACACGACTTTCAAGATACGTGCGAAGCTTTTAACTGCTCGGTTTGATTCATTATGACCAGAAGGAAGCTAAAACCAATCAGGATGATTTCATTCCTAACAAGACTTCAATGCCTCATATTGCTCGACAATGGAAATATAAAAACAACTAGAACTCCACAATTGGACATCAACATGAAGTTTGAAATTGCCTTGCAGCTTGTTTTTGTCTCACGAGGAGCTAAGTTCTGCATCAGCTGACTTGGATTCGAACATTTGACTACACTTCTAAAAAAGTTGCATTGATGATGGCATTGGCTCTAAGTAATTGCAGAATTATCATCTGTGAAATATGCTTCTTCTTCCAAAATAGGGGTAGTCCTGTTTCATCTATAATTCATTAGGCATTCGAAGATCAAACGACTCACTCAGACGACAGTTCTGGAATAACCATTCCAACTTACCGTTTGAAATGTTCATTGAGACAGTCATGGCAAAATCTGTGTCCACATCTAGTTAACACAGCATTTCTTAAAGGTAACTGGCATATCTGACAGACAAAATCTTCATCTAGTTCTGTAACAAAGTCGTAGTCATAGCCCGATGGAAGTGGCGGCGGACGGCCGCTTTGGTCTCGGTCGGCCATGTTTATGGCAACGAACTTGCGTGACTTTGTCTTGAACCCAGTTTCCTCTCGAAAGAGGAAAGGTAGAAGGGTTGAAATTTCCAGGTGTCAATCTGATGATCATAGTAACTCGAGCTGTGTTCCCATTACGGAAAACTATTTACTATATTATCGTTCCAATCCGTTCTTAACCCTTCAAAATCAAATCTTCCGCTCTACTCTCACTTCGCAAGAACAGTATCACCCGTCGAACCGATACGATACAATATGTCAAGCTGTCCTGGCGGGGTCGCCACCTTGCAGTGTGGGGAGTATTTTGGCCCTGTTTCACAGAGACACTAAAGATTCGTAAGTTGAATCAACAAGAGATTTATTGTAGCGTAAAAACCTCCCAACCTTGTCACAGCGATGCTCAAGAATGCAGCGGTTTATTTATATGGCAATTATGCACGCTTGGGAGTAAGCTCTTGCTGGTGAGATCGTTCATTCAAAACATACATGTATTTTGCAGCTTCGCCCTGCACGTGCACCAGAAATTATTATTTTCTACCCACCTGGGTTGGTGCAAGGTTCAGCCTCAAATTCGAATCACTTTTCTTTGCTCGCGAACTGAAATAATGGACTTAAAATGTAATTACTTGTGGAACCTTCCGTCAGTCTTATATAAATTCCCGATTTCCTGTTTCCCGTCTCCTGACAGTTAGAAGCCGGTATGTTGCATAAGATTACTTGAATTGTTGCATAGCAACGAAATGAGTTAAGAGAATTGCTTGACAATTTATCATTATCAACCGAGTTGTTAATGTAAATTGGCCACCGTAAAGTTAGAAAGCCAACGTCTCGAGCGTTAGCCCTTTGTCAATCGCTCTGACGAAGGGCTGAAGCTCAAAACGTCAGCTTTTCGACTCTTTACGGTGGCCAATTAACGCTATCAACTCAGTCGATAATACTAAAATTACCTTGTTACACTCTCCCACCGACGCAGCACCACAGTTTCTTTAGAAACTTACCCCCCTTGTTAACAGAATTGCTACCGGTATTTGGAGAAAGGAATCGCGATTATTCGTGACACGCCCTGGCGTTTTCTAGGTCTGTTCCTCGTCTAGTTTATCGAGATGTCTGACAAACAGTTCAACAACGCACAATGAAACATTTTAAACACTTTGAACCCCTGCCAGTGATTAGCATCTTATTTCTCCTTACTACACCACCCCTGAATCATGCATTGCGGTCACGAGAATAGAGGAAGTGATTCTCCTCGTCAGAAACTTAGGAGATGCATAGAGAACAGTATGGAGAATATATATCCTGATGTTAGACAGTAAAAGGTTGAAACACACCAGGTTACATGTTTGTGACTCCCAAACTAATATTTAGCACCCTCTCCAATCCGACAGCGATGAAGGAACCTCATTTTGAAGGATCCTGTCTACACCCTTGAACTCGTCAACTAAATGATAATTTAAACACAAAGTATTTCACTCTCTTTAATAATATTGAAAGCCAGGAATTCTGAGTAATTCAGTTGCCAAATGTCTCCATTTCATAATGGAGAAACTGGTGACTCAACACTGTGCAAATTGTTCATATCAAGCTGAACAGTTTATTTTGAGTAGGTTTCGATCTGTTTGTGGTCTTTTTAGTTTCTCCTGTACACGCGCTCGCATCCCAGCGGCACATGGCTTCTTAATGATATCTTTCCTTCGACATTTATCTTGTATTTACCTGTAAAAGAAGATTTCGGAAATTAATTCTTGCTCTGACTTTTTCCAATTTTATACTGCAACGTGTATTGGGGCCAGATTTTGGTGGGAGTTCATCTTACTGTGAGGAAGGGATGGTGGAATTAAAAGCTTAAACCTGTGAACAGCTAAATCAAAAGTTTGGTAATCCTGTTTTAAACACACTGACCCTAATCTTTAACTTCTGCCATAAAAAAATAGCTGTCATTGTATATTGCTGTTTCTAACGCTCCTTGTTACTCTCACTTAACCTCCGTCATTATGAAACCAGTGGGAAAAATATCCCGGTTGCGTGCGGTCTGCTTAGAATAACTTGTATAACTTGAGGCCGTTAAATTTACCAATGATAGTTATTTATACTTACAATGTCATCGATCTTCAGAATGCTACGAACTGTCTCGGATGCCAACTGAATGGCACTGGTTGACACGAGAAGCGGCTGCAGAACGTTCTCTTCTAGAATATTAGTAATTGTGCCCTGAAAAACAAAGATATGAACAAAAATGAAATATGAAAAAAGAAAACTGAATAAAACTCTGCCGACAAATAGAAAAAAAAAACGCCATACGAGTGAAACTGCCCGTAGCACACGACGTTGAGGTTAACAAGTCAATTTCCTAAGAAAAAGTTATGAAACAATGTATCTCGCTGTGCTCAACTTACTTTTCTTAAAGATGCCGGGCACAATTCAAAAACCAAACGCCAAAAGGCCAAACATGATAGAAAACGTCAAGCTATTTAAAGAACTATTGGAGTTGGACAAAGTATAACAAGAATAACAGACTTCTATATGTAACTGTTGTGGAGTAAAAACGGTCCACAAAATATACATTTGAACACTTGAATAGAGTTTCCCGGATCTTACCTTCCTGACGTTTATTCCTGCGGTAGTTTCGCCCTTTGCATGCCTGTTCCTTAGCTCCGTGACTGTAGCAATAGGATTCAGACCAGCATTCTCGGAGAGTGTGTAAGGGATAACTTCCAACGCCTCTGCAAATGCACGGACACAATACGCCTCCATTCCTGTCAACGTGCGCGCATGTTCAGCCAGCTTGATGGACACTTCGATCTCTGGAGCTCCGCCTCCCGCTATGAGAGCTCTGTTGATATCAAGAATCAGAATGAATTAAATCAACTAATAATGTGAATAAGAAATGAACCGGTTGAAGAACAAATATGAAAAATGACTCTGTCCCTGTTAATCTAGTACGAAGTCTAAGTTGTCCAACTATAGGTGTGAGTAACATGCTACGCTTATAAACCTTCTACCATACATATAATCATAGCCAACGTTGAAAAAAAGGAATTTTGTCAGAAATCTTCACACATACCTCTTACTACCCTCGCTTTCTTGGCCCGTACTGTAAGTCACAGACCGAGTTATTTCCGCTCGGATTTACGGCCCAAGCGCAAGGTTCCGTAATTTAAAGTACGGACCGAGAAAACAAGATTAGTAAGAGGTATGTACAAAGATTTCTGATAGAAACCTCTTTTTTAAACGTTTACAATGATTATATATATTTTGGAAGATTTATAAGCGTACTTTGTTACTCACACTTACAGTTGAATAACTAAGACTCTGGCTTATGAAGGGGAAGATCTCAATTTAAACAAACTTTGAATTTATGGGGCCGCACAGTGAAATTCGGCCCGCTAAACTAATAGATATACACTCAAAGTATAAAGGAAGTATCAGAGTAAAGAAAACTAATCAGTAATCATAACAAGCTTGAGGAAAAGGTTTTGGTACTTGCATATGAACACGCTTCCTCCTTTTGAGTCTATGTTTATGAGACATTTTTCCTCCCCTACCACATTCAAGGGAAATGATCTTCCACTAAGATATCGTTTTCATGATTCACAAGTTACCTCTTCTTAACCAAGCATCTCACAACACAAAGAGCATCATGAAGTGATCGCTCAGCCTCTTCCAAGACAAGCTTGTTGGATCCTCTCACCAATATACTGACAGTTCGACCAGGATTGGTTACCCCTGTCACCTTAACTACTTTGCTGGTACCCAGGGGTACTTCCTCCACAAGCTCTGCAGTTGCCAACATCTCTGGAGTGAAGTGATCCAAACTGGCAATTGGTTTACATCCTAAGCTCTGAAATCAAGAAGATAACAAATTTACTGCATTCATTTCCACGCAAAGTTCTGGTAGTGACAACCTAAAATTGTTGTTTAAATCACGACTGACTCAAATCAAGATTAATATCAATCTACTAATAAGTTCTTAACACTTTCAGAAAAAAAAAACAGCTTACAGTTTATTTTCAGCCGTTTTCCCTCCAATTAAGATTCAACCCTATATAACGCTATAACTAATATACGCTTTCACACAAGAATCTTGAGACAAAAATGTGTACCACCTTTCCAGTAACCTCTATGAACTTCAAAATGGAGTTCTTTGGTTACATCTTTCTACTATTTGTGACTATTTTCCCCTGGATTGCTTGAATAAATTCCTTAGCCCCACAAGGTTCACTTACCTTGCATATGAATTCTATTTCATCTCTCTCTATGTCCCTAACAACAAGAATCTTCATTTTGTTCAAGAAATGGAGGGCTAGGTCACTGACAGCATCTCTGTAAAACAGAAAACAGCAAAGAATATTAACAGAGATAAAGATAAAAACTCTGCAAAAATTTACACTTGTGCCTTCTTTGCCTGGTCCTAAAGTAACAACCCAATCAACAAGACCACAAATAAACACAAAAGCCAAAAAATGTGCACAACATACCTTAGAATAGATTTTTGGATGAGCAGAACATTACATCCTGCCTTTTTTATTTTCTTGCAGATATCAAGGATGTACTGACGTTCCTCCCGTAACACCCTGTCCATCTGTGTGTAGTCACTAACTATTACTTGATTTTCCATCTGATAGGAAAACAATTCATAGTCTGGTCAATTAACCCTTTAAACCCTAACATCAGTATGCATATTCTCCATACTGTTCTCTATAAATTTCCTAATGTGCTGGCAAGGAGAATTTGTTAAACAATCAAGAGATTCTTCAGTTGGTGATCATTTCCTTTACTCTCATAACCTTAATGTTTGATTCAGGGGTGATATTGAAAGGAGAATTTAGATGCTGGTCACTCTCAGGAATAAAAGGGTTAAAAAAGGTTTCTTTAATATGATTACTGTGAATTTTTGGGGTGATTTTAACTCTGAATATAGTAAACAGAAAATTGGTCTTGTTTATATTAACATCAGAAATCTGAACAGGTTTATGTTGCCTAGCCTATCAGCAAAATCAGTGCACCCCCATGCTTGAAAAACTGCTTATCTTTTACTAAATTAGATACAGATTTGTGAATTTTACTTGCTATCCACACAAAGTTATCAATCCATTCAAACTTACATCTGTTTTTGGAGGAGAAATACAGAACTGTATAAGTCCAATTTTGGCTTTCTCCACTTGTGATATTCCTCCAGCCAAATGGCTGATTTTTTGTTCCAGAACAAGACCCTCCACCAGCTCTGTATCATCTACTGTGCCACTGACCATGCCAAGACAAGAAGAGGAAGCAAGAGTTTCCAAAGATGAGTTAATCAAAGCTTGGAGTTAATTGTCTAACAGTCATGTCACAGACAGGAATTGTGATATCATGAACAATCAAGATAGAAAATTTTCTGAACCAAAACACACCGAAAATATTCACAATGGTAAAATATCAACACTATACAAGGAAACAGCTCAGACAGCACTCAATGGTGCAGATTGATTAATCACAGAAGAATATTATGGGGGCAATCATTTGGTCATCATAGCTGTACACCAGAGACATTGCACACTATACCCATCTTTATAGATCTCCTTACAGAGAAGCAATTTTGCAGCCTAATGTTGCTACATGGAAACAGAACTGGGCAAAATTTAAGCAAATCCATTTTAATGACATACCCTAATTTCTGCACAACTCGGATATCTTTAAGGTTAACATTTTCAGCTGTTGCAGGATCAATGACTCTCAGGACAGCATCAACCGTGATTGGTGCCAGAAGATTTGAGTACTGAGAGACAACCTAATGAGGAAATGAAAGGAAGTATTAAGACCACACACAACATCTAAAGAGATGTCAAAATCTCAAAAAAACGCTACTCAGATTTAAAGAAGACAAGAATGTCAGAAAAACACTTTCATGCAGCTCAAAACCTGCTGGAAGTGGAGTGGAGTAGAGTTAACTACTCTACGGTACTTAATTAACACATAATTGGTGCCAGCCCCATCACCTTAGAACTGAGGGATGTCATTGCACTTTTCAGTAGAGATGCTCTGTCACTTAAAGCAACTGGCATGGACATGGTTGTCAGTATTTCCACTGCCTTAGCAGCTGCCTTCTCAAAAGATTCAGATACAGTGGTGGGGTGAATTCCTACAATGATGAAGAAAGACTGTTAAAAAAAGATCAATACATCTGATCACTTTAGTGTCTTTATTTTTGTGACATCTTTCTTACTCTGGAAGGCAAATTTCCCAGTCCAAATCTTGAGGTACATTTGTACATCATGCTCTCAGACCAGACTTTAAAGATAAATAATTTGTTAGACTCTAATCAATGTTTTCTTTGTCTTTTGTTTTACCTCTAGGACCACAAGTAATTAAAAAGAAACAGGAGGTAAACAAGTTGGTGCAGATATACTTTAAGAGTTCTCTCACCAAACCTTTCTCACATAATTTTAAGAGAAGTTGTAGGTTGCCTTAAGTGACCTTAACATTAAAAGATTAATGAAAAAGTTGTTGGGGGCAATCATTTTTTTTCTCCCTCTCATCTGAATAACAAGCCATTAGTTCAAGCAAGCTATTAAATGAAGAGGGTATGATGTCATTCTTTGCATTACACTAAATGTAAGTAACTCAAGAAAGATGCTAATGTTGCTCAAACTATCTAGCCAAGCACATTTAAAGCGATAAATCTTACATGGTGTCTGTATCTAATTTCCACACACAATTAATCCTTGTAAGGCATATGCAGTAACAAGATACCTTTCTCCAGTAGTTTAGCACTAGCACTGAGTAAGCTTCCAGCAATCACTACTACAGTTGTTGTACCATCTCCAGCCTCTATGTCTTGTGCTTTAGACAACTCTACCAGCTAAAATCACAATAATAGATATATAATTTTAACTCATGTGGTTTAGATGGTACACAAAAGCTGTCAGTAGTATCAAAACCTAAAACTCATTTATGAGAGAAAAGACAACAAACTTTTTACTGCATAACACACATAAGCACTAGTTTCATTGCAACTCAAGCAGTCAAGCTTAAAAATGTAGTCCTGGAAACAAGTTACTGCATGAAAAAAATTTATAACTAAGACTCTCAAGGCATTATATATATGAACACAGCAGATACATTAATTCATACTTTACAGATGGTCTAAATGTACAACTGTACACCTAACAAGCCCATGTTGATTGCTTCTATTGACTTTAAACGTATCAGTTACAGTAAAGTTGTTGGAGCAACCATTTGATTTCTCCCTCCCATCTGAATAACAAGCCAGAAATGTGGGCAAGCTATTTAATGAAGAGGGTAAAAACAAACACTTGGTACAGATTCGCATTTTACATCAGTAGTGGAGCACAGCATGTAACTCCAGCAAGAAACATTAAATACAAATTTTGCAGTAAAAATTATATGCAGTTTAATGTAATTTAACAGAGTTAACAACAAAGAGCATCAGCTTTCTCTAGTAGTCTGCTGTTGTTGCATATGCGTGTGCGTGGGAATTCCGTGTACTCTTCATTTAAGGCTTTCTTGTGAAAGCTTTGAGTGTGAACTTTCAGCATTGTTTGAAGTGCCAGCTCATTATCCAGGTAGTTTTTCTCCCTCTTCCTTCCCTCTTTCCACTGTTTATTCAGTGTGACTGGTGCCTGTTTCCCTTTCCTGCCTGAGAGCTCATGGCTGAGTTGTCAGGATTTGCCAGCCATGGGAGCAGTCTCCATCTAGGAGCTGGCTGCCAATAGTGGAAGCTCCTGGATGTCTTGGTCACCCAACCTCCACTTAGTGATGCAGTTGTTAATCATAACTAACTAACTTTTTATATCTTTCCACTCCCTCTACTAACAAGAAACTCTACTGTATATCTCAATATGGATAAATAACCACTTTACCATTCTTGCAGCTGGGTGCAACACCTGCATTTGCTTCAAAATTGTGGCACCATCATTGGTGATTGTTACATCACCATTTCCACTTTGGATCTAAGACAGTAGCCAAGAACACAAACAACAATAAGTTCAATTTTTTGGAATAAGCATTGTACTAAGCTGTACAGAGGGATTTGTTACAATTCCTTTTAAGTGAATATGAATTAGAACATAGACCAGTATCCCATCACCCAAAATATCTATAAAAAATGCAAGAGAGTATATGAGGCTGACTAACTCATAAAGCTACAAAGCTTAAGGCTGTGGGGCTTAAAACTTGATTTATTAACCTTTTACATCCCATCATAGTTTGGGTGATCATTTCCTTAATTCTCATGTCCTCATTGTGCAATTCAGGGGTAATATTGTGCGGAGAAATTAGATGCTAGGAATTCTTAAGGGGTCAGAGGGTTAAGAGATGGAAATGGAAACCTCTCAAAGTTGACGGCTGGAAATCAGTCAAAGTTGCCGGCTGACAATCTGGCTGAGTGCCAAAAAAAATTGAAAAATATATTTCAAACCTTTATTTCCAGTCTGGATAATTTGTCGTATCAAGTCTGCCATCACTTCAATTTCGGATACGTTACAAAAATTCAACATTTAAGCCAAAAAGAGGCTTTGTGCAACCATACAAAGTGAACACGTTTGTTTCACCAACAAAACTCCGATAGTGACAAGACTGCATAGCTCCATTGCTACATGTGGCTGTCACTCACCATTTTGTCCATCCCTTTAGGCCCAAGACTTGTTCTGATCGCATCTGCAACAGCTAAGAACGCAAAATAGTTCTCTTGTAAATCCTCCTGTTGTAGATATTGAATCACAGGCAGAAATACTCACCTTTTGCTGCTGTGATGTTACTCATACGAATCTCGGTGGGCTTATCCTTGTCTTTGAAAGCACCTTGTTTATTTCCATCTCCAGCGTTTGTCTTCGCCTCAGGCATTGTGAATAAATTCCTCAATTAATATCCTTACTCTTTAACGTGTAAACTTTACAATCAAGTTCTGTAGCAAGACGATGAAAACGGATTGTATAGGAAAACCCTAATGCTTGCGCTAAAGAGAGCCACACCAGCTGAAAAGAGCTCTGCATAGACTGGTGCTGAATGACTAGAATTCATGCAGGCGTACATAACGTGTTCAATAAGGCCTACGATATGGCGTCTTCCTCTAACTCAGAAGAGAACAAGAAACTTCCTCCGTTAGAAAAGTTACCTGAGGTAGTGGAAGAACCAAAACCGGTTTATAAGGAGGTATGGGTATCCTTCTTGTCTGTACGTGATAAATATATTTTTGTACAGCCTGGATATTATGGAAAGTAGGGTCACCGTATGCAAGTCACACCGCAATTGAATGTGTACAAAGAGTACAAATTGTACTGTATCGACATCGTGCGATTGTGTTATTTTTTGAGTTGGTTACCAAGTTGTAGTGGTATTTCTTTGATTATTATTTAATTATCTCCCAGATCAAATTTGTAATTCTCCTTACTGTCAACCGTACAATTCTTATAATGTTAGTTCAGAGAATTTACTTTTGGATTAACTAATTTTCCCCAAATTTATATTTTTCTTTATTCTCATCACTTATCTGGTTGATATTGTATTGATATTGTAAGGAGAAATTCTGTCTTGGTCACTCATGGAAGATGAAGGGTTAAAAAAACTAATGAAATTATGTAACCTGATGGTTGTTTTCATCCATAACCTCCTTTTTTAATTTATGCATCTTTTTCACATTCATCTTCTTTTTCTTACACAGGAAAATACCAATGACAGTTGGTCAGCATTGGTTAGGAAGCTTGACATAGAGTTTAATGAGGATTGTGTGAGTTGTAAGTTCATTGGTGCATCAGTGTGTTATGTTTGTGGATACATCGCGTTGAATACTGTCAAGACTATCCCAGCTTCGAACATGCCAGCAAAGGTCATGACTGGATTATTTGGTGTGGGTATGTGAGACTTTTTCTTTGATGAAAACATGCCAAAATCTTTTCTTAAAAGTAAATGATGAAACAATCCTTGCAGTTGAACTGCATGTATTTAGGGGATTGCAATTAAAGAAGCCTGAAAATATTAAGGCATTGACACAGTTTGAAACTGTGCCAACCAGATCATAGTTGGGTACTATTATCAGCATGAAGAAAACTGAAAAAACGTGCTTCATGGGGTTCAAACCAGAATGCATTCCTCCCTCATTTAGGAACACTGCATCAATGTTACTTTAATTATTCTTTCACCTAGGACTTTTTGGGATTGGAACGCTCAGACTTTTTAAAAGTCCGGCTGAACTGGCAATCGACAGACCCTCAAACAAGAGCTCAGGCAAGGACAGTTGGTGGTGACAATGCTGTTGAAAAATATCCATGAGAGAATAAACTATTGTTACTATAAATGTAACTTCCTTTCATGTGTTACTTCATCTGTCAACCCTATAACACCTACAAGGAATTAACATGTAATTTCTCCTTGTGATTCAAATACATTATCTGGCTAACAGGTAATGAGAACTGAGAAGTTTATCATTTGGAAGGTGTTATTTTGATAGAACACCAAATTCTCCAGTCTAGTTCTCAAGGTAATGTATAGCAGTCAGAAGGGAGACTTACTTGTTGGATCTTGGGAGTTAAAGAGGTAATTGAGGAGAAACATTTGTAACAACTGTAAACCAGAAAACAGCAGCTTGTAAGATTCGATTATAAACTGCTGTTATGGAAATTGCTTTAAGGTACTTTTATGAAGGGACCTTACAGCTTGTCAGTATTGAAAATAGGACTCCATAATCTGGCTGAAGTCCAATCTACTGGACAAGAGATGTTTTTGGAGAGCTTATGTTACTTTTGTCTTTAAGTGTGTATGTTAAACATTTCCAATGATGCATAATTTACTCAGCATTACCCAGAAACACAGTGGATATGGACTGTAGATTGTAAAATGCTAAAAACAATGTTTTCAGTAATTTGATTGTAAGACATATCTCTGTTAAGAAGTTTTGAACAATGGAGTTCTAGCTGAACATTTTAAATACTCAGGATAAAGTTTTTGAACATTTCTTTCTTTCCTTCTTTTTGTAGATGATTCTTGTAATAGCCCTCTCCCACTTTCTCCAGGCCACCTTACCCCTCCCCTAATACACCTACCCTGCCCATCACTAGCAAAAAAGGTAATTGCTCTTTGATATCACAAGATTTATTCAAGAATTCAAAACTGATATTAGAGATCAAACACTTCCCATGAGAAGAAGATGAAAAGAGCTTGATTTCCATTCATATCTATCTACTACACCATTAAAATGTGGTTTGGAATTTTACTTTCCTATTATTGTAATTTTTTCTGCAGTTTATTTCCCCCCCCCCTCTCTCTCTCTCTCTTTCTCTCTCTCTCTCTCTCTAAAAAAATAATTTTCAGCCAAAATGCGTTAAAAAAAAACTCTTGTGCCTTGTACTCCTAAAAATTGATCTTAATTTGCGAAACGTAAAAAATTCCTCAAACCATGAGTCTTCTGAAAAGATGAGCTCGGTAATTTAAGCCAATTTGTGATGTTCGCGGCCCTATCAAAAATGGGCTTCCGGGTGCCGAAGTGATTTTCCCACTCGTGGCTAGTACGCGCGCGTGAGGTGTTTCAGTCATGATCTTGACCGGACTGTAACCATATTTCTTTTTCTATTTCCGGTGTATTGAGATCATCCGTTTGAGAGTTTGCGTGGAGGTCTCGTGTCTTTAATCGGCTATCCGTGAAAAGGAGGCATAGAATACATTTTTGGAAACTGTTTTATAGGTTAGCAACGGTAAAGAAGTGCAAACAGCCTTTTAAAAACTTGTTCAAATTCATGAGCGAAAGCAAAGTACAGCGCAAAGTACAGCGCAAAGTACAGCGCAAAGTACAGCGCAAAGTACAAAAATCGACCCGAGATGACCTCCTGAAGATAATTTCCTTTGTTGCCTGTCATAAATAGAGCGCTCACCCTTTGGGAATCGGTTGTTCAGAGTTCCCCGCTCATCGGGATGCTACCCAATATTACGTCATCAATCACGCAAGAATGAGAATACAGGGTACGGACAGACTCATCTAAGAAATTTTCAAACTTTCAGAATGGAAAATAATTTCTTGAAAATTCGGGAGTAACTCTGGTTTTGTAGATAGAAATAAGAGAGATGGTAAGTTTTGAGCTCGGTAAATAAAAGATGGTTTTTTTTTCGTCTTGTCACGACAACAGAAAAATTTTAGTTTCCCATGAGAAGTCGAACCTCAGTCATTCGGTTTACGCGCTCGATGCACTAACCACTGAGCCACAAAGACTCCACGGTAAATAAGGTCTTTTACGAAGTTTAGATCACACGCTTCCTGTATACTGCTAGGATCTGCACTGTCGAAAGCGTAATGTTTGTAGATAGAAATAAAAGAGATAGTAAGTTTTGAGCTCGGTAAAGAAATAGAGAAAGATGTTTTTCTATTTCTTTACCGAGCTAAAAAAAAAATCTTTCTCTAATTCTGGATTTTGTTTCCATGCTGCAGTTTATTAATCGATGAGGAAAATATTTCAGCCTTGTATTCTGAAAATAAAGTAATAAAGTTTGTACACAATATTGTACAATCCCTGAGAGGAAATCATCCATTTCTGGGTCAGGGAGTCCCCCATTTATCACGTGTCCTGCAAGTGACCCAGTGTGGCGTGATCATGCATATCCATATTAGGTAAGTTAAGGGTTCGCTTATTTTATCACCTGAGTAACCGAGCCTGACCTTCCCTTGCAAGCAGCCGGCACGTCACACTCACCCGTAACTCCAAATTCCGCTCAAACCAGCTGTGGATTACACTAATTCACAATGCTCAAAGCATTAGGAGATCCTTATGTTGTCGCTAAATTCCAACAGACGTTTGGTCTAAGGAGGGTGGACGAAAAAGATGACCTCTCCAAGATGCGTGATCAGAACGACTCCTCGTCGTTAGGAAATGGACATGTTTCCGATGGATATTCTACACACAACAACCATCTTCTCACGAACGGTTCAAATCACGCCCATCAGCGAAACGGATTCGTCAAGCCTGAGCCACTAGAGAAGTCCAAATCAGCTGGCAAGGAAAAGAAAATCGGCCAGCAGTACGAGTGCAACAGATTTTTCCACGCGCTTTTCGTGTTTGGTTCAACCCTGGGCTACGAGTCGTTTTATCTCACATTTTTTCCTTTCTTGATTTGGAACATTGACGAATATCTGGCTCGAAGAACTGTTATTTTATGGGCTGTTATTATGTACCTAGGCCAGAGTGCCAAAGATGTCATTCAGTGGCCAAGACCGCCATCTCCTCCAGTGATTTCTGTGGAGAAACGTTTCCAAGTGGAATATGGCATGCCGTCGACCCACGCGATGGTGGGGACTATTATTCCGTTTTGTTTGGTGTATTTTAGTTACGATCGTTACCAGGTAAGCTCATTTTTGTCGTGGTTTGTACCTGTTACGTTTATTAATATGTTTAGGGTTAGCTCCTTGTACACTTGTTGTTGCAATCAGACCATGTAAATATGTCACTTGAGGTGGGAACATGCTAATCAAAGAGATAATTGTCCTAACATCGTTCGTAACGAATCGATGGCTTGCTACACTGTCATGTTAATGACCGTTTTATGCAAACGGGAAATTTTCCACACCCCTTTGTCTTGATACTGTATACAAGTTTTGTTATGCCAAAGGAAGTAAGTTTCGTAAGAAACTGTGGTGTTGCGTCGGTGGGAGAGTATAACAGGGTAATTTAGTAAGGTAAAATTTCCGCACAGCCCCATAAATAAAACAAATCTGTTTTCTCAACGGCAATATATTTTTTGTCGTTGTTTTCTCTATCCAAGAACTGAATGCATAATGTAGTAGGGAGCTGTGCAGAAAGTTTACCATTTAGTATGATCAAATGAATTGATAACGTAAACTGGCGACCGTAAGGAGTTTCAGTGCATGACTTCTTGGATGTCAGGAAGTGATTCAGCTCAGATCAGACAAAATTCCTGAATATTTTGAAAGGCAAATTTGAGAGATCGGTGGATCGCTTGTGGTGCTGCATTGGTGGGAGAGTATAACAGGGTAATTAGTATTATCAAATGAAATGATAACATAAATTGGCGACTGTAAGGAGTTTCAGTGCATGGCTACTTGGATGTCAAGAAGTGATTCAGCTCAGATCAGACAAAATTCCTGAAAATTCTGAAAGGCAAATTTGAGAGATTGGTGGATCACTTGCATCATTTTCTTGATAGCAAGGTGCTGATAAGGAAATAAAAAATGATCCCTGCAAAAATTAGTGAAATCAAGTACTGTCTCCAGTGTCAAGTGATGTGCTCTAATTTGCCTCATTTTGTGTACAAAATACTTCAAGCTCAAATGCAGCCTTTAACAATACAAATTGCATTTTGCCTTTATTTAAAAATGCTTTACAAATTGCTATCAGAGTATCTTCATCATCTTTGAAAAGAAGCATGAAAAAATTTCGAGTTCCTCCTTGGAATTTGCAGTTTTAGATTACAAGGAAGTTGGACCAGGGTGATAGCATTTATAACCTTGTTTTCCAAGGAATTCTACCGGCAAAGTCTTCTTGGTACCCCATCTTTTAAAAGAAATATTTATCAAGGGGCACAATTACGTAATAACATAAAATTCTACAATCTAATAGATTAAAAACAAAACAACTGACTGTTGTTCTCACATGGATTTTATTTTTGTTGTAGTATCCCTTATACATTGGTGTTATATTTGGAATATGTTGGTGTGTTCTGGTATCAACCAGTCGTCTGTACATGGGAATGCACACACTGCAGGTATATACATTTACTTTCAAATATTTGATTGTCAGCACAAGAATGAGATTTCTCTAGTCAAGAGGGAAAGTTGTCTCATGCTTCCTGTTATATAGTGTTCCTGTTCCCTCTCACTTTAAGAGTTGATGTCAATTGGAACCCTTGTCATTGTTAACTTGTAGAAGAAGTTACTAGGTGCAGCTTAGTTTATATTAACTGTTTATCTCCCAAAAGTAATTGACATGTAAATTCTCCTTGTAATTCTAACAGGGTATTCATCTTTATCTTGTAAACAGATCGTGAGAACAGAGAAGCTTATCAGAAAGAGGGTGTTGTTTTGGAATAAGACCAAATTTCCCTGTCTAGTTCACTTGGAAGATTCAATGGCAACAAGAAGGGAGAATTAGTATTGGGATCTTTAGAGCTCAAGTTGAAGGGTTAGCCCTTTACACCCTAACTTCAGTATGCACATTCTCCATACAGTTTTTATACATTTCCTAAGGTGCTGAGGAGGAGAATTTGTTTATTAATCAAGAGAATATTTAGTTTGTGATCATTTTCATTTATTCTCGTGACCTTACTGTGTGATGCATGGGTTATACTGTTGGGAGAAATAAGATGCTAATCAGTCTCAAGGGTTAAAGGATTAAGATGTAAAAAGAACTTGTGACTCTCACTTGGTATAATTTATTTAATGATTAACTTCCAAATGTAAGGTCAAAAATAAGAAATTTCAAAATTTGAAGACTTTGGATTTTGGCTTGAGTCAAATGTCAAGTCTTATGAAGTGGCATATTTAATTCCTAATCTTTAAAGGGAGTTTGAATTTTCCAATAAGCAGGAAACATAACAGACAAGACAACCCTTCAAATTATTTTTTAAGTGTGTGGAGGCAGCATGGCTGAGTGGTTAGGGTGCTGGACTTGTAATCTGCTGGTCCCAGGTTTAAGCCCTCCACCCTGTTACCCACTAGATTTTTTCTTGGTTGCCCTGAGTTCAACTCCTTGGCTGCGCTGTGTAAGTAGCCAACTGATCTGCCCCCCTGCTAGTAGGGATTTTCAAGCACTTTATGTTTATTTGAGACATTTGTTTCTCTCTTTGCACGTATGAGCATAAGTAAATGAATATGTACATGTTATAAATATTAAATTTATTGTTATTTTTAATAACTGTTGTGGTTATTTTTAATAACTGTTGTGGTTATTTTTAATAACTGTTGTGGTTATTTTGATTTGTTAATTTTGTTTATTGCTATGTTAAAGTTTATTTTTTCCTTTGATCATGAAAAGGAACATGTCTGTCTGATTAACCCTTTAACCTCTGGGTGTGATTAGCATCTATTTTCTCACTAAGGTATCACTGCTGAATCAAACATAAGGCTAGTGAGAATTAAGGAAATGATCACCAACTAAACAAACTCTTGATTGTCTAACAAATTCTCCTTGTTAGCCCTTTAGGAAATGTATGAATAACAATTTGGAGAATTTGCATATTGATATTTGAGTGTTAAAACATGGCAGGGGTAGAGAGAAAGAGCAATGGATTTGATTTGCATTTTGGCATTTTGCAGGATCTTCTTGTTGGCATTGCATTTGCTGTTGTTTTACTTGTCACTGTGATTCCACTTCTGGATGTGTCTATTGACAAGTGGGTGTTCAGTTCTCCAAACACACCAATTTTTCTCATCGTGGTTCCAATGATCATGATCCTCATGTATCCATCACCACCAAAATACACTCAGACGAAAGCAGATACTGCTACCATTATATTTGGAGCCTGTGGAGCACTGCTTGGTACTTGGGGAAGGTTTTACTTTCAAGGGGTGCCCGACCCTTACCAAGGGGCACCATACCCAATCCGAATTCCTGGTTATGAGGAGATGTTTTGGATGATTGGCAAGTTTTTGTTTGGTGTTGGAGTGATTATTCCAACGCGTGCAGTGATGAAGTCAACAGTACATACAGTTGTACCATGGCTTCTTGCAGAGACTGATCCAAAGAAGATGAAATCTGTTTCAGAAATCCCCCATCGTTTCCTCACATATATAACGGTTGGCTTCACTGCAGTGTTCTTTGTTCCTCACATTTTTGCTTATGTTGGAGTGTGACCATCTCACAGTGGCGGTTCTCTCTGATTACTATTGAAGTCGTGGATCAATGTCAGTATCTGAGCAAAAACACCCCTAACCCTCCCTTAACCTGATAACAGACAAGTGATAACAGGTTAGGGTTAATTTTGGACTGGGGAAGGCATAGACACGCAGTTTTTCAGATACTGGCATTGATCTGATCATCATTCAAGGAGTAAAGGTATAATTGATCCTTAACCTTGTAAACAAAATTTTCATTCTGTGCTACTGTGAGATAAAAGATTAGAATCTTGGAATTTCTTTTTATTGAATTTGTAGTTATACTCCCAAAGAATTGCATTAACAAAGAGCCAAAAATGTAAATATATAAACCAATGTAGTTAAGGGCTGGTAAGCAGCATGGCTAAGTATTTGGTTGAAAACATTGATGACATTTGTCATCAGCAATTATAGGCTTCAGATTTTGTGGACTGTTTACCAGCTCTCTATGGTATCAAAAACTGATGGTCTTACCAATTGTTGGTGTGTTCTGTAATCAATGACTGGCACATGGTAAAGCTGGAATCTTTTTTTATCACAATAAATAGCAAAAGAAAGTAGAGAAAATTTCAAAACTTGCCCAGTAGCTCAACTGCCCAGAGATTCCACTGCAAATATTTTTCAAGGTCACCAATAACTTCTGTTTTGGTTTATTTCATCTTGATGGTAATCATGTTCTGCTAAATTATTTTTCAATGTCACATCTTTTAACTTCAGAGTAATCCTATAAACTTTATTTAAACCAAGCACCATGTTGAGCAACTAGGTAAACACATTTCCTATGTAGCCATGTATCTATACCTTGATAGATCATTTCAGCAAAGACCAATCACAGAGTGGGTAAAATTCACTTCGCTTAAGTGTATGAACATGTTACTAAGCAACATAAATATATCAGAGCTGTCTCATTATTTAGTAAATCATTATTATGATCATCATGTAGGCATAACATCAGCTGCAGAAAAGGGACTAAAAAACAGATGGCAACAATGTTAAGTGCAATGTCTTCAATTTTTCTGCAACACAAACTTTCCCATTTCTTGGCCTCAAAAAAGTAACCTTTAAGTAAATGTCATGAGCTCATTGATAAGATTATGGTTAGGTGCAGTTGGCCGTTCAAAATAATTTTGAAGTGTTAAATTTATTTTTAATTATTGTGGAAGGTTTTCTCGAAGAACAAACTTGATAATTTCCCAGATGAATGATTGAAAGACATACTCTCCCACAGTTCTAAACACAATATCATCCATACCAGTTGTAGAAAGGGAATTCAAGGTGCAAGAGAATTGTAGAGGTGTCAAAGTTGAGCTGTAGCTGATTTCTGTGTATAGTTGTAACAATTTTTTTTAAGTTTTTGGACATATTTTCGTTTTTTCTTCTTCCAAAAACTATTCTTATGCAGGAAGCAAAATACCGGAAAAAATATATTTTGGGTATTACTAATGGTTCGGGATTGATGTCAGTGACAGCTGTTATTTTCATTGTCTAGTTTAAAAATGGCCTCACTCAACATTGTTCTCAAAAGTTGTGCCCCAAAATAATTTTTTAACTATTTGCCTTTGTTTTGCATTATAAAAATACTCTTTTGGGTAAGGTAAGGTAAAGATTTTCCAATTAATGTTTTGGTTACATTCCATATAAAAATGTGTTTCAAGCTTTGTGAGTTTCATATTGTATTACATCCTAATATGTACTTAGTATCTGTTAACTTGTCAGAGTTGTTTCTGATCAAAAGCTATGTAAATAATAAGAGTTGCTTCTATTTTACTAGACTGTGCTGTGCACTGCTATTAATATCAAATCTTTATTTCTTTCTCTTATAATGTAAAGAACAATGAATTTTTGGGAAGATTTTAGAGATAATCAAGCCTAGTTCTTAGCCTTTTTCTCTTTGGTGTTATCACTGCACTCAAGGAGAATAAGGATCTGTCATGATTGAGTAGCTTCTAGGTTTAACCCCTAAATCTGCATGATTCCCATTCTCGTTATACGTAGACACTTTTTCTTGCAAAACTAGTTGAGCAAACTTAGTGTTTTGAAGATAACTATCTCAGACTGAAGAGTTTATTTACTCTTATTATTTTGCCAAAGGATGTAATAAATTATAAAGGGTGTTGAGAAACTATGTGTTGGTCAGTTATGGCCAGGGACTTTTTATACAAGCTTTACAAACTGAATCAGAAGTAGGTACAAACTAATAGGGGGTTTTACTAAATAACAATTTAACTCTTTTATTAAATATAGTGGGCGCACTGAATTCTTAGATTTTTCAAGACACACTTTGTGTTTGACAAGAAACTAATGTCAAGTTGTGTTTTAGTAACATTGAGCAATTTTGTAAGCTCAGTCAAAATGTGGTTCATCTCTGTCAATAGATAGAGAGACAAGAGTAAAGTATAATAAAAACTTCACTAACAAAGATTCCCTGGCACATGTTTCTTACGTTTGTAATGGATACATAAGGAATTATTTTTATTCTGGGAAGAGGTCAAAAATGCATAAACAGTAGTCATGTGATACCATTCTGTTCCTTTTTTTTTAATTTTTGGAAGATCATGGTTTTGAATATTAGATAGGTTGGGGTAAAATTCAGATGCAGAACTGACAGCAAAAACTGAAAGAAAACCTCCCAGCAACCCCAGGTGACATAATACTCACAGATCAGATACCAGTTTATAGCCCTTTCCCCACCTCTCCCAAAATTTTTATAAGCCTTCCCCTAGCAAATCACAGGTTCCCATGAAGAGAGGTACTGTTTGAGTAGTTAATCTTGCTCAAGAAAAACTTTTATTCATAAATTTGTTTAACTACAGTTTAAAACATCATCAAACAACTTTGTGTGCTGCAATGTTTGAACATCACATTGCTACCTATGTTCTTGTAAAGGTGCATTGCTTCTTCCTTTGTGACCAGAATTTTAAGATCAGTGTGGCACTATCTCATAGCAAAGTCAATAATCTGTTCCTACAAACAAAAATATAACAGAGAGAATTATTTAACAAATCATTAATATATTCTGGGATTCCAAAAAATTTGAAGAAAAGGGGATATCAAAGTTAGGCAGTTTTAGACACTTGTCTTTCTTCTCCATTCCCCTTTAGTGCTTCTGCTTGATAAAGAGATTACTACGGGGTTCCTTTCCTTCTTTTAGAGACAAATTTCAAGAACTTTTCCAGGACTTTTCTATGGCTCAGATTGACTTTTTCCAGGACCCCAAATTTCACATTAACCTTTTCATTTCCAAGATTTCAAAATCAGTTCAAACATTTCTTATCATGGAAATTCTGAAAATTTTATTGCTTGAGGTAAGCAGATTTCCGGGATTTTCCAAGACCTGAAGTCTTTTTCCAAGACTGGATAGTCCTGAAAAGTGTCAAGATAAAATTCCAGGACTTTCCAGGTTTTTCAGGACCCACACAAAACCCTTTTAGTAGCAATACTTCTATCAATGCTGGCTTAATTTCTTTTACCAATGGTAAGCTTTGTTAATCAAATTAACTATTAAATTTCATTGACTAAAACTGTTTACTTACCTTGATAGGGAGCATAGCACTGGTTGCTATGAGCCCCACTGATCGTGCAAGAACTGGGAGAGGACTTGATGTTGAGTAAAGTCTCTTGAGAGCATCAATAGCTGTGATCATAGGGACTACACTCTGCTGCCGTTTTGTTTCATATGTTAAAAGATGCTCCAGAGATCCTGGAAATGGAAAAAGTGGTCTAAGACGATAGAATCATGACATACAATTCTGAGTAATAAGCCAAGAGATTTTCTACTTTCTTTGATGGTTATCTTGTTTGTGTTTTTTTATCATGACTGACTGATTTATAAATTAAAGTAGTAAGACTTACAAAAATACTTAAGATAGCATAGCTATGTCTCTTCCTGCTCGGGAAAGTTGTGGGGGTCAAGATGGCCTGACGTTTGGCATACAAGCCAGGTCACTGTGATGGTGTTGTTAACCCTTTCACTCCCAACATCTTATAAGTAATTCTCCTTACTTTATGTCATACAATTCTTATGATTTTAGTTTGGAGAATTTGTTATTGGATAAACTAATAATCCCCTGTTGTTTCTCTTTGTTCTCATCACTTGTCTGCTTGATATTGTATCAATGTTGTTGGGAAAAATTCTGTCTTGCTCACTCATGGGAGTTATAAAAGGGGTTCTCACAGTGAGGTCTCCCTTCACCCTAAGTTTAACTTGGTACCAAAAAACTGCCAGGAGAAGCCTCAGAAAATGGAGTAACAATCCTGATCACTTCATGCGACAAGAGCCAAGTTATGCACCAGGTACTTAGAGTTACATGTTGACTTATACTAATTATAAATCTTGAGAAAGATTGATTCTTAATTACCAAGATCTTTTCCTTCCTGTGCAGCCTCAGACAGCACATCTCTTAGACAAGCAACATCTCCAAACCCCATGTTGACACCTTGTCCAGCTAGAGGATGGACTCTATGAGCAGCATCACTATAAGAGAAATATGGAGAACTCAACATAAATGTTAACTTTGTAGTTAGAACACACAAGGGAAAGTGCTACGCAGTTTTATCCTTCTTGGGGCTCTATGTTATGTACAAATTGTCTCAGGGCATCTTACAAGTGTCACCATTATAGCAAAAAGACTAACTCACCCTATCAAAGCCAGTCTTGGTCTGACATATTCCATGGCATGACCAAAGCCATATGGAAACATTGCTCGACTACCTTCCTCAACACCACTCACACTAGGGGGAGACTGGGTACCAGACCCCACCTCTGAAACAAATTGGCAGCGTAAGAGTTTTTGATACAAAGAATTAGAAGGAGTAACAAAATTAGGAATGAGAGATTCAAGCATTGCAGCCCCAACATATAAATTTGCCCCAGGGTTTTCTATACATATTTTAAAAACTGCAATGTTGTTGATTCATAAATGTAAATAATTAATAGCAACCATTGACTCAGTTGCAAAAAGAGATGGTGAAAATACAAAGAATATTAAACACTTCTCTTCCTTAGTGAAAATAAAAGCTAGCCAAGCCAAGGAGTAAAAATAATTTCTGATCAATAAATCAGTTTACATAGCCAGGAAATTTAAAATGAGGGAGACAGGATGAGAAATGGAAAGGAGAATTGAACACTTGGGAGGAAAGACCTTACTTGTCCATGGCTGAACGAAAGAAGCTAACATATATGACATCCTTGTGGCTTGATCCACCAAAGGATTGCGGTCCAAGTCCTCCCACTGAAAAAAGTTAAGAAAAAAATTATATAAAAGCTCTAAGCTTACAAAAGAGGAAACATAAAGGTTTTCATATACTACAGCCAAGAGGCCAGGCTTGGTTGGTCTCAATCTGTATCACATGTGTGATAATTATAATAAAGAACATCTCAAGAAAACATAAATTTTTTAGAATGTACAACCTTGGACATTTTGGTTCTTAATTACAACATTCTTTAAATCAAATTTTGACAAATGACCTACAAAATAGATTTATGAATTCTGACGCTTCTTTCCAATATGGAATGATACCATGTTAACCCTTAACACCCTAAAATCAGTATGCATATTCTCTATACTGTTCTCTATACATAATCCCTCAGGTGCTGACAAGGAGAATTTGTTCGACAATCAATATTAAATTCTAGTGAATTTATTCTTGTGACTCTGCATGATGTGTGATTACAGGGTGATATTGTAAGGAGAAATACAATGCTAGTCACTATTTGGGGTAAAATGCTCAGAAAAAGAAAAAAAATAAGCTAAGATGATAGACCTATATATTTCATATTTAAAACTTACAAATGCATTGTTTACAGCATCAACAAATCTATCTTCCTCTAATGAGACCAGCTGTTTAGCATGTTCCAGAGTTGTTGACCACACTAATGAGCTTAAATTGTCTGTGAGCTAAATAAAGACCATAAATTAATTTAAAATAATTGTAAAAAAAATTTGGAAAATCATGTTGATTGATAATAAACTAATTGTATCATCTTTCTTTTCTTTCCTTTTTTCTGGTATATTCTTCAAACAGCAAATAGTTTTCATGTGGGTCTCTACTCTAAATGAATCTAAGGCTCTGTTGAAGATCCATAATGGGATCTTTGGAAAGCCAAAAGATCCCTCTAATTTGGAAGTGGAGATAGAGACCATCAAACTTAAGATTAACTTTCATTGATGGTAAATTAATTGTACCCAATAAATAAAAGTCTGTGGTAAATTTACAATGATTTTGTGCATGCACTGGGATCTGAAACATGAAGCACTTAACATCATCCCATATAATTATACTCACTGGTAGAAGAGCTATTGGTCCTGTTGGCAAAAACTTCTGCCATGCAACAAGGTTATCTGTAATCTACAGCAGAGAAACACTTTTTTAAATTAAAAAAAAATCTGACTGTTACTTGAAGTTCTTCTCTTAAAGAAAACCTCACTCAGGTAGCCTTCACTAGCATCAGTCAGTATTTCTAACAAAGAGCAAGAAGGTTTTTTTAAAGTAAAAGCTGCATCATCTTTACAGAAGATTACTGCAAAGTCATAATACTACCTCTCCCAACTGAAGAGTTGCCACAACTCCTGTCTGATCATATTTCCAGGAGAGACAATCCATTGATGCTTGTTGCCGCACCAGGGACTGTGGACCATCAGCTCCTATCTTACAAAGGAATGAACTGGATCACTTATTTTATAAACAATACATAGTCCAAACCCAAAGCTGTGCTCATTGGGTGTCCAGTCACTAGAGGCCATCAACATTTGGCTTTGTATTGTCTCAGCCTACATGATTCCATGTTTTAAGTTTGGCATGCAGAGAATATGCCACAAAATTATAAGTGTTTTAAATTTAGGACTAAAACCACTATTTTAACCTGATTCTAAATGCCAGTTTTAGAATGGACTTGGAAATTAATAGGTTTCTAAAAACAAGGACTGGGATTTGAATTCTAAAATAAGAGTTACTTCATGGAATGACTTAGTATATGTTCTAGGGCACTTGTTGCTGTGGTAAAGAGGGAAAAGAAACCACAAATTTTCTCTGTATTTACCACATACCACTAGTCTTGAGTGAACTGTCCTTCCATCTTCCAGCTCCAAGGAAGCCCATGTATGACTAACATCCTTGTTATCCTTCAAAGTCACATGGTTTTTAACAAAGATATCAAGCTAATATTTTTGTGTAAAGCTCTGACAATAATCATGCATTCATCCATGGATTCATTCTTTCAAATCACTTAAAATACTTGTGTGACAGATTTGAAATTAGAACCGCATCAAAACTTTCCTGAATATGAAATCAATCTATGTTCAAGTCCACCAATACTGTTAAAATGGTTTAATTTAATATTTACTTAAAAAAATTACAGCCATAGCATGGAAAAGTTGAAAATGAATTTAAATTCCTAATGATTTTAAACTTCAGCTGACAGTTGACTCGTATTTACTTCTTTGTTGAAGGATTATGGGTAGCAAGTAATCTTTCTGAAGAGATAATAACACTTAACACAAACTTGTTTCTTCATTATGCAAAATTTGTATTAAAAAAAGATAAAATATTAACTTCATATAAATATCCATCCATACCAAATCTTTTGTTAAATCAGGCAAACTTAATTTCTTGAGCTTTGTTCCATGCAGAACCTTCACTCGCGAGTGAAGCATTTTTAGCTGTTTTCTCAGGGCCTCAAGGGTGACAGGATTTTCTACAATGAATCCCATGTCTTTTGAACCATCCAAATCCTTTGAACTTGATTCAAATGTGATGTGTGCATCACTGCAAGCATCCCAAACCTTAACAAAAAAAAACAAAAAAACAAAAGAATGTCATAACCATGAATAAATTACCTCCTGAGACTTTACTCTCTGATTCTCTGCATTATCTGTCGAACATTTCCCATGTTCTTAGAATCACGAATTACAAGTTATATCCACAAGCTGATTATTTTCTTTTCTTCTCATTATATTTCTGTTTGAAAATACATAGATATTGCAGTAAAAAGAAATTCCTCCTCAGTCACTCCCAAGATTGCAAGGCTCAGTGGTTATGAAGAAAACAACAGATTCATGAGGTGAGAGACAGAGTAAAGAGGAGTAACCCTTATATAAGATGAAAATATGTATAGCTGTAAGTATAATTTTAATGCTTACTTGCATCCTTCTAAAAGGCTTTTGTCTCATTTCACAAATATGATCCCAAGCACCAATACCTTACAACAAAAATAATCATACACAACTTAAACAGATCTTTGTATTTACAAGAAATCTAATCATGCATGAATTCAAAATACTTGTTGGTAGACCATGGTATTGGGATTTTAAGTTCAATAGCTGTCTTGTTTCCTGAGGTAAATCTTAAAGAAATTATGAGTAAGTCAGCACCTCAGTAAATGTATAGAGAACAGTATGTAGAATATGCATACTGATGTTAACTTTCAGTGTACAAGTGTAAAGGGTTAAGTTTATAACCTTGGCTATAAAATTATTATCAAATAGCACTTACTTTCCAGAAGCCTTTTGGAACCAGGTGTGATGTTGCTAACGCGGTTGCTGTATACTGAGGTGATCTTTTGAGGTCTGTCAGGAGCTGCTTCCAATAAGAGAATCTTGTGATCATCCAAAGATTTCTCTAGTCCTTGACGGAAAAAAAAACACAAATATGATTTACAGAACTACCCAAAGACTGTTTGCATGTAGTGGCTGAATCACTGCATAACATCCCGACATGGAGAAGTCCTCTTTCTCACCTAGAGCACAGGCCAAACTCGAGCCGACCATTCCACCACCAATGATGGTAACATCATAGAAATCATGTGTATCTTTACTAGCAGCTGTACATAAAGAACACACTCTAAGTTTCAAAAACTGTTTACAGTTCAAAGATTTCCTCACAGCTGAAAACATTGTACCAAGCTGACGGAAGGAAAGATTACATAATGTATGGTACCGCTGGCCAGGTAATTTTGATTTATTGTCATGTATGCTCAACCAAGTGACGCGCGTTCTAAATCAAAGATGGCTTCAGCTGACAAAAATGTAGTGGGGTTACTAAATGGATTGGCACGAAGGGAATATTTCGGAGAATCGGAAATCACTGACGACTTCCTGCACCAAGAACTTTTTCCCGACCTAGGAAGAGAGCAATTTGATGCAATGCTGTCGAGATACGAGAATTTAATGCGAAATATCGTATCTGCGGATATGGATTTCAATCAACTCGAAGCCTTTCTGACATCTCAGACGAGACGAAAACAAGGCTCACTGACCCAGGAACAAGCTGCAGCGTTTTTAAAGTTCTGGAAATCGCAAAAGGTAAAAATCCACGATGTCTTGGTCCAGAGATCGTCGTGGAATAACAGATTGAAGGACATCAGCTGGAGGATTGATCTGAAGAGCCAGGGGAGACATCTTCAACAGATCAACACACCTGTAGCTATCGTGGAGATGCAGGTTGAGAAACGATCAACTGAGAATAAGGTAGAGTATTAGTATTTTATTTTTTAAAATTTTTTAATCGTTTCTATCCTTTCATATCTCCCAATTGTAGAACACATAGCCTTCGGCTGGAACACTGCAGTCATCACCGTCCTGGGGGAGTAGCCAAGACGCACATTCCTTTTCTAAGCAACAATTTCCAACTTTAGAAGTGTTCAGAACGAGCACAAAGGGAACTAGGAATAAATTAAATAATTCGAAGTAGTTTGTCACTTTTTGAAGTCTAAGGGTTACAGTTTTACTTTACATTAACAGCAAGCTCAAAATTAACCATCATCTTAGTTTCTTATCCTAATTGTACACAACATTTTTGATATCGCTGGTCCTAGCAGTGTGCAGGTTGCATGTCACATGTGAACCTTGTAATGGCCTTGCTTACCATTAGGTCGATCTGTGTGGCTCAAAGATTGAGCATTAGAGTGTGGAATCTGAGGTTCTATTCCTCTGTGAGACTCAAACTTTTCTTGCTTTGTTGCATGATTGCGACAAGATTAAATTAAGTCTTTCCCCTTGCTGCAATAGTATTGATAAACATTTATACATATTTTTCAGGAAACAGATGTTTTCCAGTTTGAAATGGATGAATCTCAGCTCTCAAATATCCTCTCAAGTATTGATGAAATTGAAAAGAAACTCACAAGTTATGCCCAGTGAATTTTCACATTCTCTCAATCAGAGAGTAGTGATACTGATACACAAATGACTACCCACAAAACAAAAAGGTCTTCAGTAATGATAAATTGTTGATTCTCAGAATGATTACCTAGTTAGATAGCTTCATTATGTGAATATTACATTGTAGGTGAGAATTGAATAATAATCAAGCTGAAATAGTTTTTCAACTAATTTTCATCAAATGTATAACAAAGTCCATGTCTCAAACAATATTGTGATAATTAGAATACAACTTTCTTTTATAGGGGTGTGGCACAATGGGGCACAGAATAACAGCTAAAGAAAATGAAACAAGCAGCCCTGTAACCCTTTACATCCTAACATCAGTATGCATATTCTCCACACTTTTCTTTATACATTTTCCAAGGTGCTTACAAGGAGAATTTGTTTGTCAATCAAAAGCTTCCTTCCCTTGTGACCATTTCCTTTATTCTCATGACCTTAATGTGCAATTCAGGAGTGATATTGTAGGGAGAAATTAAATTCTAGTCACTGTAAGGGTTTAAAGGGATAAAGAAACAACAGGATTTTTCTTTTCTAGTTGTAAATTTTTGCACCATACTCTCCCTCATTTTGGCTCTGCTGCTGCTATTGCACCATTTATTATTTTGCACAGAGTTCACATGGTCTTATTTGCCAGACACCTGGAACAGGTTCCTAAGTCACTCCCCTCTCACTTTAGTTGAATAAGTACAATTTCTCCCAAACAAGTTTGGATGATTATAGAAGTATCAATGAAAGTAACAGGTGAACTTTGTGAGAATTTGAAAGAGACTATTGCAGGTTTTTATTTATATTTCTTTTCCTATTAAACCCTGTACCACAAATAAATACATAAACCTACAAAAATAATTGAAAATCCCAGTAGCAATTTCATTTAAGGTAAGGCTTGATGTAATGATGTAAACTAATAACATGTCATCATTTTGACTTATGAATGTAATCCATCAGCATTTCCTCTCATGAAAGAAGCAACATGTTCCAAAATTATTCACTTAGTATTGTAGAAATAGTGAAAGGCATAACAAGGTTTTCAAAGAGATGAAGTATAGAATAAATAAAGTAAATCTTAAATATAGTGGCTTAATTGTTAGTTAAGTTTGTAATAATAGGACTAAAAAAAATAAAACTTGAAATTACTTATTGACTAGAAGTCTTATAGAGAATAATTTATTTTAATTAGCAAAGTTTACAGTGGAAATAACTAAAGATAGAGTAAAGTAACACAATCCTTAGATATCAATTGAAAAAAAAAAAAAAAAAAAAACAGGTGAGAGCCCTTGATTAAAAGCTGCTGGTCAAATGAACAGTATTCACCACTGCATTCAATTTGATGTTTTGCTCTTCTGAAGTTTGTTGTTAAATAGCAGACTTCAGAGGAATTGGCATCTGTAATTGAACATCACATTAAGGCAGAAGCTCCCCCTTATGTGGGTGATGAATATTATTTCAAATTGTAAACAAAAAAACACACTTAAAACCACTTTTTTAAATAATTCATAATGAAAGGCAATACTGATGGTTAATAACTGACTGTTACCAATTGAAAGTTCTTTCTCTGAAATCTTACCACATGGTGGCAAATATTTAATAAGAACACAAATTAATGTGACTTCACAGGTTATTACTACAAGATATTCAACTTAAGTTTAAGTTCCTATGACCCACATTTTTTTAAGCCATCAGTTGCTTATTGTCATGGTAAAAATTTTGATGTTTACCCAGTAAAATTTCAATTGTTGTATCTCTTTCCTTTTAATTACTGAGAGCCATCAGTCTAGGCATTGAGCATACTGAATAACAGCATAGCTCCCTGATGTCATCCAGTCTTTATTGATAGCCTCCAGTTTGTCATCTTGACCTGGTGATAATCCAACTTGGACATCAGCCTTCAGGGTTCTTAACGAACACAGAGGTGCTGGCAAAAATCCCCAGAGGGCATGTGTAAAAGGAGTTGTATGATTCCATTTACGATCACCAACCAACTTGCGATAATTCAGGTCACCCTTGAAAAATACAATCTTTGCCTTTGACAGCTCTCTGTACAACTCAGGGGCAATGCTTTTCATTTCACTAAAATCTTGGGCCAGTGTCCAAAATGGGTGGCTTTGAAGAATGAATGTTCCTTCTCGGAAGCGCTGAATCCAGCGATCTCCAAGTTCAGATAAGCACTTGTTTGAAGAACCTTTCATTTGTTCTGTCATCCACAGGACATCTTTGTTACTAGCATCAGAAACAAACCAGGGAATTTGCTTTGTATGAAGATGAATCTCCTTGGCTAAATTTGCTTGCAGCAAAAACTCTGCAAAGCATAGGTCTGTAAAAAGTTCAAAGCCTGAGTTGTCCAGAACAAAATCAATCCTGGGGTTTTCACTGCTACAAATTGTGTTCCAGACATCTTGAGAATTGTCGACAATTATATTTTCTTTCATGCGCTGAAGATGGTCAGTCTGACCTGCTCCTTCTTCCTCTGTGATTTCACCACTAGAGATCGAAAGGTCACAACGGTTTCCCCACAAACAGAACTGTGAAAAAAAAGATAGAAATTCCTGCACTAACATCAGCATGATTACACTTACAAGTAAGTGACCTGAAAGAAAAATTTTGTCTATGGGGAGTATTGTTCTCCTTTTCCGGCAGTAATCTGTCAAATTTATCACCTAAGTACCTCTTTTTGCCACCTCAAATAAAATTGTTTTTGATTCTTGAAGATCAATCTATAGAATGAAGTTATTTTACTGGTCTAATTTCAATGTACAGGTATATCTTTAGCCTTCACCTGAAGCAGAGTGTCAAATGCATTTTTCACTTTTCTTTTCTCTTCATCATCAACACCAGAATCATGTAGGGAGTGATCAAGGAACTGAGCCAAGGAAATTGCTGAGTTCTGAAGTCCTTTAAATGATTCTTCTTTCTGTTCTTGAAAGGGATCAAAGTCCTGGTGGTGCTGGCTATCAAATAATAATAATGATGATGATGATGATGATGATGATGATAATAATAATAATAATAATAATAATAATAATAATAATAATAATAATAATAATAATAATAATAATAACAGTATTACATTTAAAAATTATACAAAAAAAATAGTAAGTGTGCTGCAAGTGAGTTTTTTTGGGCAGGTATTGTGAGTTGTGGTGTCTTTTTTTAAAAGATTAGTTGATAAATGCTAGTGTTATTCCCAGGCTAGTGTTATTCTCAGGCACTTTTGTTATTACGGCTTTTTCATACTTTGGTCACTAAATTAAATAGTTGTATTAAGGGAATGGTTGTTTTTTTCACTGACAGTCCGGGGTCAGGGGATTTTGGTTGCACTGCAATATAATTAACCAGATTCCTCATAATGGCAACTAATAGGCAGTCAATTTTCTATGCCCCCCTTAAATTTTGTTGGTGACAAGTGACCCCCTTTCCTTTCTCCCTGGAAACTAAGTGTCCCAGAAACCTCCCCACCCCTCCACAGGAAATAAATTATGACTGTTCAGTAAGGGGTGTTTCTTTAACCTTTAGCAAATTGCTCTTACCTTAAAGCAAAGGCTTCATAGATCTTGCGATACATGTAGCATTCAACAATCAACCATGCTCCAGTAAAGGAGGCAATTTTGTCTTGATCAACCAGTGATTTACTCTCCTTAATGGTGTTGTTCCAAATTTGCACATCTGGCCGATCATCTTCCATCTGCATCAGTGGCTTATTGGTTTTCATCTCATATCTTAATTTAGAGAGCTTTGCTATCACTCCTTTACTATCCTCCACCTTTTCCTATTAAAATAACAAAACATTTCCAATATCTAACTATTCATACTTTATTAAAAGATTACTGTGAATGCTTTTTTTTCTTTTCATAAGATATTACTAGTTTTGGTCAGAAGCCCAACAATAGGAGCCTCTATCTCTTATACTAAACCTTAAAGTAAGCCTTCTCCAGAGTCAATCAGTGAATAGAAAGGCTACCAGGGGAAATTTTGAGTTCTAAGACCCAATTAAAGTAGTGCTATGACCACCCTATTGCTTTACATTAAACATCTGCTTACATGAATTGGGTAGTAAAATCAGTTCTTACAATTTGCATTTTACTCAACAGACATATGATATTTTTTTGTGGAATAAAGCTGTTCTAAAAATAAACCTATTCAGCAAAGGGTTGACTCAGTGGAGATAGAGACACCAGTTGATGGGCTCCTGTTTACCTGTATTACACACCAGTCTGAAAAAGAAATATCTCATAAAGGGAATGAAAAGGAAGTCTCAATCAAGGTAAAAATTATAGAGAAAAGCAAACAGGCTGCTTCATGCCATATCTTGAGGCACAATGCCATTCATCGTTTTGTTCTATCTCAACTTTATCATTGAAAACCAAGGAGTTGGTCACTTATATGGGGAATTAAAGTGGTTAGGATCTTTAAGACTCCAAATCTTGAGGTCCATGATCAAGCCTTGGCTAGTTCATCCTGCTTTGTTCTTCTAGATTTGCTGGTGTCAGATTTACATTACCTAGCCTACCTGTTGATTGGACTCTGACAATGCTGATGCTTGTCTGTGAACTAAGTCAATGACTTTGGTCAGAATCACTGGTAGTCTATCTCTTATTGTAAGATAGGCAAATGATCTAAAAAATAAAACAAAATAAAAAAGAAATATTCAATTATCACAAAAATACAAGGAATGAACATGAGTTTGACAGAGTTAAACAAAAGACACACACTCCTTACTAAACTGGTTAATTGATTAATATGACTGGTCCTTAAACTTTTGTAAATAAACTCTTGAGTGGCCTGAGAGAAGTTGTAGTAAAGTGAAGGGTAGTAAAATTAATTTTCTTGAGTTCTACTTGTAGACTTAGCCTAATCTAGGTATTAACAGACGAATCATTGCTGCATTACCCACCCATCCAGAGATTAAGAAAGTAACCCCTTCCCGAGTGATCTGGGATAATTCTATGATTTAATTTCTCTGTTTAGTTTAGGAAGCCGGGATATGTACCAAGTTCAGAAGGAAAAGGTAAATATAAAAATTATGAGACATATTAATATAGGAGGCCCGAGAATATAATCAAGCTCCTGCACGTATGATCACAATTTTTGCAAGTGAGTTATTTTAATAACAAGGGACGATAACTCAGTCCAAAGTACAAACATATAAACAAGATTATTTAAACTACTTCATACCCTTCGTCCTTTCCTGATAAAGGTTCTGGTCTTTCTCTTACTGTAGACATATTTTCAGTCACAATTTTCTTTTTGCAATATCTTCACAAAATTTCTAAAGAACCCGCATTAAAGTGGGTATGTGTCTCCTCACCTAATGATCTAATCGGCGGTAACGGTTTTGGGCTGGGAACGAATTTGTTCCCAGTCGATAATAAGAATTCAATATGGCCGATTAAAATGGAAGACGAAAACTTGTCATTTGTTCTTTTGCGAAATCATCCTGAATTTCTGGAGGAGACGGCAATTTTATTGAATTCTGAATGGTCAAAAACTCTGGAAGGGAGGTAAGCAGTGAGTAAGATTTCCTTATTTTTGTAGGAAATAAAAGCTGAAAATGCTCACTTGGAGCAGGGATGTAAGTCACTCCTTTTCAGGTGAAGGGGTGGGGTGGAAGGGGACTTTTTTTTCGCAAGCTATTTTCACGCATATTTGGTTCGAGAAACCTACAGACTTCCAAAATTTTACGTGAAATAGGGCTGGTTCCTAAGCATAAAAAATAGTAGGGAAATATTTACTTTGTACCAGAAGTTTTATTTATTTGTTAATTTTGTTTATTTCTTTTCCTCTTTTCCTTCATGGTTCTCTGCAATTTGTTAAGAATACTGTGCTTCAAAATGAGCTCATTATTGTCTTACTTTTATTTGCCTCATTTCTCAAACAATCCAGAGATATCAGTTTTGTACTATATTTTTTAATGTTACTGATAAGAAATTTTGGTGGAAAATCTAAACCTTCCCACGGACAAAAAAGGTGCCTTTTTTTCAAGAGAGAAAGAATGTTAGAGTAACACCCTTTCCCTCTTCTCTCCACCCCCCCCCCACCCACCCACCCACTATCTAACCAGTCTAAGGTGTCAAATGGCATGGTGAAAGTGTCAGTGATGATTTGGTTTTGAAAGTATTTCTATCTCTTCCAGACTTCATTATTTAGCAGAAGGTCAAGATGATCTTCCATGTTCACTCATTATTTCATTAAAAAATGACAAAGCACATACAAGAGTCATTGGTCACTGTAGACTCAACAAGGTTCTGGGAAAACCAAAGGCATCACTTTTGACTTGTGGTGAGATAAAGTTTTGAATTTCCTTGCAGTTTTTATTCAATGAGAGCTAAGTCTAGAAAAGGCATGGTGAAACTCCAAAATTTTGAAAGAATTACCCTGTTTTAGGCCTTGTTTATCCTTTTTCAGTAATTGTTTTTAGGTTATCTGTTTTTGGTTATCTTTGTTTTTCCTTTTCTCATGTTCTCCCAACATCTCTCTTGGGTTGTTACATGGGTAAATCAATAGAAAGTGTGGTCTACTGCTTAAATAATTCTAGAATGTTTTATGTCTAATACTAACTACTTTTTTGACTTATAAGTGGTGATAGAAAAGGCTTATAGAGGATGTGGACTTGGAAGAAAGCTCATGCAGCTCACAGAAAGCTATGCATCTCAGTTAGTTTTCAACTCTTTTATTATTAAAGTATGTTTAAATTTATCTGTAGACTTTTTTACAGTTGTTAGAATTCATCCTGATTTTCCCTAGCTGGAACAGAGTAGTAGTATTATCATTTCACCTGGGAATCCAGACTTCATTGACATTGGAAGAAATCCCATTTGTTGTAGTTTGTTATTATCTTCTATAAATGTTGAAATGGACTTTTTGTTAGAAATTTTGAAATAATAGATACATGAACATGATAACAAATGGTCATGAGTTTTTTTTTTACATATGATTTAATAAGAATATGCATTATTCTCCATATTCGCCCACAGACTCTTGCATCTATTCATTCTATTTTAGGCTAGGATTGACAGCAATTTACCTCTCAACATCTAATAAGTACGAGTTTTATAAACATCTTGGTTATCATGAATGTACTCAAGTCACTCCAATTAAAGCAAGCTCAAGCCTATTTACTAACTCTCAGGTATGAACTATGGCCTAAATTGGGAAGAATTAGAAGTTAAGGTTCTCTGGATATGATATTTTGTTAGTTTAGACACATTTTATGTTTTTCTTCTTCTTTTCTATTTCAGCTTAAATTACTGGGTGAGCAGGTTGGAGAAGTGGATACTTTGACATTACATCAAGGGGAAGATGACTCAACTCATTTCAGTCCTGAAAACTCTGTGTCAAGGAATCAAGAAACCATGTTTAATGAATTGAATCAAAGGGAGAAGGAGCAAAATATTCACCAACAACAGCAAAAGACTGACAATGATCAAGGAGCTAGAGAGAGGAAAACAAGTTGTTGCTCGTCATCATTGGTTCAACTCACAGAGGCAGTGACACTTACATCATTGCAACAAGAATCCACTCCCCCTCCCTTGCCCCCTCCTCCTCCGCCTCCCCCACCTCTTTCACTGCAATCTCCACCCAGTCAAATGAAATCAATTCTTGCAAAATCAACTTGGATGATGAAAGAACTCATTTCATAATTACTAGTGAAATTATTTGTCAAAAAGTTGAAATGTCACCGGCGCATTTATGCTAAGTTAATCTTATCAAACCACTCTATTTTCTGACAATGAGTCAGTCCTCTTTTTACTCCACAAAATCATTTTTTTATTCAGTTTTATAGCCCATGTGAATGTTTTATAACCCATGTTTTTCTTTGGACCTTACCCTTTTCCTGCGGGATTTTTCATTGATCACACACATTTATAGTATTGCGGACGTATGCGCAATTTATGCGTACATTATATGGGGAGCCATTTGTGCCAAAATTATCAACCGCTAGTAACATCATCACCATTTAAGTAGAGGCAGCTGACATATACAAACGTTACTAATTGTTGTCAAAGGGTATATTCTAGTAATTTCTGAGAGAAAAATGCATAAAAATAAATCAGTATCTACGCATTTTTAGCGCGTGATCTTTGGCTTCAAGCAAACCGGAAGAGGTGTTTAGGTGTGAAAGTCTTCACGTACGATCGCATGCTTCTACAAGCCTCCTTTGAAAGTTTGTGAAGAAAAACTCTGAGGGATTTTTTAATATTCTAAATCAAAAATGGACACAATGGTCATTTTGGAAACATTTCAGTTTCCTCTCATAGTTATCCTCTATTTTAAGATGTGATTAAAATGATAGAAAAAGTCCCCATCCATATTACCCAATTTAGCAAGCTTGCATACACACGAAATCGGCCATGACGTAATCCTTTGACGTCAACATTGCATCAATTAATATTGTATCGTGATTGGCTTGTTTTCAATTTTCTCTACAGATGATTGGTTGAAAGCATGATTAAAACCTGTTTATCTAGTTTGACTAGTTAGGTGTTTCTGTACGTAAAGGAAACGTTTGTTACGTTGGTCAGTGTTTGGGGCTTCGCTCGTAGTTGCTAGAAGTAAGTGTTTACTCTGTATGTTCTTACTCTTTACATCGCTTTATCACTTAGCCTTACCTATATCTTCGCGAGAAAGATTTCCATCAAAGAGACGTCTTTGCAATCGATTTTGTGGGTTGTAGTGAAAAGTGTCACGTTTCAACGAGTTCAAGCATTCAACAACTTTGCGTCGCTCATAAAACTTGGTACATCGAATCTGTCTTCGTTCAAATAATTCGGATTGAGCGGGACAACCTTCAGTATCAAGGAAGTCGTAAGAGAGACGAGAAGTCAAAATCAAGAAGAATAAGACAGCAAAAGCGTGTAAACCAGTTCGAAAGGGTAGAATTTACCTCAGTATTGGCTAGCGTCGTATTAAGAGGGTCCCTCCGTTGCGTGCGCAGAGGTAGTAGAACTTAACGTTTTTACTGTTTTCCTTGCGAAAATAGCATGCACAGCCGTCCCATCGTCAAGACTAAACGCAGCAAACACTCCGTGTACTCAGACAGAGAATTATGGTCTTTGTTAACGACATCTTTAGAGAAGAAGAAAGCGAACAAAAGGAGACGGGATCCAGACATGTTAAGAAACGCTGTGTTGGAGTTGACAGTACAAAAACTAAACGAAGAGATCACAGACAGATGTATGAAAAAAGTGAAACGTCGAAAACTGGAGGATTCTTACGAATGGCAAGAGTCTCCGGACGGACTTGGATGGAACATGACAGCATCCTACCAAGATGATGAAGATCTTTTAGGTATCGACGACTTCTTTCAGAAATTAAGTACTAGCTGTAAAACTCGAAATAACTCGTCTACCATTTCTGAGACGTGATATCTCATTGTCTGTAATGGCAAGGAAAGCCTGTGAAGGCCCATTGCAGGAAAGAAAATTTAAGAAATCTTAAGCGGTCGTAGAGGAATATTCCAGTAATTTTTCTAGACTGATAAGATTATTCTTGTAAGTTTGGGTAATTCGCGGTTTTCCCTGATCTGTTTTTTTTTTTTTTTTTTTTTTTAATAAAAAAGGTGAGCGAGTGAGTGTAAGAAAGAGTATTTGCAAATGTTTGTACATTTGATGAGTGGTGAAGCGATTGAAACTATTTTTTTTAATTGTAAATATTACTATTTATTATAAATTTGTGAATAAAATTTATGTGAATACATAAGGGTTCAAGGTTTGATAAATTTTCACTTATTTATTGATTGCCTTCACAGTCACAGGTTGAACATTATTGTTCTACAGCAGATGTTCCGTCATTAACATCTCTTGCCTAGAGTACATCTAAAGCTTCTGAGAGAAGGTATTATATTCAGAGTTGTGAAGTACTTAAGATAGAAGCTTTAAGTATCGAAAAAGGCTTGTGTTCACAAAGAGTTTGCCACAGAATTAAATTAAAACCAGATCGGCTATAATCTTGTTCTTAAGTTTGATTCGAAAAGGGAATTGCTGCTTGTGGCAAATGGTTTGAAAACAATAGTGTTGCAAATGAAGAGGAAAAATTGTTATAAATTAGTGATTTTAAATGTAAGTCATTTCTCTTGAAGCCTTGTGCAACATGCTGTCAAGTGACGATTGAGGAAAGGGAGAAATCAATGGTGTGCACGGAGACAGCTGAAGTCACTGGTAAATGCAATGCATTTGCCTGTTCATTTAAATTGAATGTCTGCAGATGGCTTTTGAACTATTTTCTTGTCAAGCCTCAAATAGAGGAGCTGAAATAGTTGTTTTTGTCAACTCTCTAGTTCAGCTGCATACCTTCTGAAAATGCACTGGGGGACAAGTTTAAAGGCAAACGTCAAGGCTTGTTATGTAGTGATATTACGTGCAGTTAGTTAGAGCTAATAATTTGAAGAGGGTAAGCTAGAAATGAGGATTTTAAAAAATCAATAAATTGAGGGGTGAAGGTAATATGCTTAGCCCATGTAGCTAAAAATAACATTGACTTCCATTCATTTGACACTGCTGCATACAGGTTCTTGCTGTTATATTTTAATAGTAGTTATTGTTAGGGTTTGCAACAGTTGTTCCTTTGATTTGATCTTAAGTGGTGCCAAGAAACTGGCAAGCAAGTCCAATTGGAGCTATCAGACCTTGCAAAGGAAAAAGCAAGAATGTTAAGTACATCTATACAGATAAAAACCTCATTTACTTTAAGTCGTGGTTAAAGGAAGCATTGTCATGTCCCTCCTTATTCATGGTACAACTATGCTAGTCTTGGAAATGGGTTATGGAACTTGCGTGGATGGTAGATAGTTTGACACCTAAAGAGTACTTTTGAACTAGTGGAGTGGAAAGCTCAGAGCCAGTATTAGTAGTTATCTTGTTGCTCTCCAAAAGAATGGACAGACATCCCACTTCCTTGTTTCATCACTATGAAGTGTCTTGAATCCGAGATCAGTGTGTGTGTGTAGATGGATGTTGTGTTGCAGAGTGTTTTGCAGGCATTTCAATTCGTAGTTCAGCAACTGGAATCAGAACATCAGGTATTTCTGTTATCCAATCGTCTTTTGTCCACTCATAAGATATTCACAGTAGATCAAAAGAAGTATGCGTTTTTTGTAATTGCAGTAGTGTTTTGGGCAGGGTGTTGTTTGTTTCTCTATTATTATGCAGTCAAGTAGACTTGGCAATACAAGCCAGAGAGAATGATCCCAGAGGGTCATCAGCAATTGGTAGATCATTGGCATTTCAGTGGAAGCTGGATTCAAGCAATGTAAGCTGACAAAAATGAATTTATCACAATTCCTGCATTAGATTAGTATCAGCAATGTGCCTGGTTTGCTACTTCAGCACCAAAACTGCACCTATCATGGACAGATTTAACACATCCCTGGGTGTTATGTATGGTGATCAGTGCAAATAAAGTTTACCAAGGATTGTATTTGCCATTCAGCCTTAAACAAAAGTTGAGCATCTCTTCCTCTCTTCATGGTTTGGCATCTAGTCATTTGATATTGTTCTTCTCCTCTTCACTACCCTTAAAGCCAGCCTAGCATTGTATAAAAGCGTTGCCAATGCATTTCGACAGAGAGAGACATTAATTTGCTACCCTAGACAAAACAAACATGATACATATGACCTGACTGGACACTGATTCAGCCTAAAGAAAGATGCAAAATGAAGTAGCAACATGAGAGAAAGTAAAAGCTGCCCATTTAGTCTAGCCCCTGAGGATCTTGAAACCATCTTCCCCTATGATTCAGCCTAAACAAAGATGCAAAATGAAGTAGCAACATGAGAGAAAGTAAAAGCTGCCCATTTAGTCTAGCCCCTGAGGATCGTGAAACCATCTTCCCCTATGATTCAGCCTAAACAAAGATGCAAAATGAAGTAGCAACATGAGAGAAAGTAAAAGCTGCCCGGTTAGTCTAGTCCCTGAGGATCTTGAAACCATCTACCCCAGTGATAGGACATTATGTGAAGAGCTGAAATGCTAGTAGTAGTCCAGAATTAGCTTTGCCATCAGTGTAGAAAAGCTTTCACAGCTCCCATTTGATGGAAATAGCAAGCAGTTTTCCCAGTTTGAATGCAGATACTCTTTGGCAAGTCTCATAGTAGAGGTCAGGATGTTTGAATTGCCCAAAGAATGCATGCTTTGAAGCTTTTTCAGCTATTCAGCAAGGAAGCAGCACCAAAATGATGAAATCAAACTGAAATCGCACCGAAATCATTACTTGTGGAGTAAGCATATTCATTGTTAGCAGTTCTTGTGGTGCTCTTGGCTCAATATACATGGTGAAGGTAACAAAATTTTTATTCAGATGAACTTCCTTTAGCAAGGAAAGCTAATCTCACTAGCAGATATTGGTTGTGTGACTTTTGCCCTCCTTGTAAGAGAATGCAACTAGCAATGCAGAAGAGCTGCTGATAAGGAAGACACACCTTGATTTCCATAAGTGCAATTTTCAGCCCTCCCCCATCATAATGTGGGATCAATGGGACTTTTTCGTCGTTAAAATCACATTCAACCATCAGTAGTGGCAAGTAGTAGTTTACAGTTGTACTTTCAAGTTGCAAGCATCTTTTTTGTGGTTAAAAATTTTCAAGCTTCTTTAACAGCCACTATTGTGATCTTTCCAGTTGTGTTGGATTCATCCTCGATTAAAAAAAGGGACTTAAATCTGTGAACTTCATAGGATCTGAAGAATCACTTAAAGACAATTTCCACCCAGCTAGGATTTCTTTTCATTCACTTAGTCACTTCATCGCACAAGGCAAGCTTTTGAGAGTGCTATGTTGGAATTTTGAATTTGTTTTCTACAGTGTGCGTGTGTGTGTAGCTTTCTCATCAGAGTCAAATGTAAGCAGATGGACCAAGCAGCAGTTGGCTATCCTTTGACTGTCCGCATGTTAGGTTGTTAAACCAAGCAAAAATGAAAGAAGGACTGATTATTCTGCAAAGAACACCAGTAATTATATCTATCCTTGGAAATCCATTTTGCCCAAAGTCCCACTTCCCAAGTAGCGAGAGTACAGCAGCGGGTATTGAATTTCAGACCATCCTCTGATCCTTAGCACACCAGGCCATAGTTGGTTACTTTCTCCACTTCCTAGAAGTTATCATCAAAGAAAATACCAAGGTCAACAATATGTTTCCACTTGCATTAAGCCACAAGGTAGAGCTTTAGAGGATATTGGTTTTCAAATATACATAGCTTTGTTAGCAGAATTGGCTTCCAACTCAAGAAATTTGGCAAGAGTTTTGTCGTGATTGCAAATTGACCCAAGAAAATTGATTTGGCCTTTCACCCATGAGTGGCTTCCTCTTCCCCAGCATACTTTGGATGGATGTGTGTAGTTACTGAAGCTAGCTGGCAATTTGTACTTTCCTCAGCCCTTGGCACCTACTGAAATACTAGGTGGATGCCTTTGAAAGTAGCTCTCTGATTCACAGACAAGGGAAGCAGCAAGTAACCAATAGAAAATAGGAGAAGAAATTTCTCGGGAAGTCAGATTGGCTGGAGCAAGCATAATATTCAAAGTAACCTGCAGGATTGATTATATTCTAAGAAATAAGTATTCTTTTGTCAAGGTGATAACCCAACTGATTTCACAGGTAATAGCTTTTTTGAATGTGTTTTCCTTGTTTTCTGCTTGCTTGATGTGTTTTGTTTTTTTGTTTCTGAGAAAGTTGAGATGATAGAGCTTAGGTGTCAACTTGAAACGCAGCAAAACCCTACTGGTGTCTTCAAAGCAATGTCAAAAAGTTAATGTTTCTGACCCATTGGTGATAGAGATGACAACGCAGCTGTGGTGCATAATTCTAAAAGTTTAAAGCCCACCCTAAAAGTCACCTTAAGTTTCTCCTGTGTGATTGGGAACCTGATGTCTTGAGTCCATGCAATTAGATGAGAGAGAGAGGGGATTAGTTGTGCTGTATCTGTGAAGATGAGGAATCTAAGGAATGGCCTGTTTGCAAATTGAGTAACTGGATTTCTCTGGCAAGTAGTTTTGGATCAATTTTTCATACTATTTTTCTTGTGTGATAAGCAAATGATTGCATTCCCTGAGACAGTTTTTTCCAGGACGGTGAAATCAGTGAAACAAGAGCCTGTATGTCACTAGTGACTCTGAGTAAGGCCTTCATTTGAGCCCAGCATTGCAGTGGCACTTGTTTAAGTTCTTGGAGAAGTGACTGTAATCAACTGATGACCTCTGCACGGCAGCAAGAACTAGATGCAGGCACAAGTTTTAAAGTCCCTCAGCTTTGCTCTGTAGCATGCTACTTAAAGTTTTCAGATAGTGAGAATTCATCTGATGGAAGAAGCTAAATCTTTGGATTACTATGAGAGTCAGAAAGTAGTGTGTAACATGGGTATTACTCATAATTTCAAAGTATGTCAAGGATGTTATTAAGATAGTGAACATTTTCTTGAGCTTTTGAGTCTTTTTTTTTTCTCTTGCTTGTTCTGAATTCGGTTTTCAGCAGTTTTGTGGAGGAATCTGTCAGCAATGACCAGTGGTGATTTTCTGCCATAGTGGTGGTCTTAAATTTCAATTGGCAACTTCATGAGGCGGCATTCCAGCTTTTAGCAAGGTGCAAGTTCCACTATTACTTTTAGATGTTGAATCGGCAGGCAAACCCAACCAATTTGGACATTTTACCATTCATGTGGCTTTCAGAAAAAGGCTTGCGGCATATCAGTAGGACTGGTCTGTATGGGTCTGGCCTCAGGTAGCTGAATTTAACTGAGATAATCCTGCAGAAAAAAAGAGGACAGAAGTACACGTACAATGACTGTTGGTGGAGCTTCCTCAGAAGTGGTAATGTTAGGCAACCAAATTCATTCTTCCATTGTTTTAAAGAAAGAATCAGAAACACTTTGCACCATTTCAATTGATATGAGCAGTCCTAATTATCTGGTAAGGAAATATTTCAAACAAGTTTATGCATGGACTCAGTTATTTTGGGTATATTTTTTGGATCTTTTTCAAGTGTCTTTCAGAATGTATACAGTCTGTGTACAGTAGCAGTTTCTTGGAAAAGCATTTTTCTCAATTTTGAACAAGACTTCTTAGCATCCAGCAGCTTTCCCTGGTCCTTGTTAAAAACCTTAAATGTGCATCAAGCATGAAGGAAGGCCCTGCTAACCCAAAGGTGTGAACTTAATGGGTATTAAACGTTCTCCGCCTTACAATGGGTGCAGTTTGTGTGGAAACTTTTTGCCAGGTTTTCAGCCCCAGCGTGTGGTTCACAATTCACTCTATTGGTGGAATTAGTGCATTAGGACAAGGGCAATTTTCAGAGTAATCCTAGGGTCAGGAGGCGCATTTTCAGGGTCAAATGTAAGTGCGTGCTGTAATTCTTCTCAAGTGAGTTTTGTCCTATTGGCTACCTTGTCAGTTTTTTTTGTGAGTTGTGTGTGCATGGTTTTAAATGAATTTGTTAGGAATGTGTATGCAGAGTTAGCAACAATGGTTTTTTAGGACTGTATTGTACCCAATTCAAGTCCAAAATGGAATTGTCAGACCATAAAGTGGTTTTTCAGAATTTGGCAAGCACCTCGGAGGCAAATTCAGTGGTACACAAAAGACTGTATTGTACTCAATTCAAGTCCAAAATGGAATTGTCAGACCACCAAGAAATTTTTCAGAATTTGGCAAGCACCTCAGAGGCAAATTCAGTGGTACACAAAAGAAGTGAATATACCACATCCCGGAGAACTTAAACCTTCTTCAGAAATGCTGAGTAAAGTTAACCACTCTGAAGTCCTTCATCAATTTGGACCAAAACAACGCTTTTACTTGTTTGATATTAATATTCACAATAGTGCAGACCATCTGGTAAGGGAAACCTTCAAATCAACCATGTATGAGCATGTATTTCCTGTGGATTTCGTTTCTTTAAGGAGTCTTTTTTCAGGGGATAAGCCTAGTTATTTCAGCAGCACTTTACCAAACCAACTGAAATTATGGAGCAGCTATAGCTTTGTGCCAGCTTTGAAAATTATCCAAGTCCTTTTGTGCCAAGGTAGCATCACTGTGGTAATATCCAGTCCAGTTAAGTGGTTAAAAGTTAACCTCCTAGATCCTCGAAAGAGTTTTGCCATACCTGTCCAAGTTAAGGGCCATGTGCTGTCACTCAAGTGTAGCTGAACATGCTGTGTCTTAGAGAACCACATCCCTCTTGTGTATTTATGTGCCAGTGCATTGTCTATACCAGTTTCAGGACTGCGCAATGTACCGTGTATTTTGTTGCAACAAATTTATCAGAACTTGTCACTCTGGGGTAAAACAACCAGCATATTGGGTGCATTTTCGACCTGTTCCTAAAGAGCAAATTCATCTACACACATCTTGTATTCCATGTGTTGTGCCACCTGCCTTTTAGATGTCAAGTGTGTATTGCTTCATGGAAAGTGTCTGTCTGTTCAACAAAAAACAGCCCACTCAACAACAAACTTTTAAGATGAACATTTCAAAAAATCTGGTTATGTTACTCCTTCAAAGTCTGTGATTGTCTCACTCCCATGGGCAGTCCCAAGTCCCAGTCACTGATTCTCTAAGTAGGCTGATCAGAAATTTACCAGTACATTCATGGAGGTGCAATTCACATCTGAATCCTTACTTGGTGGTTAAAGATTCTTGTAGAAGGTTAAATTAAAGGTTGGTTTTATGTTTTGGTTAATTTGTAGTATTTGTAATTAGACAATTCATATTTCTCAATTAAGTTATCCAGGGATGAGGTAATATAAAGACCGTACTGTCTCTCAAGAATTGTTCTTATGCTCTTGACTAAGTGACTTAATTAATGAGATATAGAGTTAAGTTTAACCTAGTAGTATCATCAAAACCAGTACATACTTTGTCAGACCTTACAGATATTGAGTATCACCAAGTAATGGAAGTTTTTTGGCTTCGGCAAGTATTTGTTTTGGAATGTTGCCTTTTTTGTTGTTAATATGAAAAGTATGCTTTGTTTGTCTGTAATTGCGTGTTTTTCTTGTCATGAGAATCAGTGGAAGGGTTTACTGTGAAATACCATCTACTAAGATTTATTTCCCTTAGAAATGCATCATTAACTATTGTTAACATATTAGCTCCACACCTATTTATGCTTGTGTATAAAGTCGAAACTGTGAAGAGCTTTGTCTGTGATTGGGGGGATATTTTTGTTCTCTTTTGATTGTTACCAGGCAAATTTGCATTTTTTGGATGGAATGTCAAGAATATGAAAAAGGCAAGCTTAACTTTCTGATCCTTAGTTTCATTATAGATTACTCTTTTTTTCATTTTGTAATCTAACATGCATTTTGATAGTGGTAGTTTGTAATTAACCTATTCCACACATGTTTTTTTTTTTTAATTTATTTATTTACTGTAACTGAAAATCTTAGTTAGGTTGCAATACTTCATTATGTAATCTAGGATTTATTATGGGCAAACAGTGCATATTTTTGTCAACCTCTATAGCTATTAAGGTTGCTTATGTGATAGATGAAGCTCAGTTTCACTCATTTGGTCTGTGAGCAAAAGCAGCTGGGAATACTTTTTACAGGATAACAATCAAGGCTTAATCAAAAATTTCTGCTCTGAACTGCAAGTTGTCATCATGCAGCAATCATTTGGTTGATGCAGGTATTGATTTGAACTGTTGCCTTTTGAATTGTTAGGTCTTTGAAATATTTTGCATACTCTGATTAATTCACAGCGCTTGTTTTTTCTGGATCAACAATTGTTGCCAGGTCATCTTTGCCCAAAATGGTTATGGCCTTGACTTGCTGTTTGCTGTCGGTCAGTTCAGTAGTTTGTCTTGTTCAAAATTTTTATGCAGAAATCTGTGCATATATCCTCTCTACACAGTGTTGTAATCTTGTTGGAAATGAAGGGCTTTCAAATGCATCCTCTTCATCCAGTTGATACAGGTATTGATGTGACCATTTGGCATCTGCTTTAATTTTTTCTCTGAGATGCATTACATACTTTGATCAATTCATAGTGATTTCTGTTGGAATATACTAGAATTCAACTTAATTTTGAAGTTTTCTTGGCATCGACTTTCAAGGCTGAGTTGGTCAGTGATTGAAGTTCAAAATTGTCGCCCAGAATCATTTCATTTCATCTCTTCAAGCAGATTTGTATTTTCACTGGGTGTTGTCACCCTTCCAAGTGCTGCCTCGTCATTTAGTTTACACAGGTATTCGCTTGACCTTTTGCCACCTGGAGCATTTTTTCTTTGAAATATATTGCATACTCTGATCTTTTTACAGCATTTTTTATTGAATGTGCTACTGTTGACAGCTCAACTTGGCCTAAGATTTTATGGCCTTCGCTTTCCGGCATGCATAGGTCAGTTCCATGATGTGGCAGTTGAAATCGATGTGTAGAAATCTGTGTACATGTCCTCTATATACAGCTTCGTTAATCGATTGGATGCATATGTCCTTCAAATGCGATCTTGTCATTGTGTTGATTCAGGTATTCACTTAACGTTTTGCCTTCTGAACTGTTTTTCTTCGAAATGTATGACATACTCTGGTCAATTCACAGCAATTTCTGTTTGAATGTGGAACGGTGGACAGCCCAACTTGGTCTTGGAACATAATGGCCGTGACTTCTTTTGTCCATGAACGTTAGTTTTACGATTTGTCTAGTTTCAAACTGTTATGCAGAAATCCGTGCATTATATCCTCTTTACACAGCTTTGAACATCTCCTCTAAGCTAGTTGGAATTTGTGAGCATTTTGGACAAAGCCAGATTTTTCCATTCCATCGGCACGCTTTCAGAAGCCAATTACCAGTAAATCTTGAGATTTGTCAAGGGAAAAAATTCTAAGCAAACTGGATCCGAAAAGCAGAGGTACTTCTTCTTGTCATCTTTTTCAACTTCAGTGTTTCTCTCGACACCATGTATGTTTCGTTAGTATCTTCAATAGTTTGTCCAGCCAAGCGCAGCACAAGTAAGGTTGAGGATTAGGTACCAACTTTTGAGGTAATTGCAATATGAATTACCATATCATTATTTCAAATTAGTGGCAATGTGGTGCATGCTTTGTTCAGTCTTGACAGAACTTTTGTTTTTTGGTTTGAACTTGCTATAAGCATACTTCATCTCGAATAACTACACTTGGGCAGCTCAACTCCAATCATGAAACGGTTTCCTTGTACAAGGTATTTCCAGCATGAATTATCACTTCAAATTATTGGCAATGCAGTGGATACTTTGCGAAGTCGACAGCATTTTTGTTTCTAGTTCATTCATGTGTTAGTGATTCCTTGGTTACCTTTATCATTTGAGATGTCGTCAAACTTTGGCTAAATCTTGGAAGGCTTTCAAGATATCAGGTACCAAAATCAAGTATCTTTCAAATTCCAATTTGAGTAGATGTGGTGTATGCTCTGTTCACTTTTCACAGCAGTTTAATGTGCCAGATGGAATTTACATTAATTGAACTTGGTCACCTTCAAGCTAAGGCCTGGTGTGAACATCGTGGCGTAAGTCATTACTTGCCAATCTATGGACAGTCGACAAGCTCTTTCTCATTGGTGAATGCAAATTTTTTGGACATTGTACTTGTCAGTTGTGGCATTCATTCCAAAATTTTTTTTGTATGTGAAAATGTTGGATATTTTGTCAGGTTCCACAGTCTTCTGGTAATTTTTCTGTCCCACTCCGAAATAAGGTGGATTGTGTGCCTGCAGTATCGAAAGCATCAAACATTTCCTCTTGACAGTCAGCTGTTTGTAGTCTTTCTAATCACATTTGTTCAGATAAACTCTGGTGAACTGGATACCTAAAATTCAGGTATTGAATCTTATTTTTTGCCACTATTATGGTTTGATTTCAACATGCATGTCAACACTATGTGTGTTCCATCAGTATCTTGAGCAGTTTCTGCTGTGGCAAGCTCCACTTCAACTCGGATATACAAAGTAAGACATAATTTTAGTCTCATTTGCCATCACATTCAGTTTGAAATGGTTGTCTGGGAAACAGTGTATACTTTGTAAGTCTCGGCAGCTTTGTGAACAACTCCTACAGGATGAAGGTTAGTTTTCAGATATGTATTTGTTTCTGGTCACAAAGGTTTTGTATATTTCTTTTTCAAGTGTAGTGAAGCATTGGATGAAGGAAAACAATCTCGGTAAAACATTTTCTGTTTTTCCAATATTAAAGTAAATTTGAACTCCTATAGTTCTTTTTCTAAAAAGTCAATTTTTGTAGTTGTGCAAACAGTGTATACTTCATTCTGATCTTAACAGCGTTAAAGTTTAGTGGATTTGCATCTGCTTCAGGTTGCGTTTTTGACCTTCTTTTGTAATCTCAGTGAATTAGTTTCTTTGCTGTCATTATTGTGTACTGTTATTGATAAATATTAACTACATAATGTACATTAAGGGAACATCAAACTGTAGTTGGTTATACTTTCATGATAACAGTTATTAAAGAAATTTGTCGTGCTAGTTCTCATAATTTAAAGAAATTTAGTTTGCAGTACTTTTATTTTAAACTGATTATGGATCATGTATGCAGCAGTGTCTATGCGTGGGCTAAGCCTAATTTAGCAATTAGATTAAATATGTTGAAGTAGCAGTGAGGTCAGGATAGGCCAGGGTTTAGGTTGCAGATGTACCAGCAGACATCACAGTGTGGAAGATGAGGAGGATCTGCTTGAAAGCAGGTGAGTTGAACTCCAGAAGTCCCATTCCCAGGAAGGCTAAAGAAAAGCTAGAAAACAAGGTTACATTACCCTTGCTATTTTTCTTTTGTTTTCATAGGAAGGTGTAAACTGTAAGGATGCTGTGAAATGAATTACACTCAAGGCTTGGATTAGCACATGTTTGAGGTACTAATGGAAATTAAGAATTATTTTTAATACTACATCTGTGCAATTTAATATACATTTTTTTTTTTCACTGAGTCAGTGATTTTTTTTCTTTCTTTTCAGAGTTATTTTTCAAGTGAAAACAAAGTGGAGATTCATCTGAAATTATATTCAATTTGAAATGTGTAAATTTTTTGAGATAAGTCTTTCATGGCATGCCTGGGTGTCAGCTGCCTGCACTGGGCCAGGACTATGTTTCCAGACTGTTTTTATCCCACAAGGGTTTTTTTAAGTCTGGTTTTACGCAGCCGGCAGGCAGCACATAAAACAGATCTACCTGACAAATCAGTTTGATTTCATTTTGACTGATATATCTTTGGATCATGCATGGTTAATTAACAGAGTTTTTGGTGTTTAGTAACTTGGTATTAATTGAAAATAAACTACGTTTGGATGATATCTGTGCTGTCTTTCTCTTCTTTTTTTTCTTTTACATTAACTATTGTGTTAAATTGCATGGTACGACTTAAGAGGGCTAAAATAATGGGGAAAGCGAGAGGTAGCTAACCTTTCAAATCCCACTAGTGACCTGGACAGAACTTCAGTATGATCAGTATGATGTCAAGCAGACAAGTAACGAGAATAGAGAAAAATGTCAATTAGGGGATTATTGGTTGATATAATTCCATCAGCATCACATGAGTTGTATGCAGACAAAAAGGAGAGTTACCAATGAAATCTTGGGAGTTAAGGGTTAAGTTACAGTACTTGACACCTAGCTTCCTGGGATGATAAGAACTTTTTCCACTACCACTATGATGATGGAGCTGTTAAGAAGCTAGTACATTTAAAAAACATTCATGCCATTTTATCTTAAATTCTTAACATTAAGGCAAGGTCAATCGTTGCTTTAGGCATACTGGAGTAGCTCAACCGCTTCAAATTGACTTGTATTAGTCAATTTAGCGTTTGATACCATCTTGTCTTACTGCAAAGTGACAAAAACCATCTGAAACTTTTGTTCTCATGGCTTGATCAGAAACAAAATTTCAACTCTCAGAAGTGCTTCTAAATTTCATCAATTTACTTACCGGTAAGTAAAACATATTGACGAACGAGAAATGCACAATGCCGTCAGTTACTTCTGTAGCAACTGAGTCGTGTGTTTCAAGCAGAGGAGACTTGTTGAGCGACTTCTGCTCGAAATAGCCAAACGAGCGGACAAGGTGTCGTGCGGGCTTACAGTCAAGTCGACTGAGAGTCATCTCGCCCAAAGTCATGTCGCCCGAAACACGAGTCATGTTGCCCAAAATTTTAGTTATGTCGCCCGAAAAAAAAAGTCAAGTCGCCCGAAGAAACAAATACTAAAAACATCAGAATTTCAGACTGTAAATAGGCAATAAAGTTGAGAAATTTTTCACACTAAAGCACTCTTTGTTTCCGACAACACCATAAAGATTCTAAAAGCGTTGTTCGTCCCTTTCAACAAAGGGAAACGTTCGTTTCTAATAACGAAATGAAGCGTTGTTCGTTTGGTATATAATCGTTTCTTACTCACGGAAATTTCGTAAGCTTGAGAAACTTTATCTTGGTTTCTAACAATACCATGAAGGGAAGCGTTGTTCGTTTCTACAACAACAAATGCACGGATGCAGCGTAACATACAAGTAAAGTTCTGTTGTGTCTATTTGTGACTTTCTTAACAATAACAGATGAAAAAAACCAGATAAACGAATGTCGATTGTCGCGTTTGACGAGTCAGTAAAGGGTCAACGCTTCATTTTGTTGTTAGACACGAACAACGCTTCCCTTTGTTGTTCAACGAACAACGCTTTTAGAATCGTGGCTCAAACAGATTTCAATTCCGACCATACGATCGATTTCTGTGTAGTCAAAGTCTTCATGACATTGTTAGAAACCAAGAAAGAATCTCTCAAGCTTAGGAAATGTCCGCGAGTAAGAAATGAGTACAGACCAACCAACAATGATTCATTTTGTTGTTGGAAACGGACAACGCTTCCTTTGTTGCTAGAAACGAACAACGCTTTTAGAATCGTTTCTCAAACGCACGCTGAAATTCTGATGTTTATTGTATTTGTTTCTTCGGGCGACTTAACTCTTGTTTTCGGGCGACATAACTAAAATTTCGGGCAACCTGACTAAAGTTTTGGGCGACATGATTCTCGGGCGACTTGACCGGTTACCGTCGTGCGAGATGGCCCCCTGCAGCAATACTCGGTGAATTTTTCAATAAAGGTCGAATGAAAGCTCGTCATTATTACTAATTTAAAGCCACCATTGGGCTTGTATTTTCGCATTTTGCAGTTCAGTGGGGGAGAGCACAAAGCGTGCAGGAGGGGTGATTCTCTTGAGAGGGGGACTTTCAACAGTCCCTCCTTTTTGGCGAACTCCATCGCACATGGTTGACATGGTCGTGCGTGCTAAAAATATTAAAGTGATGCTACTTTTTCGTACGCCTCACTCCCAAAGGTCGCGCGGGGGACCAAAAATCTTTTCTTTGCAAACTTTTCAGACGCGCCACTGAATTTGCCGTAGAGGGACTGCTTGTAGTTCTTGCGAGAGATGGAGCATAGAAATAAGACTAGCTATACGCTGTGAACAGTGATGTGTAGTCGCGCGTCATTGTATTTTGCTTGCACAAGAATGCAGAGCTGCACACCTGCTATGTATGCTATGCAAAGCTCACTGAGAAAAGACTTTCTCTTGTGGTTTAGCCTCTTGATTGGCTTTTAATTTGCCAACTTTTTCACAGACATAAGTCCCTATAAATAAGCAGTGGAAGTCAGCACAAACGGCAGTTTACAAGGACTAGATTTGTTCTTGCGTATTTTGCTCCACCTTTTCGACCCAGTTTTTCTGGGCTGTGGTGACTAGCATGTAATTCCTTCTTACAGCATTACCCTTGGGTCAAAAATTAAGGACATGAGAGCAGAGGAAAAGAATTATTGTCAGAACTATAGAATTTATATAGAAAACTGTGTGGAAAATATGCTTACAAATGTAGGGCTGTAAAGGGTCAAATTTCTTAATGGACAAACATGGATTCCAAAATCAACAGTGAACATGAATCAATATTGTGACAAAAAGTGATAATTTAGTGTTGTGTTCTCAAAGAGTTGGTTTAACAAATGAGGGTCAAATGTTTCCATGACAACTATTCTTTTATTGTATAATAAACCAAACTAACTCTTTAATTTGTTAATTCTATCTATTATACTAGTCACGACTTTTGCTAAATAAATTGTGGAGTTAAGAATAGCAGAGCACCATAAATGTGTTACAATAATTACTGACTGTTTTCTTGCATATCTTGTTTATCATCTGTTACAACATGAAATTCATGCTCTTTTACCACTTCCTCATCCTCGCTGTCCTGTCCAGACTGTTCATCGGTCTGCTGAATGAGCCCAGACAGGTCCACTGTCAGATGGGGTACAACCCCACCCTGTTCCTGTCCTGGTTCCAACTCCACAGAAAGAGGCAGCTGGATCTGCCCAGCAAGGATGTGTTGGCTTACAACACCTTGCATCATATGCTCAACATTTGACTGATGCAACACCTGATCCACAACAGACATCTCTGACTGGCTACTTGTGGGAATGATGGCTGCTCCATCTAGCATGGTGTGAATGACAGCTTGCTGAGCCACGACAGTTTCTGCCAGGGACACAACATCAGCAGTTGCCCGCACGAGACCATCTTGATTTACCATTGGGTCATCAGTGGCATGCACTAGCAGAGACATTGTCTGAACTGGCGTGGTTTCTATGGACACTTCCTTAGCTACAATGGGTTGAGCCAGTACCAAATGGTCACCTGATGCTTGTGTTACTATGGTATGCTCTCCTTGTGAGTACACAAGGGCTTGGGAAGTAATGGATTGCTCATCTTCTCCTCCTAAAGATAAAAAAAATAAACAAAATTACAGCACTTTTCAGTTTCCAGAACAATAGCAAAAATATAACTAGTCCATAGGCCAGGTAACTAATAGATCTGTACCTCACTAGAAGTTTGGGAAAAGCATGATTGCTCAAACCTTAAAGTTTCTCCAAACTCTAGATGAATCAAACTTAAACTGTCTTCCAAGATAAATTGGTTTATCAACTAAGTTGACAGTGTAAATTAGCCACCATAAGTAGTCTCTACAGGTGACATTTCAAGCATTAGTCCTTTTGTCAGAGCAAATGGCCAAATTACATTCATTCGTCAACTGACACCAGCCAAATAGACACAGCACCACAGCTCCTTACAAAACTTTGTACCTTTAAAACAGCCTTCCCTTTCCTAGTGGAACACTGTAGTCATATCCCAATTTTTCTACCCTTCTGATAACCAAAACCAATCTCCTTTTCCCCAGAAGGCTAAAAAGACTAGGATTTTGTTAGTACCCTGCTTATTTGATTAAGTGCTTAACCTCACATAAATACTCTCCTTGTACAACTGTAGCTAGAAAAAATTAATAAATTTATATTAAGCACTTTGACCCTCACAGAGCATGTTGTATTGTGACTTGTTTCTACAAAAAGACCACGCTTGCCTGCTAACATGAAAAAGGACTATACCTGTATCTTCCATATCATCAAGGTGCTGAAGCATCTGGCCACTTTCTGTATCCTCAGTAATCTGTGTGGTAGTACCACTCTTGCTTGTTGTCTTCTTGCTTCTCTTGTCGCTCTTGTTTGCATCTGCATGTCTCTTTTGATGAGCATTACGGCTTCCACTCTGACTAAATGTCTTGCCACAGATTTCACAGACGTATGGTTTCTCTCCAGTGTGTATAAGCTTGTGTTTCCGAAGACTAGAGTGTTCAGTGAAAGTGCGACCACACCCTTCATAAGTACACATGTAAGGTCTTTCCCCTGTTAATGGGTAAAAAGTGGTAAAAGTGAGCAATCAGAAGAGCCTCAAAAATGAACCTATAAATAGCAACTAATAAGTGAAGTTAGGAAGGTTGGGGATTGTCCATTAAAATTTGATGGGTTTTGAATGAGTTCTTAAAGGATATCAGAAGTTGGCACAAAAAGGCAAAGGGTGAGTGAAGTACAATGGGAAGTTAAAAAATTTTAAGGAAGAGAGAGATCATTTATCAGGTGTTATCTTCAACTGAGAATCCTGTACTTGACTTACCTGTGTGTATGCGCATATGATTCTTCAGATTTCCTTGTGTTGTAAAAGATTTCAAACAGTTTTCCACATTACATGTGTAAGGCCGTTCACCTGTGTGTACTCTCATGTGAACATTAAGCCTCTGTAAGACATAAAAGCTTTTGTTGCAACCTTCAAAAGAACAATGATAAGCTCTGTCTCCTGTGTGAGTCTTCATATGATATTTCATGTGTGCTGGCCATGCAAATACACGGTCACATCCTGGGTGTTGGCACTTGAATGTCCTTTTTCCATTGTGTGTACATTGGTGATATCGTAGGTAGCCAGATGATGTAAAGTTCCTGCCACATCCTTCATGTGAACATGAGTATGGTTTTTCTCCTGTGTGTGTTCGCACATGGTATCTGAGATGCGCTGCGGTGGTAAATGTTCTTCCACAATCAGGATAATCACATTCAAACAATCGTGATTGATTTCTAGTTGACATAAGGGGAAACTGCATTAGTAACCTAAATTTGTTTTTTAATTTCCTTCTTTTCTTTATTTTCTCCAAGTAATATAATTATGAAGATTTTTAAAGAAATATTTTCAAAATAGATAAAACATTTTGAAATTTTATATGCTCAGAGATAGGAGAGCAAGTAGAAAAACTTCAAAACAAGATTATCAAACACTTGGTACTTACTTGGTTGCTTCCCTTGACCTGGGCAACACAAGCATTTGAGTTTGCTGACTTTCCTCTGGTGAGCTGCAGTTCTGAATGTACAATAAGCCTTGTAATGAAAAAACAGAGGACAAAAGTGTTACTTTTGTTATTTTTTTGGTTGAAAGTCAGCTATTGTGCATTTCACTTTTGCTTTATCCACAAGTGAAATGAATAATACAATAACATTTTTTTAACCAAAACAACAGGCAATGAATGTAAACTATAGTGCATAGTGCATAGTACCTGTATCCTCTGCATCTGTTTCTTCACTTCTATCATTTAACACTTGTGGTGAGCTGCAGTTGATGCTATCTGTCACAATGGTGACACACTGTTGCTCTTCATTCCCTCCCTCAGTTATTATTTCATTTGGAATTGACTGCATCACATCAGAGGAACAACTGGAAGACACTCCAGATCCTTAGAAGCAACAACAAAATTGAATGTAAACTTGTGTTGACAGATAATACCCAATAAAATTTACTTGTGACCAAACTAAAACAGGATTGACGTTGAAGCACAAGGCAATGTCACTATCCAGGAGGGGGAGAGGGGGGTTGCAGTACTTAATAAAAGTTCTTTCAGCAAAGGGATCAAGGTAAGTTGTGCCTTTTGGGCTATCACTTGAGCGTAAGACAACTTGTCCAACTAGGCTCATCTGTTTCAGACACTATCATTACCTTCTTTAGCCTCTACATTTGAGCACTCATCTGATGAACATGCTATCAAAGAATGCGATTCTTCTGAGAGAATCTCAGGAGATGTTGGAAATGCTTCTGAGCCAATTGCCACAAGACTTTCCTGTTCAACTGACAAATCCATGACAAAAACAGCAGAACAAACTACAAAAGAAACATTTATTAGATCTGGTTTCTTGATTTCTTATAGATCTTGGCTATAACAGACTATTTAACTTGTTTCATCCATAAAACTAAAATAAGCATTTGGATAAGAGTTGGGTTGATGCCAATTAATAAATAACTGATCGACTGATTGGCAGTCGAATAAAGCATAATGCTATTGCTACTACTCCTTCAAATGGAATATAAATTGTGATTTAACCCTTTACACCCTAACATCAGTATGCATATTCTCCATACTGTTCTCCATATGTTTCCTAGGGTGCTGACAGGGAGAATTTGTTTAAAAATCAAGAGCATTCTTAGTTGGTGATCGTTTCCTTTATTCTTGTGAGCCTAATTTGTGATTCAGGGGTGATACTGTAAGGAGAAATTAGATGCTGGTCACTCTCTCACTGTACTCCATGTTTATTTTTTTTCTGTCTCTAAAGCACAACTTGATCTTTCTAAATAATCTAGGTGCATTTCAAAATTTTCCGGTATGATGGGTGCAAACGGAGACAAAATTAAACACTTTCGTCTCCTAAGTACACACGCTCATTTCCAAGTCATCCTTTAACAAACTTTTTTAAAGGTTTTCGTTCGGACATGCTTCATTTAATTAGAGGTAAAAGACTGTAGGTTAATACATTAATGTACGAAAAGCAAGGGAGGACGGAGTTTCAACATTCACCCCTTTATAATTAGCAAACGTCCACGAACTTGACAATATATTATGCAGATAATGTACTTCGTTTCCGCAAACGCCGAAAAAACAAATGTAAAAAAATCGATGCGCACTAGACGAGAACGTCTGGACAATTGTTTACAGAGTTTCCCGTAAACATCTGACCTCACCATACTAAGACATATCCCTCTGAAATACTTCTTTCTGATATCTACCTAGCCTGATCAGCTAAAGCATTTTAAAAGTTACGAATCTGATGACCGTAGTATGTTTCAACGTTTTTTTTTTCTCTACATTTTAATGTCAACATCTTGAAAGAAATGTGACTAGTAGAAAAAACCTTCACCCGTTAATAGCAATAACGCATGTCTGACTCACGCTCGCAACAGCCCGCGCTGTTCGGCCATTCTAGCGTTCTTTAGGACAATCATACTGACTGAATGTACCTTTAGTCAGCCACTTTCAGCTGGTTGTATTTCCCGCTTCTTTTTAGTGATATATTATGGTCTTTTTTCTTGTGAAAAACTATCATGGTTTATCCGCCATCCCTTCATTTCTTTCTTTACGGTTTGCCTTCCCTGCTAACCTTGCGCGCCTTCAAGCGGGAATAAAACCGGAAGTCGAATTGATTCTCTCGTCATCCTGGTCAGTCACGAAAGTCGTTATTCCAATACGTGTTTAGAACATCAATTTCGCAACGCTGAAACGTGTTCACTGTTGAAGCTCATGTATCTTAGTTTCCTATTGAATGAAGATCTGGACCGGGTGAAATAAGTTTAAAAGGGTACGAGCAAAAGGTTAATTTTCTCTCAAGTTTATGTTAAAAATTTTTGCCAAGAGACGATGAAGGAAAACAAAAGTTACGTTTCATCGTTTCATGGATACATGTACGGCAGAATTTACTGCTGATTTCTCTCAATTTTCTTTATGCAAAATTTACTTCCTTGCAATTTGAGTAAACGTCGGGCCAAAGTTCTCGAACACGGGTTCAGGTCTTTGTAAAGTACACATACGATCAGACGAGTTTCGAATGCAGACGCTTCCGAGCACGTAAACGAGGCGGGCTTAATTAATTCATGAGTGGTGCACGTGCCGCGTTCGTGAATGGGATTTTACTATCAACAGAGCGGAAATAGGTTACTGAACTGTCAAATTTACTATTTTTGTATTTGAAAACAATGGCATCTTCGTTGATCGCCCTTCGACTCGTGAACTTTCGTGATTGCTCATATTCTATAAATGTTACATAAGCAGAAATATAATATCCAATAAAAATTCCTATTTTGTAGTGATCACGAGTTGAGAGATCTCAATACTCATCCATTCCCTCAACGATGTTTCACAGAAAGAGATAGAGAAAGGGCTCCAAAACCTGTTACATCCGGGCTTTTGTAGCCTTATGACTGGTTTAAACCGGGAAAAGCGGTGCAAACTGGCCGCGGTGTCCGCCGATAAACTCATCCAGTGCTCCGAGAAGGTCGCATAGAAAATTGTTCCCGTAATTTTTTTACGTTTATATCCAGATTATATTTATTTCTCGTGATCTGTCTATTTGCTCCAATGCCTACAGCAATGGCAACCATAGAGCATGCCACGCAGCTGCTGGATTTTACGCAAAAACTCGATATAACTTTACTAGACTCGGTTGTCTCGTGTTTTTACATGGCACAAGGACCACAGGTTCATACATATTTTCCGTTCATTTTATGACTGTATCATGTGCAGATTTTGGAAATGGCCGTCTGATTGACGGATTATTTTTCGCTTCATCAGCAACGAATGGCAGACCAGATCCTAACTCAACTCAAACAGCACCCGGACGCCTGGACAAGAGTCGATACAATACTCGAATTTTCAAATAACCAGCAGACTAAGGTAGGTTTCAATATCTGGATTTTCCACAAAATTTATAATTTTTTTGAGTCATTCTAATAATTCTTATTCCAGTATTTCGCGCTCCAAATACTCGAATCAGTCATCAAGACGCGATGGAAAGTTCTTCCTTCCGAGCAGTGCGAAGGTTAGTCAGCCAGTAGAAAGTTTACTATAAGTCTGTCAGAATAAATTATCATTTCCATGGTTTGACAGTAAAACCAATTAAAGAAATCCTTCTCATAAGGTAAAGTAAGATTTTTATTTTTTATTTTTCAGGGATCAAGAAATATATCGTAGGGCTCATAATAAAAATCTCGTCTGAAGGCGATATGTTGGAGGTGTGTTAGTGTAGTGTTGTTTACAAAGTTGGTTTTTGTTTTCGCGTGACAATTGTCTAATACTCTGTCTTCGCTGCGAAGTTTTAAGTCTCCTTTTCAGTAAAGTAAATTTTTATTCTATTTTCAGAAAGAAAAAACATATATTGGAAAGTTGAATATGATTTTAGTGGAGGTATGTGAACTTAGGTGTCCGTTTACCATTTAAAGGGTGATTCCCGCCAAAAATATTCGCATTTAGAAAGCTACTTTCAGTGGTCAGGTATAGAAGCGACATTTATTTCGGTAGAAGACGGTTGTGTTCGTCTTTGCAAACGAGATCTGCCGTATTTTAAGTTCTAAGTTGTCAAAAACATTGATTATTTAGTCAGCTAATGCTGTTTATGACAGGTGTTTATGGGTAATAGGAGAGAATGGCTGGTTGCCAGACATAACTTCTCACCATGAGTGCCTAAACTGACATTTTCAGTTGAATTTAAGTACCATATCAATGGACCACTTGATTTTGTTCCTTGTTCCTCAGGTTCGGGTTGCATATTGTAGTTACTTGCTTGAGCATTGAAAATCAGGCCTTACTGTTTAGCACCTTATTCCACTAAGTCTGATTTGGCGAATAGCATATTATTATTTAAAGTGATTTAAATATTTAAAATGTTGTAATGAATTGCTGTTTGTTGAATTGTGGCATTGTTTTTTTAATTCCACTTTTATAGTCTGTTTAATTTTAGTTCTTATATTTGTGTAGATTTTGAAGCATGAATGGCCAAAGAAGTGGCCAAGTTTTATCAGTGATATAGTTGGCGCTAGTAAAGCAAACGAGTCTCTCTGCCAGAACAACATGGTGATTCTTAAACTTCTCAGGTAGGTGTTTCTCTTTGTAACCATTAAAAATTGATTTGAAGGATTGTATGATTTGGGATGAATTAAAGTTACTATTTGTTATTACAGATTTATTTAAACCTTTGGTGTTGTTGGAAGGCTTTTAACACAATTCTATGCAAATATTACTTAGACAAGACCAAAATAATCCCTAACCACAAGAAAGAAAATTAAGATTTTTTTTTGTCTTGCATCTATTATAAAGACCAGGTCAAGATGAATAAAATTGCCAAAAGTCTAGTTAGAACGTAGTTTATTTAGAAATGAAATACTAATTATGTTGAAAAAGAAACCTGCAAATCATTTTAAAATATGCATATAAAGGTCAGTTGTCCTGATTGCTCACTTTTGGGCCCATCAATGTCTTTCAAACATTTGTTTTTCTTGACTGCAGTTCTTTTATGGAAAGTTTGTCATTAAATATGAAATTAATTTGAATTGCATTTTTGAGTTATTATTTTTTTAATTTAGTGTCTGTGACCTAATGAGTTTGTTAATTTTTTTCAGTGAGGAAGTTTTTGACTTCTCCAGTGGTCAGATGACACAAGCAAAGGCAAAACATTTGAAGGACAGCATGTGCAGTGAATTCTTGCAGATATTTACCCTTTGCCAGTTTGTTCTGGTAGGTTATGGACTTAATTTTTACATGTTGGAATACTCACTCTAATTACAAGTGACATGACACTTTCCACATGCAGTTTGATATAATTAACTATGGCTCTGTGATCTTATTTGTCATTAGGTTTATTTCTGATCTTACATGCCTGAGAAAAATAATGCTATTGCAGAGAAGTTATGCAGATGATTTACTCCTACTTGAATTATTTGCCAGGAAACATTTTGCCATTCAGATTTTGAGCTTTACTGGAGCACTTTCATTATAAACTATTCAATATATTTTTGTTTAGGGCAACTCTCAGAATGTCACTCTTATTGGTGCAACATTGGAGGTCAGTGGATTGTGTTACTTAGCAGCTTATTACATTATAACTCAACTCCTGTTCTGTGATTACCCAAGGTTTGCCTGGGTCCTGGAAAACCTGGGAAGTCCTGGAATTTTATTTTGTAATTTTCCAGGATTGGAAAGTCCTGGAAATCTGCATAACTCAAGCAATAAAGTTTTCTGAATTTATGTTATAAGAAATGTATATAGACTGTGACTATGATTTATTTTGAAATTTTGGAAGTGATAAGATTTAAGTTGAAATTTGGAGCCCTGGAAAAATAAAATTAAATCCTGGAACAGTCTACGAAATATGTTTCATAAAAAGGGTACAAACCCTGATTACAGGGTGAGTGGTATGTAAACCAAGGAGATATTGTAACCTCTGATGTTTTTGCAACCCTTCCCTAAAAAAAAAAAGGAAAGAAAGAGAAAAAGGGAGTCATTTGAATAGAACAGCTGTGGATAGCTGTTGAGGGTTTTAGAGACCTAACATCAGCATGAGATTACAAAAATAAGAGCTCTGGGTTCTTAAGCTAAAGACTGTGCAATTTTTTGTTATTCTACACTAATTAGAATATACTGAAGGTACACTGTTGGTTTTTTTTTTTTTCTTTTTTTTTTTCCTTGTCGTTGTTGTTTCACAAAATGGTTTGAACAAAATAAATTTGTAATGATCAATTTTAGAAGGAGGAACAGTTGGTCTGTGGAGCATGACATCCTTAAACTCATTCCTTTTATGCTATTATTGTAGACTCTGCTACGTTTTCTCAACTGGATTCCCCTTGGTTACATATTTGAGACACAGCTGAACAGCACTCTTGTTTGCAAGGTATGCTGGGAAATAACCCATAACAACACAATTAATTTTTTTTGTTCCCTCTTAATAATTGGATTGCTAAGTTTATTATGTTTGATGTGAAAAGTACAGACTAAAGCAGAAGTTCCTTCTAATTTGCAGTTTCTGAATGTACCCATGTTCCGAAATGTGACTCTGAAGTGTCTGACTGAAATTGGTAAGGGTTTTTTTTTTTTTTTTTTTTTTTTGCAAAAAGAATGAAACTGAAAACTGGCTTATGAAAGTTTGCAGTCCAGAAATCTTTTGCTATTCTTGCCCTGAACTAGTTTAATCCTTAGTGAAGTAATCTTAGGCAATAGAGTTAAAACTTTTTTTGCAATTGTTTTGTTTTGTGAGTTAGTGAATGTAGCAAGGTACAATTTTATTAGGCTGTTATTTTACTGCATCCAATCCATCCATTGCATTTTTTTAAAACTATTCTTACAGCTGGCATTGATGCAAACCAGTATGATGAACAGTTTGTAGTGCTGTTTTCTTTAACAATGGCTCAGTTAAAACAGGTAAGCATAGCAATATTAATTTTGGCTACTTCATCCTTTAAATACAGTGACTTCCTGCTGCTAAATACTGCATTTTAGCCACCTGCATTGCAGCCCCTTTATTTTGGAAGAAGAACTTGCATAGCCAGTCTTATTGTGTGCCACCCTTACGAGCTTTTTTAAGGGCTTAAATGCAAGTGCTGGTTTCCTGCTCCTTGGGATAGAGATTGCTATAACAGTTTGTGCCTTTGTAAATGTTATACACACTTACATATTTCATGTGAATACAAACGTGAAGAAACCAAATGTAGTTTTTTAATGAAAATTGTAGGAGCTATAAAATTTGTCTTGTTCATATCAATGTAGAGCTCACTCTTCAGTTTGAATTTCTATCTAGATGCTCCCTTTGACGATCAACATCAAAGATGCATATGCAAATGGAAAAGACGATGAGCAGAAGTTTATTCAGAATCTGAGTTTGTTCCTGTGTACATTTCTAAAGGAACATGGCCAGTTAGTGGAGAAGAAGGTATGGCTGAGAAATTATTTTACATCTCAGATTAGTACTTTTGAGTATACCTAAAGAAGCATATTTGATTTGTAAATATTCTCTTCTTTGTAGGAGGAACTACATACAACATTGTTGGAGGTAAGAATTTGGTGGTATATACTTAGTGTCAACTTCCTATGTGCAGTTGATGGTATACTTAATTGGAATGCAAGAGCAAAATTTATGTACAATGACACACCATAGTCAATTAAGAAGAGTCAATAAAATTTCAATTCAGATCTAACTGTACATGACTTTTTGAGTGCTGAGAGGGAAGTGGCAGAGGTGGCAAAATTCCTTGCTAACCTTGCAAAGTAGACAACAAAAAGAGTTATAAAATAATGCAAATAGTACGCATGCTCTGATTGGCCATAAAACCATTTTACATGAGAGTATGTAAACACGGTTTTCGTTCCTCTTTCATTAGTTATTTTATAAAAGAAATGTAAAATGGTTTCCATGTTTACATAGCCTGATGTAAACACGCAGGAGGTTGGGAGAACACGAGATAAGCTGGAAACCACTCCGCTTCACGTCATGGTTTCCTATGTTTATCTCGTGTTCTCCCAACCTCCCGCGTGTTTACATCAGGCTATGTAAACACGGAAACCATTTTACATTTTTCCATTGTTGCATTGTTGTACTTGTAATACATATTTCCAAACAAAGTTATTCTTTGCCTCTTCAGGCTCTCCATTATCTTGTCCTCATCTCTGAGGTAGAAGAGACAGAAATATTCAAGATCTGTTTGGAGTACTGGAATGCACTGGCATCAGATTTATACCGCGAGAACCCATTCCCTTCAAGTACACCTCTTTTGATTGGCTCTTCACAGTCTCAAACAATACCACCAAGAAGACAAATGTACTTGTCAGTATTGTCCAAAGTAAGTAAATTACTGCTGCCTTTAGCTCTTGTTACTTCATTTTCCACAAGAGACAGCAGGAATATAAACCAGGCTGATGGCAAATTAATTGTCACCTTGATTGAGAAACTGCTGTGCGGTTGTGCACATAGGCTCCATACCTACTATGACCTTTCTGAATTTTGAACATTGAAAGGTCTTATTTTTGCATGTTATATTCAGGACCACAGAAGAATCAACAAGAGTTGATTTATTTGGTGATATGTCATTCTGTTCACAATTATTCAAGTATTTCCTTGTTACTTGTTCATGACATATTTAGGTACGGCTGACTATGATTGCAAGGATGGCCAAACCAGAAGAGGTGAGAAAATCTGTGGGATGCTGATAGAATCAAGATGAAGTACAACTTTCTTTTTTTTTATTTACTCTAAACAACATGATGGCAAAATGAGTATGCATGCTCCTCACCTGCAAAAAATTGATGCCTGGAAAGGAATGGGAATGATGATATTTCCACACTACTGAGGCAAAATGGCTGCATCTTTAAAATTCCATTCCTTATTTTCACAGTTAGGGTTGCCATCTATAGTAAAGTTTCTGTCAAACCTCCAACGTCACCTATCTCACTCCACAAAAAAAGTATTGTGCTAACAGGTGTGAATTTAGTGACTGAAGTTGAGCATCAGTTACATGACTACAAAGTTTGTAACACTTGCTATTGCTTAAGCACTTCTCATCATGGCCTCCTTGGTAGGCAAACACCCTGAAGAAAAAGTTTGTCATCTTGGAAGAAAAACCCACAACAGCTTATGTTTGCAGAAGACGAATTGCAGCCCTGAATGCACATATGGCTTGAGTAGGGTTGCATGTGCACTCATTTTGCCACTGTGTCACTCTTAACAGGTTCTGGTGGTTGAAAATGATCAAGGAGAAGTTGTCAGGGAGTTCATGAAGGATACAGATGCTATCAACCTCTACAAGAACATGAGGGAAACCTTAGGTAAATATAACGATGGAAGATGAGCTATCCAAATGTTTTTACACATTTTGAAATGAATTTAATTAATTAATGCTAATTCAGGTTGTAATAGTGATTTTTAATATGAAATGTGGTAATAATATGGAAAGCTTGCTAACTTTCATTTCTTATTGCATGTTAAGTTTATCTCACCCATTTGGATTACCAAGACACTGAGAGAATAATGACAGAAAAATTACAGAATCAAGTTAATGGCACTGAATGGTCATGGAAAAATCTCAATACGGTTAGTTGTGATTTTATTCAGAGATTTTTTTCCCTTGCAATATTTTGAAAAGGACATTTAGAATTATTCTTTGTGTGTGTGAAAAGATTTTTAACCACAGAAAATATTTCATGTTTGATATACTTGTCAGTATTTATCAGAATTTTGTTTCATGCATTAACGGTTGATAATAAACAGTTTGATTTGTATTACTTAACAGCTTTGTTGGGCAGTTGGCTCTATCAGTGGAGCAATGCATGAAGAGGATGAGAAGAGATTTTTGGTTACTGTAATCAAGGTAATGAATAAAAATGATATATCTTCCTTCACATCTTACAAAATAAGACTTGTTCTTAAATTATATGTTTATCCTTTATGGTATAAATCAACATGCTTGAGGAATGTTGGTTGAACTTTACCACCTTGAACATTTCATAAGCCTGTGTTAATGAGTAGTCTGAATTTAGGACATCTTCTTGCTTATCTACTCCTTAGACTTACAAGCAAAAAAAAAAAATTTAATTTTTGTTTTTTTTTTTAATCCCAAGTATATTTTTGTACATTGTCCAATTTTCATTGTGGAATTTTTTTATTTATAGGATCTCCTTGGCTTATGTGAAATTAAACGTGGGAAGGACAACAAGGCAATTATTGCCTCAAATATAATGTATATTGTTGGGCAGTATCCAAGGTTCTTGAGGTGTGTAAACATGCAGCTTAATATACGTATTTCATGCAGTATCTCTGCATGACTGTATGTGTGGTTGCATTTTGTTTTCGTTGGTACCTTAGCCATAAGGGAAAAAATATCTGAATCATAACTATTTCTTCTTTCCAGGGCCCATTGGAAGTTTTTGAAGACAGTGGTTAACAAACTATTTGAGTTTATGCATGGTAAGCTTTGTATCCTTCATTTTAGTGAGACACTTACAGCTCTAGTAGCATTGGAAATAATTGGTCACTAGATGGGTGGGGCATAATTTATAGATTCATCAACATTCATCAGTAAATTATTGTATTTTGTGTTATAGAAACACATGACGGTGTCCAGGACATGGCTTGTGATACTTTTATCAAAATAGCCCAGAAATGCAGAAGACATTTCACCCAGGTAGGAAAAAAAAATCCATTTTACCAGTCTATTGCTAAAAGCTTGTAAATAAACTGTACTTTATTCACTCTTTATTAGGTGCAGGTTGGCGAGGTTATGCCTTTTATTGAGGAAATACTAAACAGTACACAGTCCATTATCTGTGACCTCCAACCACAGCAGGTAAATTTTATGTTATTCGTGGATTATGTAGCAGATTGAATATAAGAAAAATGATCAAATAAAATCTAGAGTGCTATTGAAATAACTTACCAGTATATTTTGTTTCATTATTTGTTTTTTCAATATGTTTTCCATTAAATTAATGGCAAACAGACCCCAAAAACATTCTAATATTTCCTTCTTCATATTTATAGGTTCACACTTTCTATGAGGCAGTTGGATATATGATCAGTGCACAAACTGTAAGTAACATAAAGTTTACGTATTGTCTTTTTTCAGGCTTTCCTTTTAGAAAAAGTTACATGAAAATTGTTCTGTATATCATTTGCAGGATTCTGTTGTCATGGAGAGATTAATTGAGAAGTACATGTCACTTCCAAATCAAGCCTGGGACAACATTGTCAAAGAAGCAACAAGGGTAAGTTAAGAAAACTGAATCAGTATAGTACTGAATTTCACTTTAAAGATCTAACATTGTTAACATTATAGGCTACCAGACAAGTTGATGGTCCTGTTTCCATTTCCAGACATCCAGAGCCTATTGTGGCATTCCAGCCACCTTTTTACGTTATGTGATTTTGACTTTGGTGTTTTGTTGACACACAGCCTTAATCATTAGTCTTTATGAACAGTAGTGCTTTACACCGAATATTCTGGCCAAACCAAACAACTTTGAGTCATAGATTTCTTTTTTTCTTTTTTTTAGAATATCGATCATTTGAGGGAAATAGAAGTTGTCAAACAGCTGGGAAACATTCTGAAAACAAATGTTCAAGGCTGCAAATCAATTGGACACCCTTTTGTTACACAGCTTGGTAGAATATACCTGGATATGCTTAACGTTTACCGCTGTCTTAGTGAAAACATTTCTGTGGCAATAGCAGAAAATGGTGAAATTGTCACAAAACAGCCTCTTATAAGAGCAATGAGAACAGTGAAAACAGAAACCCTCAGACTAATTTCCACATGGGTTGGCAAATCAAATGATGCAAAGCTTGTGTGTGATAACTTTATTCCTCCATTACTGGATGCTGTACTGGGTGACTATCAGAGGAATGTGCCTAATGCGCGGGAACCTGAAGTGCTGAGTACCATGGCAACTTTTGTTAACAAATTAGAGGTTTGTAGTAATGTTCTCATAGTGATAAAGGACTTTTCAGTGTAGTGTTTACTAAATTGTTTTTATTAAAGAAATACACAATGATCCATCAGAGTTCAGGAAAATATCACAAGAGCCACCAGGAACTCCAAGTCAAAACATGTAAATGGACTAAATTGTGGAAAATGGGAGTGATCAAGGACAAGTTGTCATAGTTTGGTATTTAACTGGTTAACATGACTTTAATTTTGTCTTGACTATTTCTTTTTTTATTCAATCTTCAGAGAAATGTCACAGAGCATGTGCCAAAGATATTTGATGCTGTGTTTGAATGCACCCTGGACATGATTAATAAGGTTAGGTGACTGTTGCCATTGTTTTTATTTGTATGATAAATCATGGAACCTTGTAAGAATCCTGTAAGTTGTAAAGAGTATGAATGCTGAAATAGCTCATTTTGTTTTTGGTTCTTCAGAACTTTGAAGAGTTCCCTGAACACAGAACAAACTTCTTCCTCCTTCTCCAAGCGGTGGTGCAACACTGCTTCCAAGGTAATAAGGCTTGCATGTAATTAAAAATCTTCTCTTTGAAACCCTTAAAGGGTCTTTCTCTCTGATATGTTTCTTGCTGACAGGCCCCATTGGCCTAATGGTTGGTTAATTCAACTCCAAATTTAACCTAGCCTCTTATTTATTGTATAAATCACTGCTGAATCAAACAGGTCATGGGGTAAGAGGAAATGATCTCTAACCAAAGAACATCTCTATTGTTAAAGCTGTTATTTGAAGCCATAACTTAGCAGTCATTCAAGGAAATTTTGCTTTAAGTCTTGGCAAAGTAAAGCCAGCACACAACTGTCTTGCTGCTTGTAATTAAGTCTTGTAGATGTGACCATATCAAATCACTTCTTTATTTGTATTTCAGCTTTATTAACAATACCACCTCAACAATTCAAGCTGGTTTTAGATTCCATTGTTTGGGCTTTCAAACACACAATGAGAAATGTTGCAGACATTGGTATGTACTTTCATCATGTAAAATTGCATTAATTATTAAGTACTGCAAACCAATCATTATCAGGGCATGTAATCAACCTAAAGGAATGATACTTTTTCATAGGGCTTCATATTCTGTACTCGTTGTTAAAAAGCTTGGAGCAAGAAGCTGCAGCACAGAGTTTCTATCAGACGTACTACATGATGATTGTTCAGCATGTGTTATCAGTAGTCACAGACACATCACATACAGCAGGTACTGTTGAATAATGGTACTTTGTGTTCAACACAGGTGGAAACAATGAAGCCATCCCTAAGAAAGAAATGCAAACGTAACATTTTTGGACATGGTCCAAGTTGTGTTTAAAATTTATTTCATTAGAAAATACTCACTTTATACTTCCAGAATATTATTAAGTGTATCCAGTCTTTCTGGACTTGTTATTATGCAAAGTTAACTGTAGTGCCTATGTAAGGATATGCACACCAGCAGTCTCTCATCCCAGCGACCATAAATACCATGCCCCTTAAAGTAAAGTCAAGTCTCTCATAGGCTATAATTTCATTACTTTATTGATTGCTGAACTTTTTTCAGTCATGTGGTGTAACTTCTTAACTTGTTAGCTGGCTATGTTTTACACTCGGTAGATGTCACTGTCAACTTATATTGATAAAATTAACTGTTTCCTTGTGTCCTTAGGTTTAACAATGCATGCAACAATCTTGGCACACATGTTCAGTTTAGTAGAATCAGGGAAAGTTTCAGAGCCTCTTTTTGCTGCAGAAGCAACACAGTATCCCACAAATCAGGTGTGTGTGGTTACACAAGCCCTACAATTCTGCTTGTTTATAATTTGTACGGTTTATGTTTCTACTCTTTGTGAAAGTCTTGCTATTTTAACTATTTTTAACTCAATCATGTTTCCTGGTTTTAGGCATATGTTCAAGAGTGCATAGCCAATCTTCTCAAGCAAGCTTTTCCTCATTTGCAAGAGTAAGTGGTGCCTGTTTGCATACAGCCTGTAACCTAGCTTTGTGCAATGTGATCAATATCAAGTTTAATGATGTTCGAAGTTCTTTCATAGGCTCTCAAGTTAAGAACACTTGTCAATCATGTTTAATAAAGTGAATCTATTAAAAAAAACAGTGAAACCCACCAAAAACTATGAATTGGTAATTAACACAACTACTCTCAAATTTCTGATGGTAATTGTGGGATTAAAACAATTTCAACATGTAAGAATGCCAGAGTTTATTTTGTTCACTTTTTCTAATGGTGATTTTTATTCTGGTTAGTGCACAGATTAAGCTAACTGTCCAAGGGCTTTTTGATCTAAATCAAAACATTCCAGCGTTCAAGGAACATTTACGAGACTTCATGGTGCAAATAAAGGTATCCTGTCTGTTTTTTGTTGTGTTTATTCACTTAATTGTTTTGAAAGAAATGTTTCAAATATAAATATAAAGTGGATATGAGCTATTAGACCAGTTAATTTGACAATCACCTTATGTCCAAGAAGTTTCAGTAACAAATTTGTATTTTTTTAAAACAGCAATATATTTATTCATCACTCAGTGTTAGTTTGTAAAGGAAAAGCAACAACAACTAGTACAGAGTAATCATATACCAGTTAACTTCTAGTGTGAATTGTGTATTTTGATGGCTTATCAATCACAATCCTCAAATTGTAGTATGTACATGTGTGATAATATAGATGTTAAAACTCAGTTCTGTCCTGTTTATGTTATCCAGGAATACAGAGGTGAAGATGTCAGTGACCTGTATTTGGAAGAGCGTGATCAGCAGCTGAAATCAGCTCAGGAAGAGAAACGAAAAGTTCAACTCTCTGTACCTGGAATTGTCAACCCTCATGATGTGCCTGAAGAAATGCAAGATTAATATTTATTATTAGTTTTTAATGATATTCTTTAACTATTAGTTAGATTTTGCCAATGAGTAAGATACTTGTATTATCTGCATGAAACATGTATTTTTGTACTTTTTTTGTGTTTGTAATTACATGATAATCTGGCAGAGAAAAGCAACCTACTTTTTAGGTAATGGCAATTCAGAAACATTGTATGAATGACGGATTGTGGTCATGGATACCACACTCTTTAGCTATTATTGACAATAAGTTGTATTATTTCATGTTGAAAATAGTTTGCTGCAGAAGCTAAAAGGCCAAAGGCTGGAAGATACAATTTTTTAAAAGATTTGTTGGTTTATACTGAGCAGTGAGCAGTGAGCGGTTGTATTTATATGGACTGTTTTATTAGAGGGGAAATTTTGGTTGTTAAAAAAATGCTTATGGCATACGCCATCTGAAATATTTGGACCATCTCTCCTTGCTTAGTTTCTTGAACAGTGATCCACAGAAAGTGTAGTGCTCAGTGTAAAGATTTTGTCAGTATATCTTGAGTTTGTATTATTTTGTTACCAGTTATTTACATCCATTCCATCATTTAATATAAAGTGTTCTATTGGAAAAGTGTGGAATATAAATAAAAAGACAAGTAATGTATTTTATATTATTTTATATTGAAAAGTAGGAGTTTATGAACAGTTAATAAATTAATTGCTGTACATTTCTATATTATATGGTGAAGAATAGTTTCACTGCGGGTCGAAGGGACAAATCGTGAGGCAGTTTGTGTAACATTCCTGTTAGTTAGAATGGTTTATCATTAAGTTTGAAACTTGAACGTTAGATTTGTTGTCAATGCATTATGTTGTCATACATGAAAACACTTCATTTGTACCACTGAAGTTGGTTGGTGTTCCAATGAAAAACGTGTAGTTCAAGTTTAAACAGTTTGCAATTAGTCCAGAAGGTCACATTATGTTAATCTTGTATAGTTCATAACTTGTGAAACATCAAATGAATCATTTCTCCTTTGAAAGAAAAAGGAAGCATATGTTTTATTGCTCAAGTTGTAGCAGCAAAATTAGGTTATGACCTATGTTTGCTTTTCTGATGAAGTGATTGGTCAAAGAATTCAGTCAATAACTTCAGTAAATTTAGGCAGTGTCAGAGCTCCTTTGTATTGTTTATACAATGGTTTGATTTTTATTTTGTTAGCAGTTCGCCATTATGTGTTGCAGCCTATCTCCCTGTTTGTAAATCTGTTTTCCTTGAGATGCGAGCTTTTAGATTGGGGGTAACTTTTTGTGTTGCTCAGTCCAGTGGACATGAGCCCAAGGTATGTGCAAAGAGAGAGTCATCTCTCAAGAGACTATAGCTTTGTGCCTGCCTAGCACTTGCTCCCACTTGCCTTAAAAATACAAAAAAAAAGTAGTGCTTAAGTTTTTCCTGACAATAAGTCTTTTGCTTCTTCTAATATTATTTTACTTTGCAAACATAGGATCATATTAGAATATCACAACCACACTGTCAATAAAGAGAAATTTAAACAAAACTCAACAAGGTCTGTTCTGTGGACATTAGTGGATGTCAGATTGATGATTTATACCAATTTAGTGGCTAGTATTTTTTCCTTTCCAAATCCTTTAGACTGTTATTATACTGCCAAACACCCTGGATGCAACCCTGAATGTAAAGATATTTTAGGATGCATTGAGAATTTGACTTACCCAGCCACTTGTGCTAAAATAGCAGGTCATGGAGTTGAGACAATCCATTTTTAAGTTAATTTGGTTATCCTAGACTGATGAAGTGGATAAGTTGTTTTAAAAGGTCAGTAGTCAACCCTTGAAATCCTAAGATGCAATTGTTAGTTCTACCCTTTAGCTGGGACACATTTCCTTGTAAATTATTTACAAGAATTTGGTCTTAAATCAAGTGAACAAATTCCATCTGCTAAGTGTGAACATTCTTATAGTCTGATGGATGATGTTATTTCCTTACTTGGAACTGGTTAGATCAAATGACCACCACAAACCGTTTAATATCAAACCAAGCTTTAATAATTATTTGATCTAAAAGAAATACATTTATAATTCGCAATTAGAACAAATGCAAATCAAGTCTATCTTGTAACTAACAAACAAGCACTTCAATATAAACTTACTTCTGTGGCGGATCGTTACAACAGTCTCACTTTACTGGTTAATAGATTCTCCAGGTAAGCAGATTTAGAGACAGAAAAACGATAACAAAATAACTTCTTTCTCACTTCAATTCTGCTGAAAAACTGACTTAAAACAATCTAATGCTTTTAAATCAATCTATAATCATCGAATAAAACTGTCAACAAGAGGCAACCCCTGTTTATTAAACGAAACAGATGTAAAGATGTTACAGGGAGAAGTTTCATGTTAATCACTTCTTGGAGTTAAAGAGTTAAGATCTGTGGAGTTTGTACACCCCAGGTTTTTTATTTTCCTAGGGCTGGAAAAAAATTCCCTCCCTTACCCTCCTGAGATATGACAGACCAAAAAGACATAAATCATTTTCTGCGGTCAAGATTTATCAAGAACAGTCCAAACACTGGCTTCATTCATACAAAACTTCTTGTTCATTACCTGATCCTTTTTTTTTTCAAGCGCTGTTTCATTTTCCACACTAGCGTGCAAATCTCTACCATATTTGACAATGACAACAGGATGCCACCAACATCAGATATATCAAAGCAAAATGGAATGTCCAATTTTTAATACTGTTAAACACAAATCATAACACCCAAAAAAATAATTTCAATAGGTAATTATACATTCCTGTTTTGTTTTAATGTTTTTTTTTTGAGAATCTGATTCTCAACTTAAATGTTGAACACAGATGCTTTCCTTATGAATAAAACCTAACTGATAACAACTGATGATCAATGTGTATGTAACTTGGGTTTCAAAAGAACTTGAAGTATTTATTCATAGACCAGACTTTGACCGAAAAACAACTCCTTACTGAAAAATAATGACTTCCACTTGGCCTTTGGATTATTTCGTTCTCTGTCTCTGGCAACAGTCATTTTCAGGATAACTTGGTTGTACAGTACAGCATTTCAACAAATACAATAAAACTTTTCATCAACATTTTTCACCTTTTTTTTTTTTTGGTATAAATACTGGTATATTTAGCTTTCTTTTGTTGTCTCTCTTTTCCTACTAGCTTTTTTTCTTTTTCCTTTTTGTGTTTGTGTGGTGTTTGCACGTGTGTGGTACCTGACCCTTTAATGTAATAATTTATTAATAACCTAAGTAAGGCTGCACTATCTTTTTAGCCCTCAATGGTTATTATGGACAGCCTGTACTCTCTTCATTTTTTGTGTAATATATATATTTGTTGTATCATAAAGATTTAATGTAGAGTACAAATAAAGTTGTTGTTGTTCATTGGAGGGAGAAAGCACAGTCATGTTTAGGTTATTTGGGTAAAAATATCTTCCCTCCCCCCCCCCCCCTTCTCTTCCCTTCCCCTACCTGGTGCAAGGATTCAAGATAGATGCATGACACAGACTTGATTAAGAATAGATACTCTGAGATATTTTATTTTTCCTCTGCATTTAATAACAGCAGGCATTCACTGTTGATAATTCAACTGTTTAAATGTATAGAGAGCAGTATGGTGAATATGCATAGTGATGTTAGAGTGTACAAGGTTCCAGGCAGGAGAGCTAACATGAGAGATCATCCTGGCCTGCTAACTTAACTCTTTTACATCCTAATATCAGTATTGATATTCTCCATACTGTTCTCTATACATTCCCTAAGATGCTGACCAGGAGAATTTGTGTAACAGTCAAGGGATTATTTATTTAGTGATCATTTCCTTTATCCTCTTGACTTTAATGATTGATTCAGGGGTGATGTTGTAAGGAGAAAGTAGATGCTGGTCACTCTAAGGGTTTAACAGGTTAAAGATCTAATTTTTGGAAATCAAACCATTCCACTTTCCCATGTGAACAGGACAAATACATATGTGAGGAAAAGAGTTGAAAGGCAAGAGCTCTGAAAATATACCAGTACAACAGACAAGGTGGATAACATGAAAAGACGATTTTTTGACAAAACTGTTCTAAGTATGCCTCTTTAATAACTGCAAATTTCAATAGCTTATACTTAAAAAATTGAATAAACATCATATATTTTTTATTGATACGAAAACTTTTCAGATACACTATGTTTGACATATATTTATACTTAAAAATTATCAGAATCCAGATTTACACTTACTCTTTGGATTTGGCTCGTGAACCTTGGATTCTAACCTTTCCTACAATCTCTTTCTCTTTAAATATATCATCTGACTTAATATGTAAATATTCCTCAGAGAATTAGCTATATATAAATAATAGCTCGTTATGCTATAAATAATTTACAAGCTTATACTTTCCCTTTTTTACATTGCATGCGAGAGAATAGATTACAAAAACAGAAAAATTAGGAAACATAAGGTTGAAATAATAAAAAATATACAGGAACGAACCATGACGTCAATTTTCCGAGCGGAAGTATGGCAAAAATTTGGAACTTCCGTTTTGCAGTGTAAATTCTGATGGACTTTTGAGGGCCAAAATTAACTTTTATATCGTCAGAATTGGTACAGAAATTCCCACACTGGTCCATATCATCATGAAATTATAAAATATAATTCTTAACCTACGTATTCTCTGTTAGAATTTATGGGAACAATACCTCAAGAAGTCCTGGGTAAAACGGATCGCTACTAGTGTTTAGCAGTGATTCGATCTCGTCACCCAAAACATCTAGGTGGGATGAATCGCCTTCGATCTCTCTTAACAGTTCATTCACATCTTCAAACGTTGGCAAATTTCTCAGTTCTGTTGTTAAGCTCTGAAGAAATTCCTCGAGCTGCGAGTCCTCGCTTGCAGTGCTCTGCGGTTTATCAGACATGGTGATAATTTCCTGAAGTTCATACAAGGAGTTATTTTGTATTTCAGATGTGCTATCTCCGCCATCAGGAATTAAATCTGTCGTATCTGTTTCATTGGACTCTCGGCTTATGTTCAATTTCCTCTTCTTTTTGGAGGAAGAACAAACACAGAAGTAACTTGAGCAAACTTCGCTACAAATTCTTCGCACAGTGCATTCCAAAACTGCTGCCACAAACATGTCAGGCTCTCGTTTTCGTTTATTTATCTGCTGTTTCTTCACGGCAGATTGAACAAATTGTTCCTGCTCCACTCTTTTATCCTCTGTCGGACACATTTCACTGCGGCAATCCAGAGAAACTCAACCGAATCGCCAAGGAAGTTGATATAATTAAAGATTCTAATCGACACGGCGAGGATCCTAACCGTATCACCGTCACGGTAAACAATCTTTTCAGTGATGTGTAAAATACAAACAACAAATCGACGAAATGCTAGACGGGCTAGAACTTAAAATCAGAGTATACTATACTGTTGGCTACGGCAAAAGTACTGAACGAGCCAAATGTGATGAATTATTTCAACCTGTCACGGAATCGCCAACCGGCACATTGCACCACGAATCCGCAATTTGGTTTCTGAAGTCGTCGCTCTGGTAGGTAAGGAAACTACAGCTGTAGGAACGTAGTCGAAGCTGATTTCCCACTTAAATTCTATCGAAGTATCCAACACAAAACAATCAATTTCGCCCACAAGTTGAGATTCTTTCTAGCCGTTCGTTCTCATCTGCTCATTTAATTTTTCTAGAACTTCCGTGAAACTCCTGGTAAAATTGACGTTTTTCCGATCCTTGTTGCCATGATTACAGATGACTGGCAGCTAATGAACCAATCAATTTGAGCGGGCGTATTCCACCGGGAAAGACCCTTACAAAAAATGTTTTCGTTGTTAGCTGAAGTCGCTAAAAGATAAAATTTGTTTTTCAGAGACATTTCGCGAGGGAAATGGTCTCTCACTTCTCACTAAAAGTTTCAAGTTTCTTTTTCTAAAATGGACAACAATTATTTGGTGTTGTTAAAGAGAGAAACCCAAATAAATTTCAGGTTTCTCTTAGAATGTATGACCGTGACGACTTGGGGCGATTGGCCTTGACAGGGTTCGAAATGACGTCAGAGCATAGAGGCACGAACTAACAGAAAACGCAACATCAATTTAAGGTTTTTTCCCCGGCCTTCATCTGGTATCGTAAAAACAAACGACGCTAACATAAAGCCGTTCAAATTTAAATAAAAATTTTCTTATAAGGATCGAGTATTTGCCGAAGCTTCGATAAACGCGACCAGTTTGCAGGTTGGATTTTTAAACTGGGTTTTAATTAGATGAATTTTAATGTTTTACTGCACTGTAGAATTGTTGCATGCTTAGCTACGTGTATGCTACGTATGCAAAAATGAAGGCTGAAATTAAAAAAAAAAAAAGTCAGATATGACAATTATACGAGTGTCGGAGCATTCGATCGTAAAATATTCCCGATTGTTTTAATATTCCGACCATGTTGCTTACAGGCGACAAAACGAAACTAAATCGTACGTGCTTGCTCTCATGATACAAAATTTCGAGTTGTATAATTAAGTCCGAGAAAAAAAAGCAATAAACACCTGCTGTTATCAGGCGAAGAACAGTACGACTCAAAAGACGTTTTAAATTTTCTTCAACCAATTTTAACGACGAAATAGTTACCCAATCCTATTATAACGAAATTCATCTTTTTACGAAATATACAAATTTAATATATAGTCGACACGTTCAATAACTAGAGGATTGCGTAAGAAATGCTTACATCAGATGTTCACTTCGCTTATTTGCAAGCTTCGCACATTCTTTAGAAGGGCTAACTACACTTAGCATAGTGATGATCAACTGCTGCTTTGTTAAGCTTTTACTGAAGTTGTACTTTGAGTTTGCGAAAAATCACGTATCCTCTTAGGGTTTGCTTATCAGGTGCCAAGACAATCAGTTTCGGCTTAGCTTTGGCCAGACAGCTGTGACTCTGGGGGGGAGGGGGGGTGGGGGGTTGAGTTGAGTTTCATCGCGGCTCTCTTGGCTCGGTACATTTCCAGTCGTTTATGTGCTGCATTTCATCACTCGTTGCGTGAGCTGGCTTCCTCTCAAAGATACCCGGTAAACTCACTGACGACTCGCCGACGTGTACTCGTTGACGACGTAAAACGTAACGACCACATAAAAGATGACGGGGACTCAGAATTTTTCCTTTGTCCCAGGTTGTGACTGGACGAAAAACATATTTCTCTAAGATGATTTACAAGTGGTGCTAAAGGACCTTTAATGTTGATCGATCTGGGCAGAAGGGTTTGTATGTGTCTAACCACGGAAATAGTCGTCAACCAGTGAAGCTCTCGGCCGTTCATAAAATTTCACTACCGTAAGATCTGTATGGAGAACAGTATGGATAATATGCACACTAATACTGTTTGGAAGTGAAGGGTTAGCTGACCCCATTAACAGTGACCGCACTGCAAATTCGGAAAAGGATTATTTGGCCTCGAGTTTCAATCCAATGAACACAAATTCAATCTCTTTTAATAGTGTTGTTTATATACTGTATTCATTTCCCTAAGAAGTTCTTGACTACAAAACATATCTCATTTCACATTTACATGAAATACTTCTATATTTCATTATCGCTGATAGTCGTTCCATGGTCACTAAGATCTTGAAGTTCTTTGTTTTCTGGCTGTATTATCTGAAGCTTTAATCTGCAATGAGCTCTGAGGGCCTGTATTCCACGGTATTCCAGAACTATCAATCACGCTAGTAGACACTGTCACGTGATACACAGTGGGTGTACTCAGAGAGAGCAAGAATTGGGCACTGAAGTAGTCGTGATGCGGAACCACCGACTGTTCTAAACTGGTCACACAATCGCGCGGGGACTGAAACAGAGATGATTCACAAATTAATTTCTTAATTCAAATTTAAACAAAAAAAAAACTTAAGGGAACTACAGTTTAGAACAGTTCCGTGTTACTCCTTTCAGCGAACATCTTCAAGAAGCTAAAAAGCCGCAATTATGAGAAAGAAGGAAAAAAATGAATAGATGAAAGGATGGATGATTAGGAAATTTGGCGAACTCCACTAACCAGCGAACGGACCATCACTAAAAGCGCTGCAGGACGAGCGATAGATTTGAGACGAGTTGGGGAGAGGTTTACCGAGGGGGGTCTGGCATTAATAGTCAGTGCGAGAACCTTGTAGACCTTCCGCCGGTTCGCGATGCTCAAGACCTTATATTTTCATGCAGGTGAAGAAACACTCGTGCTGGAGAACCTACAATAAGGGCTTGCTCGTAAGCTAGAACTCCAAAAGCCTCTTGTTTTTATCCTTTCACAGCACTGTCATTCATTTCTGGTACGCTGCAATAAATTCACGGCCAACGATTCCAAATTAAACCATAGACGAACCTTTCCATCCAGGGTTTGCTGCTTCTTCTCCTCAGCCTGCCAAGTTACTGACAAACAGACGGACTGGACATCACGAAAAAGGCCTGGGCACAAAGCAAAAAGGGACGTATCAAAGTTTTACCCTTTCGAATTCCACTTCCCATTTAATTCCAAAAAATTCTTGATAGTTGTGAAGTTAATCCAAACCTGGTCGCTGTCCATGATCGATTACTCCTTCCACCTTGAGAACAAACTGTGTATCCAAACTGACCGTGATAGGCTCTCCAGGGGACCGAGCCGAGGGAGATAACGCCAGCTGCAAAAATAAGTCAGCCTTTTAACCCCTAGGAGTGGATAGAATCTAATTTCTCCTCACAGAATCACTACTAATCAAACATTAACCCTTAAACTCCCAAGATCCGATTGTTAATTCTCCCCTCTAGCTGTTACACACTTCCTTGTAAATAACTCACGAGAATTTGGTGTTAGATCAAGATAACTACTTCTACCTGATACATTTGAGTATTCTCATTACCTGTTTGCTGGAAATTGCATGGATATGGTAGGGAGAAGTTACTTTTTAATCACCTCTGGGAGTTAAAGGGTTAAGGTACGTTTTAAAAAATACAAGAAATGACCGCCCACTACAGAAGCTCTTGATTGTGAAACAAATTCTTCTTGTCAGCACCTTAGGAGATGTGAAGAGTAGGTATGGAGAATATACATACTGATGGTAAAAAGGGGGGAAAAGGGTCAGGGTTTGTCGATTGGTCATAAGTGAATTCTGCGTCTTTCCCTGAACCAGAGGAAGACGCGGTGGCTCTCCTCCAAGTTCACATTTCAAATCCTATTGTCACGTCAAATAAGTACAAAAACAGTTCAAAGCCTAGGAGTTTCCAGTTGTGTACCGTAATGAAACTCCGCTCTAACGGAATACAAGCGATTACCCAGCGAGAAAAATCTTCAGATTCTCCGAGCTATAAGGAACAAAGTCAAACACACTGCAAGACGCTGTGCCAACGACTACTGGACCGAACTCAGCGAAGCCATCCAGACTGCAGCAATTACTGGGAACATAAGAGGGATGTATGAAGGCATCAAAACATCAATAGGTCCAATCCAGAACAAGACAGCTCCCCTTAAATCCACCTCAGGGGAAGCCATCACAGACAAGGGACAACAGATGGAGAGATGGGTGGAACACTACTCTGATCTCTATTCAAGACAGAATGTAGTAACATCATCAGCCCTTGATGCCATAAAATGCTTACCTGTAATGGAAGAGCTTGACAACGAACCCACTAATGACGAACTCAGCAAGGCTATCAACAGCTTGGCCTCAAGGAAAGCTCCAGGCAGTGACGGGATCCCCCCTGACCTGATCAAACACTGCAAGACTACACTATTACAGCCTTTACATAATGTCCTATGTGCGTGCTGGAAAGAAGGGGCCGTACCACAAGACATGAGGGATGCTAAGATCGTTACCCTCTACAAAAACAAGGGAGATCGCAGTGACTGCAACAACTACAGGGGCATCTCCTTACTCAGCGTTGTGGGCAAAGTCTTTGCTCGGGTTATTTTGGTAAGACTTCAGAAACTGGCTGAACGTATCTATCCAGAGTCACAGTGCGGCTTTCGAGCAGAAAGATCAACGATAGACATGGTATTCTCCCTCCGCCAGCTTCAGGAGAAATGCAGAGAGCAGCAGATGCCTTTGTACATTGCCTTCATCGATCTGACCAAGGCGTTTGATCTTGTAAGCAGAGAGGGTCTCTTCAGAATTCTATCTAAAATTGGCTGCCCCCCTAAACTACACAGCCTGATTGAGTCCTTCCATGCCAACATGCAGGGGACTGTGCAGTTCAACGGCAGAACCTCTGAGTCATTCAACATCAACAGCGGTGTCAAACAGGGCTGCGTACTTGCCCCAACCCTTTTCGGAATCTTCTTTGCCTTCCTTCTGAAACATGCATTTGGCGCATCGAAAGAAGGGATCTACCTGCATACAAGATCAGATGGCAGGCTTTTCAATCTTGCCCGTCTCCGAGCAAAGACCAAAGTGCGTGAAGCCCTGATAAGAGACATGCTATTTGCTGACGATGCAGCAGTAGCCTGCCATACTCAGCAAGCACTTCAGTCACTCATGGACCATTTCTCTCAGGCCTGCAAAGACTTTGGGCTTACCATCAGCCTGAAAAAGACTAAAGTCCTGGAACAAGGAACAGAAACACCACCATCCGTTACCATCGACGATTACGAGCTCGAAGTGGTCCATCATTTTACGTATCTAGGCTCCACTGTCACTGACAATCTCTCCTTAGACTTCGAGCTCGACCAGAGAATTGGAAAGGCGGCTGCCACACTTGCACGCCTCACTACATGTGTGTGGTCCAACCCCAAGCTCACAGAGAAGACCAAGATGGCAGTATACAGCGCTTGTGTCATCAGTACACTGCTATACGGCAGCGAGACATGGACGATGTACGCCAGACAAGAAAAACGCCTGAACACCTTCCACATGAGAAGCCTCCGCCGCATCCTGGGAATTTCGTGGCAAGACAAAGTCCCAAACACAGAGGTCTTGTCTCGTGCGGGCCTGCCAAGCATGTCAACCTTACTCAGGCAACGTAGACTCCGCTGGCTGGGCCACGTTCATCGCATGCCAGACGGCCGCATCCCCAAAGACTTACTGTATGGTGAGCTAGCCACTGGAAGTAGACGCAGAGGACGCCCACAGCTGCGATACCGAGATGCTTTGAAGCGTGACATGAAGGCTGTAGGAATTGACACAGAGACCTGGGAAAATCTCGCAGCTGATCGGTCACAATGGAGAGGAGCCGTTACAAGGCACCTCAAAACAGGAGAAGAGAAGCTGACACAAGCTGCCACAAGGAGGCGGACCCGCAGAAAACTTCGTATCAGCAACGTCCAACAAACAGCATACACGTGCAGCACTTGCGGCAGGGACTGCCATTCACGCATTGGCCTTCACAGTCATAGCCGCAGATGCTCCAGCCAAACACACAATTAGGATGCTATACCCATGGTCGACCCTGACCGATGGAGGCCTACTACTACCGTAATGAAACACACCGACTGACCAAAAATCATTACTTAGAATAATTTTCATTTTAGTGTCGAAAGTAATTCTTGACTGTTTTGGTTTCACTTAACTTCACTCTAAGATCAGCACAGGAAACTCGCACCACTTTATCAACCAATCAGATGCAAAACTGAAAAAATCGCGTCTTGGTCGTGTGCGTTTTCTCGCGCTTTGGCTCTCGTTGGCTCTAAGATATTTTCTTTCCTACTTGTTGGTTGTTGTGATAACTTTGGTTTTAGCTCTACGACATTCAATCGAAAAGCGCTCAAAAAATAACCAGTGAGAGGTCACTTACCTTGATGGACGTAGATTGTTGGCTGCAAAAGAAGTACTTTGGAAATATAAAAGGTACTTTGACCAGAGTCATTGAAGCACGAATAAGACACTCGGTTTGCTGAAAGAAAAAGAAGCTGGTAAGCTTCCAACAAGGTCAGTGGATTGTAAACCACACAAGTGATCTTAATGAAGAATCTTCTAATATGTTAAACGTTATTTTGCTTTAATGTGAAATTTTCAGGATAGCCAGAAAAAGGAACATGTCGCGGTAAGGGCAAAGAATTGTGATCTTTTGAGCCCGAAGGTAAAATGATAGTTTGGAGGTTCATTCATGAAACAAATCAGTTTAAAGTGTTTAGAACTGAAGCCTCTTTACTACAGTGATTATTGCTGTGAGGAGAACGCTTTTCCTTTTTTTCATTTCTCTCTGTTTGTAAGAACTCAAGGGAAAAAGTGCGTGTCGGCAATATGTCGGCCGGCGCGTTCATCCTTCGTCTATTAAATACTCAAACACAACATTTCACAGGCTTACCAAATGACAAAGAGGAAGGGCTTCAAGTTGACTTGCAAGGTTCTGAAATTAATTATCATAAAAACAGACCATTCACTTTAACTGTATGAGCAATTTTGAATGAAGTGAGGAAAGTAATCTTCGACATTTCATCGGTTTAGCTTTTGCTCAGTGATTAGTTTAGAAATCTCGCGCCAAACTTTCGACCAATCAGATGCAAAATGAAAACCAACGACGTCTTTTTCAGTTGCTTCTTCCCGCGCTTCAGGTTGTTTGCTCGTCTTTACTTCAACTTCTCCTTGGTTTCTTGAGATTGTTTCTTTGTTATGACAGGACATTGCGATTACTTTTGGTTTCCTGACACTAAAACGAAATTCACCATCAAAAATTAAAGATAAAAAGAGAAAAAATCTGGGACAAAACCAACCTCTACTGTTTCTAAAATGTCTGTACACGCCAAAGACAGTGCGTTTTGTCTCAGAGCTGAGGATCTGTTTCGTTGTTCACCCACAGAACTGGAGGAAAATTGCATTAAAAAATTAACAAATCAACACAATTCTGTGTAGTAGTCAAATTAAGCCATTAATATGAACCAACATAATGACCAGCCCTCAATTGTCTTGTTAGCTCAGTTGGTGGAGCATTTCACTGGTATGGCAAAGGTCATAGGTTCAAATCTGTACAATCCTAAATTTTTTTTTCAGGCCTTATTTTCACTACTGCTCAAGTAGTGTTCATTACTATGAAGATCGCTTTCATATTCATTTCTGAAAAACCGCAGTTCACATGTATGATTTTCATATATTCATAGTCATCGGTTCGTGAATAAATCGCACCAATGAGAGCCAATCACATTACAAGCATCACCAGTGGTTTCAAAATTGGATGTAATGAAATCTGAAAATTATCAGTGACCGTACCTGGGCTGGGATGTCTTCATTAGTACATCAATACTGTAGGATATCAATAAACAGCTTTGTTGAAGACTGAATTACGTGTTAAAGAAAATACATGCTACTGAAAACAAATTGTTACTTCATAGAAAAACCAAGATATCTCTGGAAAATCCTCGAAATTTCACGACCACGATCTCCAAGGGAGACGTTTAGCCCTTTGACTCCCATCAGTGACTAGAATTGCCTTAAGATGGACTTCATTCAGGAAAGAGAAAAAGTGCACGACACAAACAGACGTGGAGAGGATCAGTGGCAAAAGAGACGAAAGGGTTCAAGATGAACATGAAGCCAGATGCAACGGTGGTTATTTGACAGAAAATAAGAAATGCCGAAATATGAATTCTTTTAAATTAGCTCTAAAAAAGAAATCAAGATTGATGGAAACTATTAGTTACATAAAGGGACTATGCAATAATTTAAATGGGAAAACTGAAGATTTTATATACTATTGAAAGTGATTATTTTCTTTTGAATTAATTACTTATTTATTAGATTCATATTTATATTTGATTATTTCATTAATAATAATTTATTAGATGATCTATATTTTATACTTTATAAAGTTCTTAAGATTATGTTATTAGGTTCTCTTTTTTTAAATATTTTAGCATGTAGTTAGGAGGTCTACATCAGCGAGAGCTGCCCTTATCATGACCTTATTCAAATAAATTATGTATGTATGTATGTATGTATGTATGTATGTATGTATGTAGGCAACAATGGTACTCGTTTGAAAAGACCTTATTTGTTACGTTATCGTGATCAAATTGAGCAACGAAAAATCATGTAAAAGGATACGTCTCGATGTTCTTGAGGCTCACAGGGTCTGCATTAAATGAAGTGCGGTATAACTGTCCATAACTCTCACCAAGATTACGGAAAACTTTGCTGCATTCAGTCATCTGAATAAGGAAAAATAATACTGTTTCGTAAGTGCTACTTTAAATCAAATATTCTGTGAGCACATTAAAATCTTCAATGAATTGAAGGAAAAAAAAACCTAACACGAAGACTAGCTGTCTCACAGCTTTAACATTTATTCAGAAGAGCAACGTAAAAAACTCCCTCCAGATAGGAAATCTCTCTTCCCTACAGACTTACTTGAGCAGCAAAGTGACTCAACCGCTGAACATCTTGACCAGTCGCCATGGCAACAGCCGTTGCAATGGCAGGCGGAGGACAGGATTTCATGGTAGCACAAGATGCGAGGAGCAGACTATGAGCCTGGAACGTTTCTGCCCTCAAACTGGCATATGAACATTGGAATGACAGTTGGTTGTTGGAAGACACAGAAGCCTGGTGAAAACGAAGAGCGATCATCATATCGTTAGAAAATCATTGAAAAAAGTACCACAAAGCAAACAACTTATTCAAAGCGGAATGGTTTTTTTAACCCTTTACACCCGAACATCAGTATGCATATTCTCCATACTGTTCTCTATACATTTCCTACGGAGCTGAAAAGGAGAATTTGTTTAACAATCACAAGCTTCAATCTTGACTTGGTGATCCCTTCCTTTATTCTCGTGCGTGATTCAGAGATGATATTGACTCCTAATACACTAGTACTTGAAATTAGGTTTAGAGTGACAAAAAGACCATCTAAAGTTATTCAGTTTTATTTTTGGCTCATTAACATTTACACAAACCTTGAGGGTTGTAATGCCTTTGTGGTATTTGGCACAAGCTTCTGATATCTGTTTAGCTAACATTAACTGACTATCACATGGGACACTAAGCAAACTCTCTGCCTCACAAAAACACTTTAAGGCAGTTAACCAGAAGTAGAAGTGTTCTGATGCCACCTGAAAGATAATAAAGCAAAAAGGGCGAAAGATAAAGTCTGTAATCAAGCCAAGTGGCCCATTCGGAGGGGGGGGGGGCGGCCATGGGTTGACAAGGAGTATTACAACTCCCCTCTGGATGGGATGCCAATTTATTGCAATAGTTAGTTAGAATTCACTTTCCCTATGCATTAAAACTAAAATAGCTCATGCGAAAATTACATCACACTTTATACCTTGGATGACAGGTTTCCAAAAATTTTGGCTGCAATGCTGTGAAAACCCTGAGAGATAATAGAGGAATAGTTTAGGCTTAACATTTTTAATTGTGAAAATTATTCAGGACCTTGATAACTATAATTTGTCATAAGTTTTCAGGTTTCAAGATGGCTAAATGTCCAGTATTGTAGCATCAAGCATTCCAAAGGAGGATGCCAGGTCATTGAAGCAAAGCTATCAGCCCTTGCAGCTGCATAAGTGGGATTGCTCAGATATAAGCAGGCCTAAAAAGGCTTGTCATCAGGAACAGCAACAGACATTTTGACAACTTGAGTGAGGGTCTGCACCAGAGTCAAGCAAAGAGTTGTTCATCTGTCAAAAGTTTTGAATCTGATGGTCAGTTTATTTGGGATGTTTTCTACTTTGAGACTACAATCTAAGTTCTCAGTTTTGATTGGCTAGTTTTGGTGTATTATCTCAGCAAACCATAGTGTTTGAACACTTATTGAGCTAAATGGTAGCTATTTAAAGAAATATGAATAAAGGGGGTAAGTTTCTAAAGAGACTGTGGTGCTGTATTGTTAAGAGAGTATAACAGGGTAATTTGGTATTATCAACTGAGTTGATAACATAAATTGGCCATCGTAAAAAGTTTCAAAGCTGACGTTTCGAGCATTAGCCCTTCATTAGAGCAAACTTTCAAAGTAACTTTCATTTGCTCTGATGAGGGGCAAACGCTTGAAATGTCCCCTTCGATACTCTTTGTGGTGGCCAATTTACATTGGTTGGTTAACCATCTTAATCCAGAGCACAAATTGATTTCCTATGGGCAGGAATTGAATAAGAACGTGCCTGTCTAGAGCTCTAGAGCAGGCAGTCCCAAACAAATCAAAAAGGCATTGGTACATAAAATGGACCAAACAGTGTTACAGCACTAAGACTAACTAACCAGTCTTGTGGCCTGTTTGCCAACTCTGAACATGGTCCAGTATCTTGATGTTGTTGTTAACTTTCCCAGGTTTTCCAGCAACATCTTTTTCAAGTTTGCCACTGAATCTTCATCCTCATTGTGTGAAACACTTTGATAAGACTGTAAAACCAATGTTGCCATACCAACCTATGGTGCAGAGAAGATACAAAAACTCTTAGTATTTAAAAAAAACAGGTCTTCAGACAAACAGCAAGTCTCTCAAAAAACACATACCACTAAATCTTTTGATTCCTTGCGGTCATCATCTGCAATCACTACTACTTTGGCAAAGTGTGAGACAATTTCACTTCTTAAAGGTGCAAGTAAAGATGGAATCTGTGTTGCCATGGTGACCATCACATGACACAGTTCAAGTGCTATTGGACCTGAAAAGAGGAACAAAATGACAGCGATTTAGAATTCTTCTCTTCACCGCCTAAACAAGAAAATAGAACTCCCAATATCTGATTTGAAATTCTCCCTAATAATTCATACTCATTTCTTGTAAATCAGCAAGGAGAATCTAGTATTGGGTCAAGATAAGCTTTAAAAGGTTTTGCTTTCCTACAACCTTTCAGCAGAACAATGTATTGCAATTGAAAGCAGTAGTTATGTTCCCTCAGGTTTGGGCCACCACAATAAATAAGGCAATATTATAGTACTATTGCTGACAACTGACCAACAGATCACAGACAGATTACCAACTGTAGGCCACATGTCAGCAGACAGCTAACCAGGATGATAGGGCTATATATTATAAGGGTTTGATGATCTGCAAGATTTCACTCTAGATTTTCACTCTTTCACTCACACTAGCTCTTTCATTTTTGTGTAAAGAAGTGGAGAAATAATGCAAAGAAATTGAACACTAACCAGATGAAGTTGGAAGCAAGCTGGACACACTTTCAACCAGGGTGGGAGCCACCTCAGGGGAACTATTCACCAAACAATTCATTGATGACAAACAAACCTGTACAGAAAAAGATAAAAAGTACATCATTTGTGATTATTGTACATCCGTTCTTGCATAATTTTCTTCAAAGGTTCATCAAGGAATACCTTCAATGGCTGAAGTTGATTGTTTACACAACAGACAACAGCACCACTCTCCACTGCAACAGCTGCTTGTTCACAAAGGCTGCTGTCCTCTTTATCTACAGAGTATGGAAGAATTAAATCAAATTGCAAAACTGTATTTTGTCTAAGACTGGAACAAACTCTGCACATTCTTGACCTCAGATAACCACTGGATCCCAAGCTCAGCAGTCCACAATGGACAACACAGGAACATGTTGTGACCCCTTTTCAATGATTTCTTTTGTGTGACATGGAATGATTTTGTGGGAAACTTTCTCCTTGTGAAAGAATTTTGCGACAAAACAAATTGCATATACATACATGCTTTGTTAGCTTTCCAAAAAGGAGGCTTTTCAAACAATTTTAAATCAGTTTGAGTCTGTATTAATGATCACCGTAAGAAAATGGTAGATGCTGTACAAAAGAAGAGATTTGTCACAGAGATATCTCCAAAAAACTTGTCCCAAACTTTTTAATAGCACATAAGCTAGAGATAAGAAAAATTCTGGTTTTATACCAATTCCATCTCCAAATGATCTACCAAATGTAAAAACACCCTCTTGTTATATGTAAACATGAGTTAGATAGAACAAAAAGGAAAAAAGTTCTAAAACAAACCAGACTTAATTCCTGCCACAGCAATGTTGACAAGGAGTTCTGATGCTAAGGCTGCTATAGCAGAGTTATAGGAATTTGTTTCTTTCTGGCAGATTTCAAGGACTGAAAAGTCAGCAACAGAGAAAGGAAATATTATCATCAACATAGCACTTCAACCCTTTACATCCTAACATCAGTATCCAAATTCTCCATAATGTTCTCTGTACGTTTCCTAAGGTGCTGACAAGGAGAATTTGTTTAACAATCAAGAACTTCTTTAAATTGGTGATCATTTCCTTTATTCTCTAATCTATAGTATTGTTGAATTATCAAAATCAAAGCTTAAATAAAATATTAACCTTTTAACTCCCAGAAGTAATAAACATGTAATTTCTCTTTATGACATCCAATTCTGACTACACAAAAGTTAGGTAAGACGAGTCAGTCAGTCTTCTAGTATACACATCCTGATACAATCTTAACATGTGCATCCTGAAACTAGTGGTTCTACAAAAAGAACCTGTACTACGCCAGATTCAAAACACCACTAAAAAACCACTCTTTAGATGTGGCCAAAAAATGAGTGGAAATGCATTCATCCTCAAAGTGCCATCAGAATGTTAACTTCTGACTAACTAGTTCCCATGTCACTCAAATGTTGGAAATTACATTATAATATTGAACAAACAGGTAATGATAATACTTGAACTTATCAGGTAAAAGTTGTTATTTTGATTTAACACCAAATTGTCCTAACTAATTTACAAGTAAATTTGTAGCCACTAGTGGGGAGAATTGACAATCAGATCTTGGGAGTGAGAGGGTTAAAGTCACCAAATTTACCTTTTTCACTCTTGAGCAGATCTACAGCCTCTGATCTTGATAGAGTTACCATTGTCCTCAATGCAGAAAATGTAAGGTTATCATAACAGCTACTCAAAATGAATTCAGAGAGAGCCTGGATAAAACAAGAAACAAATGTTAACAAATGGCTTGAATGAAAATTTAGAAATGAAATCCTTGACTTCAGATTGTCTCGCAGAAAACTACTAGTATGGTCATAATTTATTTTTTTTTAGTTGTTTTGGTCTTGTTACTGTAACTGTTTCATGTATGTTCTGTTGAAATTCATGCTGACTTAAGAGCAATCAAATATCACAGTAAGTAACATAAAATGAAAAGATAAATTAATTAGAATAATTGTTTTCTAAAAGAGACTGTTGACTGCTATGATGGCATGCACATGAAAGAGTGACAGGATTATTGCAGTGAAGTTGACACTTCAATTTAACATAACCATTCGACTTAGCAAATTACTATAAAGCTGACAACTTCAAATTTTAGTTTCTTGTCAAAACAAAGTGAAGGATTTGAGATCTTAGGTATCACAGTACCTCGATGTCCTGGATTCTCCACATGTGTGGTGCCCCCTTGGCTAGCATCCTTAAATCTGAAAGGGTGTGGTTCTTAACTACTTTTCTAGGATCTTGTGTTAGGTACTTCAGTAACAACTCAGTCTGCAAGATAATTTTTAAGAACTTCATATACTTATTTGTTTCAGTCTTTAGAACTTGGCTTCTTTTCTCATCATTTCAACAGAGATAAAAACGGATAAAACTTTGCTAACCAAAAAAAAGCTCAAAAATTCTATGAACTTTAAATTGTTTCCTCTAGCTGCTACATTTTCCTTGTATTTTATGAAAAGTCAGAGTATTTTACATTCTTTTGAGATGATATGCTTCCCCTGATTGGTTTGTATACTCTCATGAAGAGTTCCCTGAATAGTGTATTGACTAGGCATGGAGAAGTCATGTGTTCATCGGTTCAGTGATTCGACCAGGTTAAGTAACAAGCCAGTCTTACCTGTTTAGGGATGTCAATCACTGATGATACAGCAAGACAAGATAAGGTGTGTAAGGTGACAACAACAAACTGGCATGTGGGATGAGAAGCAAGAAGAGAGGAACATAATTCATGGACCTGTAGAGAAGAAGACCACAAAAAAAAATCAAACCAACTTTTGAGTCCTTTACACCCTAACATCATGTTGCATATTCTTCGTACTGTTCTTTAAAAATTTCCTAAGTTGCTGACAAGGAAGAATTTGAGTAACAGTTAAGAGATTCTTTAGTTCTTGATCATTTCTGTTATTCTCATGACCACAAAGTCAGATTCAGGAGTGATTTTGTGAGAGAAATTAGATGCTGGTCACTCTTAGGAGTGAAAGGATTAAGTCCAGTAGTACACAAATGATTTTTTTTTTCAAACCATATTTGATAAGCAGCACATAAAAACTATTTATTGCCACAGTGCTTAAATGTGATGTCACTGTGGTCATGCTTCAAACACCATTAACCAAGAGAATTTTTGCTAGGAAATAAGAGATGATATCTGATATTTCAGTTATTTCAGTTTACCTTTGCAGTCAGCTGTAAGTCATAATGCATGTGTCTGAAAATAGATATTAACTTCAGCTTCATTTCCACAGGAGTATTCAGTCCTAAAAGAGAAATAATAAAGTCAATAACCACATTATAACCCTAACAGGTAAACAATAAAGTCAATAAGTGCATTATGGCCCTCACAAGTACATAATATTGTCAAGCATCTGTACTAACACACTCTCAACTTACCTTCAATAAGCTGTGCTATTTTGTTGTAGAGACCAGAGGCAAATTCTCTGTCAGTAACAAAAAAAAGAGAAAGAGTCAGACATGCAATTGTAAGATAACAAAGCACTAGAAGGCCTTAGTCATAATCTTCAAAAAGGGTTGCCAAGAGCAGAACAAATTTACTCACTCAGTGAAACAGTCCACTCATTTTCTCACCAAAAACACAAAAACTAATTGACACTGCAAAATTACCCAAACTATATGACTTGGACAAAGATTTTCACAAAATGAAGTGAGTTGTTACAGCTACATGTCAACCATAAATTGAGTTGTCAGGACTAATCCTTAATTTTTTTATGACCTTTATAGACATTTATCACCTGGACTGTGCACAAAGCCTGTCCGTTGCAAAAATTGCTGCCTCTAATTCCACCTGATCATGTGATTCCAAGCTGCTTCTTATGCTACAATGTGACAAAGAGGAGGTTTTCATATTCAATTCAACAATTTGAAAAAAAAAAAAAACTGTCTCTATTAAATCCACTACTCATGTTAACTTCAACCTGAGTGTTCTTATTAGAAGCAATCATCAAACCCTTTACACCTCAACATCAGTATAAATATTCTCTATACTGCTCTCTGTATATTTCCTAAGGTGCTGACAAGGAGAATTTGTTTAACAATCAAGAGCTTCTTCAGTTGGGGATCATTTCCTTTATTCTCGTGACCTTCATGTTTGATTCAGAGGATATATTGTAAAGAGATTTTAGAAGCTAGTCACCCATAGGGATCAAAAGGTTAAAGTGGAGAAAACACTGCTAAGTATTACAGTCAAACATTGTTTACCTGTGGTGGACATTCTTTCTTTCAGAGACGATACAAGCAATACTACCAAGAACTCTAAAGAAGCAATATGTTGAAATAAGAAACAAATGCAATACAATATTCTTTATTACACTGAATCAACTTTCAACAGACATGGGATGAGAATTGAAACCTTCATGCCCTCAAAAGTCATTTTGAGAGTATGAATTTTTTTTTTTGACTCTGACCATGACCTCTGCTGAGTTTATCAAAAGTGTCTCCAATTACCTCAAATAACATTCATTTACAAGGCTACTCTCACTTGCACGATCATGTCACATGATCATAAAAATCATTTTGTTGCCTCTATATGCAGCTGAAGAACCCATTCCACTAATAACCTATAATCTGTTCAATGAATAAACAATCCTTTTTCTATTCACCTGACAGTGATGGCTCTTGCCACTGGATCATTTGAATGAATAACAGAGTAAATTCGCTTCAAGAATTCATCCACATTCAAAATCTTATCCAGGTGTTTTTCACTTTGTTGAATAACCTTCAGAATGCAAAGCCGCAAAAAATTACTCCTGCGAAGAAAAGGAGAAACATAGGCATGGAATCTACGTTTTTATTTGATTTTTAGTAGAATGCGAAGAAACAGATGTGCTCAATTCCCTTTTCTTTCGCATGAAACATCGATCAAATTACACATAATTGACAAAAAAATAATCTCTTTACCCGATACGAAAGACATCAGCCAGCTTTAGCAGAGCAGAATTGATTAAAATTGGGAAGGGATATTTCTCAAATAACCCTGGGAATCTGACTATTGCCTCACACTGTTCTCCAGCTTTACTTGATCGCAGTCCTAAAATGAAAATAAAATCATCCCCGTTGTCGACACTTGAGTGAGACTTACGACAGCTTGCAGACTGGTGTTACGGTTTATAAATTTTGGGATATTGGGAATAAAGCTTGTCTGCAAAGTAGCATTTATTACCTTTATCAAGCTCTGACAATGCACTGTTCGCATCTTGCCAGCTGTCAGAACTATTGGAAGATTTTTCTCCAATGTTTGTGAAAGTTCCAAAGCTTAGTAAGGACGCCATGTTGGAATCACATATCCCACAAATCCACGTTGGCGATGCTATAGAAGAGCATGCTGGGATCTTTCCGCGAATAACAAACCAATCAGAGGCCAGTGTTGAAACCTTCCCGCGCACTTTTGATTTCGCGGGAAGACTCCTTCTTTCTGCTGCCGTGATAAATTTCAACGTGGGTTTATATTCATGACGAATACTGACAAAATATGACTCTCCTTGATTCAATTTTCCATAGACAACTTGTTCCTAGTCCGCTGAAGAGGGGTGAGTGCGAAAATGACGGATTATTATCGTGTGTTTTTAAAACAAATCGTGTAGTTGACTAGTACACAAAGCGAACAACTTCCTCTTTGAATATTTCAGCTTTTCCTTTCGACTTCGCGTTAAATACGTTCAGTTGTGTTAGAGATGATGAATATCTCGTCCAAAGAAGAGAGGTAGGTGTATAGAAAAATTACCTCCATGATCTATTTATTTAGAACTCGTTTTGCTCACCATAAAACTTTAAATTTGATCGTGTGTACAACACAAAATCAAAAATAATCTCTGAGCTTCGCTTTGTTTTGCAATTGCAGATCGATGTACCACCATTTGCATGTCGTTTTAGTCGTGGTAAGTTTTCTCCAGCTAAAGACTGTCCGTTTCTTTCGTTTTTGGCTGGCAATCTGGTAACTCAAACAGTTTATCATGTCGATATTTTTAAAATGTATTTTATCATTGCAAGCTGGTCTCGGTGGACATATGTTGGGGATTGCTGATGAAGAAGGTTGGGTTCAAATACTGGATTCAAGGAGAACATCTCCAAAATCACTCATAAAAGGTATGAGCATAAAATTATCCATTGCAGATTCTATATGTTCATTCATTTCTCTTGAGGACCCAAGACTGGGAATAATATTCAATTGAACTTTTTAAAAATTTCAGAATGGAATGCTCATGAGAATGCAGTGTTTGATATTGCATGGATGCACTGGGAGCAATATATGGTAAGATGTAAATTAGAGAAAAAATTATTTCAAAAGCCATAAGGAGACATCAGAAGATTGAATGTCATTATTCATGGGTGTTTCAAAAAATTAAGTTAGCAATATTGGACTGCCCACCTACCCCTCCCCTGACCCAACATTAACCCTAACTTGTTATCAATTGACTGTTGTTGAGTTAAGGGAGGGGTAGGTGGGCGGTTACCCAGATACTGATATTGATCTGCAATATTTATTAGCAAATTTCATTTCCTCCACTCTGGCAGCTGACCATTGAACCAATAGTTATGGAGAATTTTTTTTTGTTTTAATAAAACTGTTGCTGTTTTAAGGGGGGTTTAGTTTCTATAGAGACTGTGTTGCTGCATCAGTGGGGGGTAATACAAGATAATTTGATTTTTTTAACTGGGTTTATAATGTAAATTGACCACTGTAAAGAGTTTCTAAAGCTGACATTTCTTCCCTCTGACCAAGGGCTAATGCTCCAAAGAAAAAAACAAAAGCCTTAGAAATTATTTACGATGGCCTATTTAAATTTTTAACTCAGTTGATAAAATCAAATTATCTTGTAGCTGTGTTACTTTTGCTTGATGATGGAGATTATATTACAGACCTGACAATTAATTCTGTGTCCAATGTTGAAGATTTCTGTTTTCTTTTTGGTAAATAATTCTGCTACTTTACAACTGATTGAATAATTTTTCTTTCACAGATATGAAATTAAATTATTGTAATGAGTGTGCTGATGAATTTCAACAGGTTACAGCATCTGGTGACCAGACAGTGAGACTTTGGGATGTCAACCGCGATGACTGCTTGGCAGTGTTCAAGGGGCACACTTGTAGCGTGAAATCTGTGGACTTCAGAGAAGATGACATCTGTAAGTTATTGTTACTGTAGCAGTCAATAAACTGGTGGGATGGTTCATGCAAGAGTTGTATTGAAAACAATTTAGTGATATCCATTACACAGTGTTCTCCCTTAATTTAAGCATGTAAAAGAAATTTTCAAATTGGTTGAGCAAACCTACCACCCATTGAACTTTCAACATTCCAAGCAATTTTAGGTGGCAGTAAGAAGTACTACAGGTGTAAATTTTTACTGGTTAATGCCTGATAAGGAGAATACTGGCAGCAATATGCTGATATTTGAGCAATTCAGCATCGTTTGACGCAAGTTAAGACATCTAGTCAGGTTCTTGCAATGTAACTGATACAGGATTATTACACTGTACAACTGACTGACTCCAAGATTTGAGCAATTAGTCTTGCAATTTTGCTGTTGATAGTGATTGGTTTTTGTTAGAATCCAAAGAGTAGAATCTAGCCCACTATTTTGCCTGTAAAACCATCTCAGGTCTTCACAGATAGCTATCAAAAGTACTAGTAAACTTGTAAATAGAATTAACAAAGTCATTTTTTCCTTCCTCAGTTGTCTTTGCCTCAGGTGCAAGAGACGGCAATGTGATGGTATGGGACATGAGATGTAATCGTCGCTCAGGACACTTTAGTCAACCTGTTAATATAATAAGCAATGCACATGCAGAGAAACTCCCTGGGACACCACAAACAATGAAAAAGAAATCCAGAAGGTCAACCTCTTCGCGACCAGTTATGGTAAAGATGACTTGATATAACAGTGGTGTTTGTTGGTCTATGGTGCAAAGTAGTTGTGTGGACAAACAAATGGTTTGTCAGTTGTCTCATTATCAAGTGTGCATTAAGCATCAGAGCTCAGAGAATTCTTACCTATACCCATAATTCTGCAACTAAGTTTGAAGGCCTGATTTTTTTTTAAATTCAAGTGTTAAGCTATTCTGTAGAATATTCCACTATTATTTCAAACTACCTTCCTGCTTATAAATTACTTAATTAAAATCATGTGCTCACAGAATTCCGGCCAGCAAAGTGTAACAGCAGTGCTATTCCAAGGAGGGGAGAAACTCATATCAGCTGGAGCAATGGATGGTAGTATCAAGATCTGGGACCTGCGTAAAACCTATACCAACCTCAAAGCAGACCCACTTCCTTTTCACACTTTTCCTTACCCAGAGCAAGGAGTCAGGAGAAAACATGGTAAGTTGCTTGTAACCAAAAACCATAGAGCCATGTTTAGCATTAATGTCATCTCTGCAAGATACTTTCGCTTTTGCCAAAGAAGTGAAACATTAATTTGTTGCTTTTGGGGCAAAAGGCCTTTGTCCTTAGTCATCCACTCAATCCTTTGTTGCTGTCAGAACAACACCAAAAGTAGTTTAAATAGAAATTCTAGAATCTGTCTTGTGTAGTAATACTACATTGTCTATTAAGTCTGATTTTTGTCTCCTGTTGCTTTTTTTTTTTTTAAATGGGAAGGGGCTAGCTCGCAAACCTCATGGTTTCTTCAGCTAGACTCAGGAATGATCAGGCTATGTTTCTTGTTATTTCACTGTAAGACCAAGTACTCTTTTTGAGAATAGATGGAGATTTGTTGTGGTTGTTGTTGACATGACTCTTTATTTTCTAGTTATTTGATCTATAACACTTTTATTTTAAAAGACTGTTATAATTCCAGGTTTTTCATCGCTTGTCTTGGACTCCAACCACTCATCCTTATTTGCAAGCTGTACAGATGACAAAATCTACATGTACAGCTGCACTGCATTAGGTCAGGAGCCTGTGTGTACTTTCACAGGTCACATGAACTCCACTTTTTACGTCAAAGCAGCTCTCAGTCCTGATGACATGTACTTACTCAGTGGATCAAGTAACAACGATGCCTTCATATGGAGGGTGTCAGACCCTACTGCCCCACCCACCCTGCTAAAGGGACACCTTGGAGAGGTGACAAGTGTTGCATGGTGTCCATCTGATCAGGGAAAGGTGTGTAGTTGCTGGATAAGAATATAATCTATTTAAAACAACAGTAAAGTTAGAAATTAAATTTAACATAAAGGATTTTTCAAGCAAATAAGTTGGACATGAAATCTGTAGTTGATATTTTTGCAAAATGAGTGTTTATCTGAAATTGAGGCCTCCTTTACATAGATAGTTGAGGAATGTAAACCCAACATTTCTCTAATTTTGGTGATTTTCTTTTTTTTGCCCCCACAGGTTATAACTTGTTCAGATGATAACAGCTTTAGAATATGGTAAGTGTCAAGTTCACAGACAATCTGGAAATTCATGCTCACAACAAGCTAAGAGTGGAAAGCACAGTACAACTCCAATACACTCTTGTTAAGTTTGAACTTTGATTTAAAATTTCTTAGAACCAGAAGGTTTTCTCTCGTTTCCCCTCAAGACAAAAACAGCACAAACAACAGAAAAATTGCCTTATCCCCAAAGCTAAAAAGTAGCTATTACACTTTTCTGCAAGAGGAATGAAATGTTTATTTTCAATTCATATTTTGAAACTCATCTCACTGCATTACATGATCATTTAATCCCTGAATCCAAAGGAGAATGGATTGCAGAACAAATAACAGTGATAAACATGATGTCATTGGCGAGAGCTGTAGAGGAACTGGCACAGGATCTCATTCTCCCATCAATGGTAAGGAAAAACAACAAAACTGAAATGTTTAATGTTGAGTATGTGACCGCACTATGTCTTTGGTCTATATCATCCATTATAAAATAATTCAAATAGTATGCGCACTCTGATTGGCCATAAAACCATTTTACATGAGCGTATGTAAACACGGTTTTCATTCCTCTTTCATTAGTTATTTTATAAAAGAAATGTAAAATGGTTTCCATGTTTACATAGCCTGATGTAAACACTTGGGAGGTTGGGAGAACACTCGATAAGCTGGAAACCATTCTGCTTTGCATCGTGGTTTCCTACACTTATCTCGTGTTCTCCCAACCTCCCGTGTGTTTACATCAGGCTATGTAAACACGGAAACCATTTTACATTTCTTCATTGCAAAATGTAGCCTAATCTTGAAACAGTTTTATTGAATTCTTTTCTCACTTTGATGATTATGCACCTTGCAGAAGCTTCAAGTCCATCAAGATTTCATAGAACACCAAGTCCTTCTCCCAACAACAGCCCTGATTCAAAGAGATTACTCTGGACCCCACTATCAAAAGTCATCACCAATCCAAGATTAAATAAAATCTCCAGTCCTGTTGGAAAGGTGTCTCCCAAATTGCAGAGCTCCCATAAAATAAGCTCGCAAAAGACACAAAATCTTCAAATGCAATCTTTGTCTCCAAAGCTTTCTACAAGTTTGCAAAACCTGACAACAGGTATTCTCTATAACATTTGCATTAAAAGTTGCTGCTAGTATTGCTTACAACATTTTGAGTCATTAATGTGAAGTGAATCATATACAGCTGGGTCTGTACAGATAATGGAAAACTTGGATGGTCATGGAAATTTTGGTGTCCTTTTCCAGCTGTAGAGGGTTATGGAATTTGAGTGTGGGTCATAGAAAGGCATGGAAAATAAATGAAAATTGTTTTTCTGACAAAACAAAGCGAGAAATGCTACCACTGAATGATTATTTTCACATCATTTACAAACCAATATTACTATATTTAGGTCCTTAAAATAGGTCACCAAAAGTTGAGAAACTTTGATATCATTATCATAACACTAACTTTAGAAAAGTTCCAACTCATATGTTTTGTCTTAAAATGGATTAAAATGTTGAAATAACAGTTTTTCAAGGGAGAGAGAAACCAAAGGAACAAGAATAAAACTGTATATGGACCAAGGAGGACAAGAAGGAAACTTATGCAAAAGAAGAAACTGACATTATTAGCCAAACTTTTTGAAATGTCTTTCACACATCATTGTAAATTCAGTTATATCCCAAAACAATGAAAATTGATTGTATTTTTTCCTCAGGTCCATCACCTCACGTGGTTCCTAATAAGAACTCAGATTCTCAGATAGTGCCTTCCTCTGTCTCCTTTCCCTCCTCTTCTGGATCCCAGTCATCACCCTGCTCCAGCCCTAAGTCACCTGCTGCCTCAAAGTTTCACAGCCCAACTCAATTGCTGACATCCTGGTTAAAATCAAATTCAAGAAAGCGATGTCACAGTGACAGTGATGACCAATTAAATCACCAGATCCAGTCTGTTACAGCTCAGAAATGCTCTGACATGACACAGAAAGCTGTTAATTCTTTACAAGATGTCAAACAACCAAACCAAACTGCCAAAAATAAAAGACAAGAATACAGGACTGAGGATAAAACTGAAAATACTCATTTCAATGGACAAAAGAATGTTTCAGTGTTGCCTCTCAGGAAAAGATTATGCATCAGTGATCCCTTAAATTCAAATGCAGGCCATGTGGGAATTAGAAATTGGAATAAATCAAGTTTAACCCCTGATAAGGAAAACAAACTAATTAACAACAGTTCTCCTGGTGAGGCTAAATTTGCCAAACTGGAACTTGATTTTAATTGTCACCAAAAATCAGAAGCAACTTCTGAACAAAAGGTTACTGTGAAAGCTCATTCTGCAAACTGGCTAACACAGTGGAGCAATGGTCGTCAAGAAGAGCATGGTGAGAGAAGTATTCCACTGCCTGAGAAGGGAGGCAAAAACTTTGTTGAAAACACAGATTCAATCATAACCACCGTTTCTGATGAAGAATCACAAGCCTATGGTTTACAACCACAGGTAAGATGTTAACTATGTCTCCCTTCGAAATGTTCTTAACTTTTTAACCCCAAGGGGTGACTACCATCAAATTTCTCCTTAAAGCAGCTCAACTGAATTAAACATTGAGGTAATGGGAATAAAGGAAATGATCATCAACCAAAAAAGCTCTGGATTGACGTATGAATTCTCCTGTCAGTATCATGGGAAATGTTCAGATAACAGTATAGAGAATGAACATAATGATGCTGGGCTATTAAGGGTTAAGCAAAAGATAAACATTTATTCATAATTTAATTTATGATTTATAAAGGGAGTATGTGACATGGTGGTGTGCCTATCTCTCAATCTAATGGGTCTCACTTGAGCCTAGGTTAAATATATTTCTCCTTGACTGATGATGTGTTTTGAGTCTTTACTTTTAGAGGATAAAATTGATCTCTATTAAGTGAGCTACTTTGATCACTCTTGTGAGGAAAAACAATTTATCACCTCTTGTCTTTTGGTTATCTTGTCAGAGAGAAGATAATTACAAGCCAGGAAAGAGCATTTTGACTTATTTCAAACCAGTCAGCCATTCCTAAAATGTTTTTTAGAACTTACAAGAATTGACAATTTAGAAAATTATTCTACATCAACAATCATCACAGCTATCAAAAGACCTTTCAAGAAAACATGGAGATTACAGACTGAGATGATTTTTTTAAAGAGGAAAGTGTTATTTAAATGTGTATAAAATAGAATTTACTTATTTTTAATGAAAAGAAAAAATATTTAGCAGATGGGGTTTGGTTAACATCATTTTTCCCTTTACTAGTTCATGTTGTCAAGAATGAGAGAGTGCAAAGTTTATATTGTTTCAGCTGATAGAAATAAAACTGTGATTATTTTCAATGTCTAAAGATTTCATTAAATTTAACTTGAATCCAGTGGTAGCTAGGACATTGTAAAGTTTCAGATCAATTCTTAGGAGACTTTGAATAACTGCAATCATCACTAAATCAATTAAAATGGAAGACACTGCTTGTAAAAATAACACTTAGATTTCAGAGTGCCTCCTCCTCTTAGCCAAACTTTTCAAAAAGCTCCTCTTTTTCTTTAGCCAAAGTTGAAATAGAAGTGCTCTGTAGTGTTCTTTCAAGGATTTCCTATATGAATTCCACAACTATGTATCCTCAACTTCTGATGCGGTTGTGCAAAACAATAAAGGTCACTCACTACCTTTATTTTTAAATTTTATTGCAACCTTCAGTAACTGTACAAAACATGTCAATAGTTTTTGAAAACTTATGTTGTTAATAGCACATACCGTATTTATTCGCCTATAAGCCGATCTCGGCTATAAGCCGAGACCCTAAACTTTTTCATGTCAGCAGCTGTTGCATTGAAATAAAAAATAAACACAAAACATTCGGCTGTAAGCCGAAACCTAATAATTGCAAAGTACTCCACGCGTGTCGTTAACTGAGATGAATTAACATAAACCGAAAACAAAAGGAGCTTCCCTCTCGGGAAACATGCAACCAAAAAGTAGGTTATGAATAAACATAGATCATTCTAGATCGCTAGAGATTACGATCAGCTGATATCTGTCAGATCGTGTTGCAATGTTTACACAAACCGTGGGAATGACATTCTGATTGGCCAGTTTTTCATGTTGTCAAAAATCTTGTTAAGCACCCGTAAATTTTTTTTGAAAATCTACCTTGGCGAGAATTTACCTGTTCTCAGTTTAATTTGTTGGAAAAATCGCTCGGCTTATAGGCGAATAAATACGGTAATGCAACTGTTAGACGCGTTTTACGTAACACACTTTTTGGACTAATAAAGTCATCTACATTATCAATAGTAGAAAAGCTAGAATTTAATAAGAAAGTTCTGAATAGAATTCAGAAGTTTCACCTCTAACAAATCTTGCATTTGAAAAAGTTACAAACAAATGCAGAAAAGAAAACCCAACAATACCACTGCTGCTTTCAGATTGGCATCTAAACCTTTTATTCTACCCCTCATATCATCAAAATCAGTGTTATCCAGATAAATCCTTCTTTCTGAGCACACCTTCACATCACAATCTTAACTTTCTTCTTCAGGTAAGTTTTCAATCACGAGCTGCAGATACAACAAATTTATGAAATAAAATTAAGATGGAATGTAACTGGCCAATGGTGCTTACAATAAGTAACAGCCAATTCATCCTCTCCTTACTAATGCAAAACATCACCATAAATAATCATTCATGTGATGTAAAATGTTAAAGCTACTCACGTCCACTTGAATGCCAGGTGCATCAAAATTGAAAACTTTGGAGTAGAAGTAGAATTCTCCATCAATAGAGAATTTAATGTTTTCTGCTTTGCGAAAACCATGTTGTTCACCTTGGAAAAAGAATAAAAGATTTCATCAATGATTAAGGTTGCATGAACAATAAGGTCGGAAAATTGTTTTTTCTTCCCCTCAGTGCAGAGGAATTTGTCTTGCTCAGTCCACAGGAGGGGGGGGAGGGGAATGTCATACTCATCTAACTTGCATGAGTCAGTTAGTGTTAATTATTAATCTCTTCCATCAACAATTAATCTAGGCAAGTAAACTTCTTTCCACTGTTATGGTTAGAAAAGTGAGAATTGAAATGAGAGTTTCATGTCAGAGAGTTTAATCTTGGTAGTTTCTGTGCTATAAAGGGCATAATCTTGTGTCTTGTTCTACAATTTTTCAAACTCCCTATGAGCACTCTTGAACAAATTGATTTCAGGAGCAGCAAGCTGAATCTGTTTCTCTTTGAAAAGAACAGGCACAGCACCAAATAGCTCACTCAAACTCAGTGCATGCATGGTTAACTCTGTAAACACTTTTCAGTCAACAGTGACATTAAACACACTACCTTCAAAAACTTTGTATGCCACAGGGACTCCATTATCCTTGACTGCATCATACATCTTTTCTGACTGTTCAGGTGGGACGATCTAAAGAACAATAAACAAATGAAAGAACTAAACCTTTCTCATATCTCACAATCTCATAGAAATTTTAGGATAACACCTGCTAGTCAGAGTGACAGCTAGCACTATGGACTGCAGATTTGAAGGTTTTAGTGTGAGCCCCACCTGACTTTCAACATTGCCACTTGTGTGTTGTGTTCTTGGACAATCATTTTACTCTCACAATGCCTCTTTTCACACAGGAGTGTAAATGAGTGCTAGCAAACTTTCAGGGAAGCCTGATGAAATGCTAAGAGTGACCTTATAGTGGATTAGTATCCAATCTTCTTATTTAATTCCTCTGTTTACTGATAAACTCACATAATGAAGGTTAGTAGAATCTGAACTGATTGGAGCTCTACTTTTAGGATTGGTTAAATCTTTATTTTACTGGAAAAATATTTTCATAATCTATCAGAGTTTATGAAAAACTTTTTAACACTGAAATTACTTCCACTTACAATGATTTCATACAAGTGACCCTAAACTGGTACAAGATAATTTTTTTGTCCTCTCCTAGTAAATCAGGTGCCTTATATCTAATTTCTAGTGATCACAGCCTTTTTCCTGAAAGGGCACCGGCTGGCAGTTTTTTTACGTAAATTGCTAGTAGCTAGTTCACAGTTGTCACCAGCTCAAGAAAGTCTGATTGTGAAGAAATACTCATAAAAAGCTCACCTTGTCCTCAGAGCCTTGAAACATTGCCAGAGCAGCCTTGCACTCACTAGCATGATATACTGGTGACCTCTCCTCATATGTTGCCTTATCTTCAGGATATGGGCCAACAAGTGTTTCAGTGTAGCGACTTTCAAACTTGTGCGTATTTTCTGCAAGGGCTGAGATGTCAGATACTCCATAATTGCTTGTTCCTGCACTGAAATCTTTATGAAATGTTAAGGCAGATAATGCAACAAAGCCCCCTGCTGAGCCACCATCAATTGTAAGCCTTTTGCCATCAACTTTGCCTTCTTTAGCCAGATACAGTGCACCATCACAGCAGTCTTGAACATCTATCAGTCCCCAGCTGTGATGGAATCCATATGAATTACTTTTAAAATTGTTTCTGAATACCCAAATGTATTTTTGTGACTTATATTTGAAAAAAGTGAATTTCTTACTTCAAAAGTGTTAATTTACTTCAGGATTATGCATTAGTGTTTACCAATATACATCTGTTGTTCTTGAAAGCTGTTTTAAAATTGACTGTTTTGTAACCAGGGAATTTAGCAATCTGAACTGACACACAACTCAATCTGTAATTGGTGTGGATCCACAAAATCTGAAGAAGTCATAAGCCTTTGGTACTGTTCTGCTTAACTTAGGAAGTATGACAGATTTCCTACTGATGTTTTTCGCTTGGTTATTCACATAAAGGTTAACTTGGACTGTTCTTCGATTGTGCGCACTTAGGGTTAACAAAAAGATATAATGGTATTGGTGAGTCAGTATCTAGCATATTAACCCATTTAATAAGAAAAATGTTTAATTTGTTGATTAGGAAAATGTTAATTGGGGATTTATCATGTGAGCTCTATTATTGCACACCCCACCTAGTGTGCTGGGTCATTCCTGCTGCCATTAATTTTCCAAGCATCATTGAAAAATTTTGCCAAAGATCATCCCACGTGTTCGGCAAAGTTCATACAATCTTTTAAGCCAATTCAAGACGGAATGGAATCAAACATCTAAACCTTTCAATCATGCATTCAATTCATCTCAAAATGGAGAACTGACTGCTGTACAAATTGTTTCAAAGATATTTCAATAATTATATGATTTTTCATCACTACTTATAGGAAAATGAGATGAATGAAACCAAGCTTCTTTTGGCCAGCAGTACCAGCTTTTAACCCTTAAACTCCCTTTCTCCTTACAATATCAACACAGAATCAAGTAGACAAGTGAGGAAAATAAAGAAGAAACTCAAGTTGATCTACTTATAACTTCTCCAAATTTAAATCATAAGTATTTTATGGCAGACAATTGGGAGAATTACTAATGAGATCTTCAGAGTACAAGGGTTAATGATAACTCTGGTTTGTGCACTCACTTTGTCTTAAGAGCATCCCTGAATTTTCTGCCAAATCCTGTACTGCCACGGTAGTTGACATCCAACACTGCAAAGCCTCGGGATGTAACAAATTGTTTCTTGAGATCAAGCACTGGTGAACAAGCACTGGTGGGTCCCCCATGAACCTTGACAAGCAGTGGAGGTGTCTCATCATCTGGCCCTTGATAATCCTTGTTCTGAAAAGTTTTATAACACAATGCATGAAAAATACCTGATCTGTACATAGTGATCATTCTATTGTTTGTTAGGAAGTGTTCAGTAGCATTTGCATTACTGGCTTAACTTGCTGCAAATGAAGCCATGCCTCTCATGTAAGGAATGCAACTGATGAGTTTACCACATTTAACCCTTTGATCCCTAAGAGTGACTGGCATTTAAATTCTCCAAACAACATCACCCCTGAATCAAACATTAAGGTGGAGAGAATAAAGGCAATGATAACCAACTAAAGAAGCTCTAATTTGTAAAAAAAATTGCCTTGTCAGCACCTTAGGAAATGTTTAGAGACCAGTATGGAGAATAATTATGAATACTGATAAAAGTTAAGGTGTAAAGGGTCAATCTAAAAGAAAGGTGCTTGAATTGGTTTGCTTCAGCAGAGTGGTGTTATGTGCTTTGCATACTTAGGTGTGAGGCATG